ATTTTAAAAATGACACTAAGAAATATTGTGAATCATGTGAAAGATGCCAGAAAGCCAATAAGGCAACGGGAAAAAGATATGGACTACTACAAGAAATTGAAGAACCCAAAGAAAGATGGTGTGTAATTAATATGGACTTTGTTACTGGATTACCACCTGGAGGACCCAATAACTTCAATGCTGTACTAGTAGTAGTAGATAGATTTTCTAAGAGAGCAAGATTTCTCCCTTGTCATAAAGAAGATACTGCCATGGATACAGCCTTACTATTCTGGAACTCTATCATTTATGATGTAGGTTGTCCTAGATACATTATTACAGACAGAGACCCCAAATTTACATCAGAATTCTGGAGAAACTTATATGATTTGTGTGGTACACAATTGAAATTTTCCACTGCTTATCACCCACAAACTGATGGTCTAGCTGAAAGAATGATCCAAACTCTAGAGGATATGATCAGGAGATACTGTGCTTTTGGATTGCACTTTAAAGATAAAGACAGTTACACTCATGACTGGGTTTCCCTTCTTCCTGCTCTAGAGTTTGCATATAATTCTAGCAAACATAGTACCACCAATAAGACTCCATTTGAACTGGAAAGAGGATGGACACCCTGGTTCCCAAGAGATGTACTATTGAATAAAGCTGTACACATTCATCCCAGTGCCACAGATTTTCATTTCATGATGACTAAAGCAGAGAAATATGCCTCTGAATGTGTTAAACAAGCTGTAGATTATAATAAATCTAGATGGGATAAAACTCATAAAGCCCACAAATTCCAAATTGGTGACCAAGTGTTAGTATCCACACTCAATTTTACCAACTTATCTGGACCAAAGAAATTACGTGATTCTTACGTAGGACCTTTTACAATTAAACAATTACACGGGAAAAATGCTGTAGAAGTTATTCTCACAGGAGAATTTGATAAGAAACACCCTACTTTTCCTGTTAGTTTAATTAAACCTTATGTAATAAATGACAATGAGAAATTTCCACTAAGGAAAGATAATGTGAGAGTAGTAATTCCTCCATTAGAAGAAGAAATAGTAAAAATTAAGAAAATTTTACAACACAGGAAAATTAGACAAAATAATACTGACATTAAACAATATCTGGTTAGATATAGTGGTAGTAAAGAAGATGAATGGCTGTTGGAATTTCATCGCTCCGACTCCGCTCTCCTCCGCTCTCCTCCGCTCCCTTCTGCTCTTCTTTTCCTCTTCCGTCTCTATCTCAAACGTGTCTCTCTCTCTCATCCATAAAACTCTCTCTCCGAATACAATCAATCACGCCTCGCACTCATACTCGTCTCACGTCCTCGATACATCGTCAAGCCTCGAAAGCCTCTTCCTGAAACAAGTATTCCAATCAAAACCTATCCAACCATCAACCACAAGTTGGACAATGACCGATTGAAGACTCGCAACCACAAGCCGAACCTCGACCGATCATCTATAAATAAAGCAGGCAACTCCTCACAATTCTTTCCCCCAGCAGTCTTCGAAACTTATCCTCAAGACATTGATCTACTTCCTCCATCCTATACCCCTGCCAACACTGCTCGGCCTAACAATCTCGACATCTCATCCAATTCAAAAAGTACTCCCCAACGATTCCGCTATTCGCCTCACTCCGACTTCGCTTCTTTTCCTCACTATTTCTCTATCTTCTCTCTCTCATAAATCTACTCGCACAATCTCATCGACGACGAATTCACATCATTTCAACATTGACTCATCCTCCTCTTATTCTCATTCCTCCAACTCTCTCGCTTGAAATTCTCATCTGGCTTTTGCCAATTTGGTGAGAAAAACTATAGTATACTTTCTTCTCAAAATTGACTCGTGTTGACTTTTTTTTCTCTCATTAAAATTCCTTCTAAAAAATAGTGTCTATTATATATCATTGTTTGATATCATCTACTTCAGTCTTTCAGTTCTGTCTAACTCAAAAAACAAATCTTCTCATGGTAAATTTCCTCCTGTTTCTCAGAAATCATTGATTGTTTTTATTGCTTTTTCTTTTTCTGTTGAAATTCTTCTAACAAATTGTGTTTCTTTTATTAATAGTTCTGGTTCTAGTTTCAATAATAAATCCTGTTTTTCTTCAATGGCTACCTGTAGACAAGATACCTGACTCAGATAGACTCCTCAGACAATACAGAGTAGACAAGAGAAAATGATTTGAGGATCATTTCCTTTTTTAGGGGGAGGAAGTGTCAGCCACAGAGCACATTTCACAGTACGTGAAATGTACCTAGTAACTGCAATAATAATAACTAATTGAATACTGGAAAATATCATACATTGTTGTTAAAATAATAAATAAATAAATATGTATTTACATTTAATCTTAATTCATAATTTATATTTAATAAATCTATAATTAACTGTGAAATCCCCTTGAGTATTGTACATATAATATCACTAGGATTTCACAGAAATAACATTAGAATAAAGTATTAAAACAATGTTTATTCTTATACATTATGTACATATTTTATAAGCCATAAATAATTACATATGTATAAAGAATCAGCTAGTAGAAGCGTGAAATGGATGAGGAATAAGCTATATACATTTATCTGAAGCTTACCCATCCTTGATCACATCATCAGGGCATCAGATTGCATCATAACCCTCTTGGATGGCGTCATCAGGACCCTTTTGTGCTCTAATTCAAAGCTTGCATAATTCAAAGCAGCCTACACGGGAAAGGAGCCCAAATTCTACATGCAAGACTGAATTATGCATGATGGACATGCATTTCTCATGATCACAAGCTTGCATAAGCAGAGTTACACGTATGCAACAAACTCTACAATTGCACAGCCCCTGCACAGTAACTGTAGCCTTTTCAATTACGTTAGAAATAGGCCACAAAACTCAATTATGCATGTATGATCTCATGTCCTAGGACCTTCCACCCATGCATAGCACTGCACAGCTGCAGCTCCCATCCTTACACAAAATTGTAGAGCTGCTAAGAAGCTCCTTAGTGCACTGAGGGCTTCTCCTCTTCCCCTGAGCCCCCTGTAGAATATTTAAGGAGCTCAGATTCCTACCTTTTCCCCCCAGGAAATTCTAGTAGCATCAAACCAACACTTGTACCGTGTTTATTAGTGATTCAAACCACCAATAACATTACAACCCAGCTACCTTAGACCTAAATAGATTTACTTTGCTCAGATTCAAGGCATTTCTACTTATCTCTATTGCATAAAGAATTATCCCCCTGGTTAAACAATTCTGGTCCTTAAGTGTACATACACTTATTCATCTGGATTGTTGTTAAAAGACTTGATCCCAAGTGAGTAGAAGTATTCCTCACATTGGAAGCCTATTAATCCACGTAACAGGATTGATCTGGATGCCCAATTGAATAATTGGATGAGTCAGCAGTAGAAGTACCATTCCTCACTGACTCCTCCCTGTTTCTTTTACAGGTTGAGGGATTTAACCACGAATAAACCTTCTCACTTACCATTCTTGTTAACACTCAGAGCACAACCCTTACAGGTTAGTAGCATAGAGGCTGACACCTCTCCTTCACCAATTCCCCCATCATCAATCAGCAACCCAGCTCCCAGACAGCAAGCTCAAGTGGTCATCAACATTAGGTCTAGTCAACACCAGTAACAACAACCTCCAACTACACTCTTTATCCAGAATCACCAGAAAACCACAAAATCACACAAAATATCTTCCACTTGAATTGTTTTCACACTTGTATTCACCGTGTAAAGGTTTTATAACTATCTTGTATGGTAGTATTGTACTACATACTGATCTAGGTCTGATAGAGACTACTACATGTAAAGTTTTCTCCATCACAAAGTTACACCACAACAATAAATTAAATTGTTGTCAGAAATCTTGTGTAGTAAATAGAGGGGCAGGTCTTTCAAACCACCCATAACAGTAATATTACTTAGTCGAAACAACGCTGGGCCAGCTACTCTAATGGTAGTGTTAGCCTAGCGTAGTGTAGCGCAAATACGCTACATTGTAGCATAGTGTTAGCGCAGATTTCTGTATCTGCGCTAATGCTACGTGTGTGGGCCGCAAAAAAGGGCCCACTATGCTGCGCTACAGCACATTTTAGCGGTTTTTTGGCTGTTTTTGCCGCTAACAGCGCTGTAGCGCAGCGTAGCGTAGTGGCACTAACGGCACACTAACACTACAGGTTTGGTGTGCTGCTCTGAGGGCCGCTATGCTAACGTTAGTGGGCTGTTTAGCGTAGTGTAGCATAGCGGCCCACCGTTGGTTGAAATATCATTTTGTTATTTCCCACTCAAGGAGTGGCAACCCATCCCAAAGGAGTTCCCACACCGGTTGCCTCCAGTTGACCTTACCGTGGGGGGTTGTAACCAACACATCCCCTTTGGCAGTGCATTGCTGTTAGTAATATGAACATGCTCCAAGCCTGAACTGGAAAATGACCTGTGACCCGACCCAGACCCACCTGCTGCCTTAGGTGGGTTGGGTTTGGGCAGTAATATTTACTGTATGAGTCATGACCCAACCCATCACTTTTGCCAGGTCAGGTTTGGGCACTGTATTTTGACCCAAACCCAACCCAGTTTCATCTTGATTAGCATGTAAGAATAAATCCAAGAATTGATTCTGAAAAGCAAGATGGAATTTTTCTGGCAACTTATATATATATATGCATCTAGATAAAATCAAGCGCCATGAAATAATAGGAAGACTTGGAGTTCTGAGATGTTAAAAAATTTATTTATTTTATTTTTTCTGTAAAAGGTTCAATAAGCAAGGATAAATCTAAGACTGAATGGTGGCTACTTACAACGCTGCCACAGATACGGTATCTGCCTGTATCTGCCATGTATCACTATGTATCTGAGCCCCAATAAAACAAAACTATCTGACCAATCTGCTTTTATTTGCAAGGAGATTCAACAAATTTGATTTTTGGCCATGCAGCTTTGCAGAACACAGCGTATCGTATCTGTGGCAGTGTTGCTACTTATATATTGTTTCTTTAAATTTAAATATTGGTTCTTATGATTTATAAAGATGAATTCAAAGATCACCAGCATTTTTCAATTTCAAGAGGGCTTCAATTTTATGCTTCATATCTACCAGGAGATTCTTAGGATCTTCATAGTCTCCTCCATTTTCTTCTATGATGTGGTCAAGAAGGCTGAAATTATTTAGACTTTTTTTGTTGAGTTCTGAGATAAAATCTTCTATATATAGGTCTTTATGTTCATCAATGGGGATATAGGTTTTTGAATGAAGAGACAAATCATCCTCATTTTGTTCCTCCCAGGATTTGATCAAACTTTCCATAACTTTGTAGTTATTGGTTTCAATTTTTGCTTTTTTATGCACATGTTTCTCATCTTCATCAGGAATATCTTGAATTGGTGCATGGTTTTTAACTTGAGCTGGTGGGAACAAATTTCCATCAAGTCTTCCGGTGATTCCTGTCAAATAAATGAGTTTATCTTCATATTTGGTTTCCCCTTCTTCTTCTCCTTTTTCCTTCCTTCCTTGACAGAGCACTTGCAATATTTCACCATACTTGACATATAATGATTTAAGTGAATCAGAGTATTGCATCATTGCTGCACCACCTGCTTTGATTTCAGAAATAGCATTATATTCTCCAACTCGGATTACCAAGTCTTTTTCAAACATTTGAGGCATGTGATATTTTTCCAAATGTTGTATCATGTTGTAAAAGATCTTCAATTCAAACTCATCATAACTTTCAAGAAACCCTTTACAGACCTCCTTGAACAATTTCTTCATTTGCAAAGCAAGAACACGTTGTCTGGTTCTTTTTATATTTTCTGGTGATGTGAGTGAAAAATAATCTTGGAATAGCTTCTTTGGATAGCTATCTTGATGATATGTATAGTAACAGTTAATTTGGGCTTGAAGTTCAAGATACATCCACTCTATGATCTTCCAACCTCCTTCAATCTTGATCTGGTCCTGATCTGAAGCAGATATGGTCAGATCTGATTTTACAACTGAAATCCAAAAAGTCCAAGTTTGAATCAGTTTGTGCAGTTCTATTCATATCCATGTAAAATATGTGGGAGAGAAGATTATTTCTTTACAAACACTTCAAAAGTCCATGGATATCCTCTGTAAAAGGACTTTCTTCTATGCTATTCTTGAAGTCAGACATTAGATAAACTGATGTGAAATGATTCTCATTAGGAAACTTTCCCCATACATAATTGAATATCATTTTTGCCCCAGTCTCTCCATTTAAGAAACCAACCAGGAATTGATCACTGATCATTTTATTCTTTTCACCGGTTAAAAGCACTCTAACAAGAGTGTCATTCAACAAAAATCCCACTTTGTAAAGGGATTCAATTTTACTATCATTTGAAAATGAATATCCAGGATTTGAGGTGATTGGTGTCTTCAAGATAACCCATACTTCTTCCACAATTTCCAATACCTTTGAAAATTCTTCTTCAAATATCTTGTGTTTGTTTGGATCAGGAGAAGACTTTTCAGCATCCATTTTATTTGTATGGGAAAAACAACTTTCAAGGATCTTATCCACCCCATTGAGTATGTGTATGATTGAGTTTTCAATTTCTTCTATGCTTTTGTCCTCAAGAGGAATTCCCTCATCCAGCTCAAGCTTTATCAGAGGCTTCATGATTTTTTTAGAAGTTTTTTCCTGTGAATCTTCTGATTGAACGAGACCAAAATTTAAATCTCACCCAGCTTCCACTGAAATCTGTTTCTGGAACTGGGATGGAACCTCACCTGTTGATTTCCCTAGGTCTGCTGATCCTTCATATTTAAAGATGGAAGAGCGATTCCCAGTAATCTCTGGATGTTTATTTGTGTCAGTTACAATAGATAATTTCAAAAGACCAAAAACAGCTCTGCCTTACTCCGACCAAGCTCCTGATCATCAGGCACCACCTTATCATATCCCAGCATCTTGGTAGCCTCTAGAATTAAATGCAATGTTTTTTTTGTTAGAAAGAAGTAAACAAAAAAACACAAAAATTCTTTCAGTTGAACTTGAAAGAACTGTGAAGAACTGATTCCACATAATGAGCTGGATAATCTTCTGCTTACCTCTTCTTCCAGTTACAATTGCCTCCCAGGTGTCTTCATTTCCATATATCTCTCTGGGTTTGTTGACACAGATTGTCTTTCCAATCAAGGCTAACAGGCAGATGGTATGCAAGAGCAACATGATCCAAATGAAATCAGGCCCTATGCCCTGATTGAGTAGCAGGTGTGCTGCTTAAAGACAAAACCTAGGAAATATCAGGATAATTGGCTTGAGTCAGAGGGAATAAATGGGCACAATGTCTTCAAGTGGAATAACTGTGGGTCAGAAGGCTGCAAGGGGCTGGCTTGAATCATGTGCAACAGGTCAGTGTTGACTGTTGTTGGAGCACCTGTGTTGAAGAGGAAACATATAACAAAAATCAGTTACTGAATGCTACAAAGGCTGTTGCATGTGTTGACTATCTTGTATGTCAATATAGTGTATTTCCAGTATGAAACAAATTATTTATTTATGTTGGCAGTCATCGGCAAGGCCAGCTCATCCGTGGCCGGTTTTCCGTTGCAACCATCTCGGAGTTAAGCTGTCCAAGCAGTTGAGTGATTTTAGTCAGAGCGGCTGCCCAGCCTGGCCGGGAACGCAGAGGCAAGCTTGAGTAACCGTTCTACCGGCACATATTGTATGTATCACTGGACAGGCAAAGGTATGATACACCTGCTAACGGGCGTAGGCATTCGCCACGAGGCAACCATTTCCATTCTTTGTTCCACAATGGAGAACAAGGTCAAGAAATCCACAAGCTACAGCCTACCAAAGCTTTTGCCAGGTACATCTGCATGTGAGGCGAAAGAGCTTCAAAAGAGGTTTCATCAGAAATTCAGTCAAACCTGGTACAACATAATACGGAAAACGCATCGATCCATGTCTGCTTAAATGTCGAGATTATGGGCAGTCCGAGTCTCCTACCAGGGTTGATACCCGTCGGAAGTTTGTGATAGAATCAAGTATGTATGGAGGAGGAAAAGTGAGAGAGTCAAGATAAAGCCATCTAGCTTCAACTGATTAGTGTCTCTAATTAATACTTCTGGGCAAGGTTGAAAGATGTGACGATGAGGAATTCCAGGTATGTATATGGCCCAAATAACTGCCCAACACACTTTAACCAAAAGAAGAAGAAGAAGAAACAGAATCATGGCTCAAGATTAAAAGCTTCTTTAACTGCATATAATTATTCTCTTCGACATCGTATAAGATCCAAGGCAAGAAAACAATGGAGGGCTTTCTATGTATTTGGGATGAACTTTGAGGATATGTGTGTGTGCTGGTTGGTTGGTTGGTTGATGGTGTGGTCTGGGTGGTAATGCTATGTATGTAATTTGGATTATGAAATTAAACGGCCGAGTGAACCCGAAGTTTGTGTCGAAGGATAATTAATTGGTGCAATGAGAAAAGATTTATATAGAAAAAAAAAAATCAGGACTACAAATAATAATAAAAAATGAACTAGTTGGTTTCTTTATTTCTTCTATCGATCCAAGACCTCGAGCTCCATCTTCTTCAACTAACTAAGCTTCTTCTTCTTCTTCTACTTTTTTTTTCAACCTCCATTATCAACAAATCGATCGCCTCTAATTATCCATCCACCCAACACTGCCCCCCTGAGAAAAAAAATCAAAGAACGAAAGGATGTTGGTGGCCATACATCCCACCTCATCCCTCTCTCTCTCTCAAAACAAAACAAAGCGTCCACTCCCATATCGACTGTATCCTAAAACCAACACATATCAAAACCCAAATCAGATCCTGTTTTTTTTTTTTTTTAATAATTAAAAAAAAGAGCGACCAAAGGAAGTGAGAGCCCAAACAAAAAAAAAAGAAAAAAAAAGACGTACGGGTGCGGATGGGAAGAGCACAGAACGGATCTCCATTTTGAAAGGAGGGTTTTCTTCATTTTTGGCTGAGATTGGATCGGTGTAAAAAGGACGAAAGAGCGGAGTTGAAATTGACGTTGAAGGTGAAGGAGAAGGTGAAGTTGAAGTTGAAGTTGAAGTTGCAGGAAGTTGTAACAAAGAGGTTAGTCCAGGAGTTTGCGAACCAAGCCCAGCCCGAGCGCCATGGCCTTATTCCAATCGAGATCACGACGATGATGAGGGATCGGGCCGAGGGATGATTTTTTTCTCCTCCAGAGGTTCGAGCTGATCATCGAGTCCGTCGACATTACAGCTCTGAATGGGTGACTCGGGGGTAGTAGGAGCAGAGGAGGAGGGAGAAGGAAGCGCGCAGGGGAGGAAGGATTGGAAGCGGATGATGAGCTCCAGATTGAGTTCTTGGGCCCGTCGGAACTTGAGCAGCCGGGCTTGGATCTCCGCCAATCGAGCGGCCTCCCACTCCTCCTCGCCCTTCCTTAGACCGAGAGCATCAGTCCGGGCGAACAGGCGTCGCAGTCGGCCGAGACTGTCGAGCTTCTTGGCAATCAACATCGAGGAACGCGTCAGGCTCTCGAGGAACTTGCCATATTTCTGCCGCTCATCTGCCCCGTCCCCTCTCAGATCATCACTCTCGATCAGCTTACTCCCCGGCTGGGAGTCCAGAAAGTCTTGCAGTACCCCACTGCTCAGGAACCGTTTCGACTCTTCTCGATCAGTAGTAGTAGTAGTAGTAGTAGACGAGGGAAGACTGGGCGGAGGATCGGCGAGCGGGATTGAGGCGAGATAGTGTTCTTGAAGTGACTCAAACCAAAGTGAGACCTCGGTTTGAGCTAACAGTGGTTCGTTGAGCTTCATATAAGCCTGGAAGATCAGATGAAGATAGTCGATCGAGACCGGCCGATCTGTCCCGAAGAACTTCTCGCGCCCGAATTTGGCGACCAGAGACTCGTGCAATTCTTTGATCAGAATCAAGTCACCCACCGCTTCAGCAGCCTTGATGAGGTTAAGATAGCTTTCGACGCTCTCCAGATCTGTGTGTTGATTGAGTTTGTAGTAGTTTTGAGGGTTCTGTTGGTTTGATGGGGAGGTGGTCGGACATTGCTCGATTAGCTTTTGAGAGATCCTGATGATCATCGGTTTGGGCGCACGAGTGGCGATCAATCCGGCAAGGATGATCGTGGTCAGCAGGCCGGTCAAGACCAACTTGTACTTGAGCTTCATCTCTTTATCGATCAAAGTGTTCAAGCCGTTCAAGTCGTGATTGACGATCTTACTCCAAATCAATCCGATCATATGAGTCGATCTGATCTGGCTCTGGTTCTCCTGGACCTCCCGGTCGAGCAATTCGGTCAGTTTTCCGGGCGGGGTTCCGATCAAGCTTAAGATCCTAACCATTTCCGATACGACGACCGTCGACGGTTTTATGAACTCGTTATTCTCGCTTGTTGTTGTTCTTGAGGATGATGATGATGATGGGAGTTTTTGATGGTATACTTTCTTGAACAGATTGATGAGCTGAGGATATCCCAGACGGGGGTCATCAGGATCTATGGAAATTGGCCGATCGATTGAAGGATGTCGATTAGGATTATCTAGTGACCATCGACGCTGGCTGAGATTGAGTCGGATTTTTGAGTTGGCTTGACTTTCCAACCATTCTCTGGTATATCTGAGGTATCGTTCAAGTTCTCGCTCGCCGAGTAGATCGTGTTGATCGATGCGCTCGATCCATTCGGCAAGTTCGACCGGTTCGAGTGCCGGCTCACTTGGCAGGAGTAGGATATCTAACCAGGCCGAGAGGAGTATCCGGTTTGATGAGTCGATCTTGGTCTGTTGCTCGAGCCATCTGATGAATCCGATGGGACCTCTCTTTCGATAGATATATTTCGCGAGGACTGTCGTGGTGATGGGACCGGGGGGAGTGATGGAATCAATGTGGAGTGGATGCTCTTCTTGGTGGTGACTACTAGTACTAGCCCTTGCACAGACCAGCAAGGCCATGCATGGGTCGATCTTGCTGAGGTCGATGTTTGAGTTCAACTTGAGAGCCAGGTCTGGTCGATCGAGGATGAGATAGATGGATAGCAGACTGGAGTAAGCGCTCGAGTTCGGTTTCCAGAGAGGCTTGTTGCTGTCTGGTGGTTTCTTGATCCGCTTGACCCGTTTCGAGAATCGGCCGCCAATCAGTTCGGCCTGGAGTGAGAGGTCGATGGAAGGCCCAAAGTCGAAGCTTGCAAGTAGTGACCAGGCGCGTTCGATCTGAGTCCATCTGATCAGGTTCTCGATGTAGGCTTCGATGATCTTGATCTGAGCAGGCCTGAGTGGTCGTTGGTTTGAGTGTGAGGCTGATAGTTGTGCTTTGACGACTCTTCTCATCATTCCCATGCCTCTTCCGATGAGACCGCATACCTTGAATAGGTTGGGATAGAACTGGTCGTTCTGATGGGTTGAGTGGCTGGCTTCGATTCGGTTGAGGTAGTAGTTTGCTCGTCTGTGGTCGTTGAGGATGAGTGAGCCGAGCAGCAGGTTATCGAGTTGCGCTTGGCCTGAGCTTGATCTCTGGAATTGGATTGGGTCGAGATGTCGATGGAGGAGTGCATGTTGGATGAGTAGCTGTAGTGGTTTGTTGTTGTTGTTGTTGTTGGTTGATAGTAGTCTGCTGGTGGTTGTTCTGCTTGTGTTGCTGTTGATGATGAGATGGGTCCATCTGCTCCAGGATGAGTTGTTCATCAATCCGCCGAAGCTGTGTATTGGGTGGTTCTTGTTGGATTTCGTTTTTGCTTCAACTCGAACCTCAAGGCCAAAAAAACAAAAAAGAAGCATACATACATACAGCAACCAACTGAAAGACACTACAACAACTAGAGGCCATACAACACTAAACTGAAAACACTTCTTATCAAACTGTAAATCAATACAAATCATAGTAACTAGTTATATAAATTACTTTTACGCTTGATCAGGGTGACCGACCACCAACAACAGGATCATCAGAAGGCACAACAAAAGAAGTCTCAGGTAGAGGACCAGGCTGTGCGGCTGGAGGGGGAGGAACAGGCTGCTGCTGCTCCACAGGCCGAGCGGGACCATCCTCCAAGTGAGAAGGAACACCTGGAGGACAGACTGAAGTACTACCAAATCCTTGAGCCTGACAGTCTGGACAGAACCAATTACCCGTAGGATCTTCGGTCAATCCAGCACATTGATAATGAAACTGGTTTTTGTTTTGGCACAAACACACCAAAAAAAAAAAAAAAAAAAAAAATCGAATGAAATGAAAATTCTCAGCTTTAGAATAATATAGACTCAAGTACGCGTGTAAAAAAAACACCTACCCATTCGATCGGACATTCCGAGTTATCACAAGCGACCATCCGATCCCCATGAACTTCACCCTTACAGATACAGTACGCCTTAGTAGAAGAGGAGTGATTCGAGCCATCCGAGCTATGCCCGTCCTCGACCTGAACTGACTGATCGAGATCGTAGGAGCGATGATTTTTCCGTTTCCTGGATGGGGCGGCCGATTGGGTCTTAGTCAGACGGCTGCTGGTCGGATCCCCATTGGATACAGCGGCCAACTGATCTTCATGAGCAGGACGATTGAGTGAATCGAACTCTGGAGGATCGCGTGAAGGAAAGCTATTCCGGGCCTCTTTGTCGCGTCTGGCCGAGGCAGACTGATCAGCCTGGCTGGGATCGTGGAGAGCTGATTTACGTTGGCGGGGCTTGGCGCCTGCCTCAGCAACGTCATCCAACCGGACGGTCTCCTTCGTAGCTGCCTTCCTGCCCCGTTCAGGCCCCTCCGCCTTACGCGTCGCCGGCTCCTTGCCAGCAGCTTCCCCCGAGCCACCCTCCGTCGTCCCACCCACAGCCTTCTTGGCGTTGGCACGCTTGCCCTTGGGCCCACCGGCTGCCGTGCCCGGATTGGTTAGCCCGCTCCGTTTGGTGTATGCCCGCTTGGCTGGCGCCGGAGCGGCCGCCCCCGCAGGTCCGTCGGCCTTGGTAAGCGTCTGGCGCACGCCTGTCACCGCCTTACGACCAGCACCTCCCACCGGTGCCACCGTCGTCGACTTGGTGGGATGTGAGGAGGGCGAGGTAGAGGCGGTAGATGGAAGCCCATTGGCTTTCAGCTCCGAGGGCTTCGCAGAACTACCTAGTTCGTCGGCTTGCTGAGCTGGTGCATTCTTAGCTACCGAACCGGCTGGGTTACTGATCCATCCAAAAGAATTGAGATCAAATCGCGAGTCTCGAAAAAAGATCATAATAATAAAATTAATCGATGGGCATAGTAGCTTACCTTTTACGTACCCTTTTCTTGGGCCCAACGGCCCCGGCTTGTTGAGAGGCAGGGTTCAACTTGGGTGAGGGGTTCGACCAATCTTCAGTCTCAGGTTCAGCGAGGCCGGAAGAAATTCGAGAGCGTTTGTTTTTACTGACAGGAGCGTTCAGGCTAGGATTTGGGCTAGTGAGACCGATCTGAGAGTGTTGACGAGCCAAGCTTGCAGTTTTCCCACCGGGACGCGGAGGACCAGAGGGCTGGTGATTATCTTCGTGGATTGTACGATGTTTGTCGAGTACCGATTGGGAGTAAATATGTTGATCTAGAAGTTTGCTACCTGTTTCAGCTTGATGATCACGTCTGAGTAGCGAGGGATCATCTCCAGCTTGGTGGGACTGTCCCGAGGCGCCTAGACGAGGTCTTTTTGAGAGGGGCTGGTGAGGATCGAAGGGACGCTGTGAGTTGATCTGCCGGCCGGGAGATCCTTGGTAAAAGTTGATGAATTCACGGGCAGGGATCGAAGGTGGACTGGGTTGTTGGAGGTTGGATGGGTTGGAATTCTGCCAGACCCCACCGATCGGCTTTGATCGCAGGGATCCAGTCAGTTTAGGGTAGCCAGTCGGGAAGGTAGAAGGTGGTATTCGACTCTCCAGAGATGGAGGTAATGAGGAGATCAATAGGGAGGTGGTCGTATCGAGTTGTCTGATGTGATGTGATAGCTTTTTTTGAAGGAAAGAGAAAAAGTCAGGATATCTTGGAATTAATGGAATGGATGAGAGGGACTAACTGATTCACAAGTTCCGTTTGCGACTCTGATCTTATCCTGAGCGCCTAATCTGTATCTCTCGATGTCGGAGATGATACTCCTGAGTAGCTGTAAGCGTTGTTGGGGGTTGATCGACTTGGGTTGTTTGAGTGAGTGAATGAGTTGGTCTAATCTTGAGTGTAATTGGTTGAGTGGGGTAGTGAGCACTGCGTCTAGTTCTTTGAGGTCTGAGAGTGATCTGGTGAGTGAGGGTGGGATGGCATCTAGTGTGTCGGCAAAGCTTTCGACCAGATGGACTGATTCGGCAAATTGTTCGATTGCCATCCTGGTGGTCTCCTGATCAGTTTTCTTTTTCTGCTGTTGTGCTTTGCTGTTGAGTTCGAGTTCATTCTGTGATTTGTTAGTTTGTTGGTTGTTGTTGTTCTGTTGTTGTTGTTGGTTCTTTGCTGCTGCTGCTGCTGTTGTTGATTTGGGTGGCATCTTGGTTGGTTCTTGGATGTTTTTTTTTTCTTTTGTTGGTCAACAGCAACTCATGAAGTCACAGCAAGAGAGAGACTCAGAATCTGTGACAGCTTAGGTGAAACCCGCAGAAGACCGAGTGACATCAACCAATGATGACTTGCCCGACCAATGACGCACAACATCCCATGAATCTCAACTGCAACACATCCTCTGTATTGAAATTTAAGGCACATATTTCAGACAGCTTCTCAAGTTCTGGAATGGATGTAAAAAAACATAGCTTTCCTGAAGAAACGAAATCCTTATCTAATACACTATGTACAGGTGATGAACTACTTCAAGATTGGATAAGAAAAAAGGAAACAGATTTATACAATAGTAAATAGCAGACAGAATGGATCAAGGGAGAGGCAAGAAGACGGGTTGTTTGACGAGGGTAGAGACGGCGAAGTAGTGAGGCTCGTTATGTTCGGAGAGCAGGCCATGACGGACGAAGAAGTCGACGAGGACGGCGGCACAGTTAGGCTTGAATTCTGCGCGCTTGAGTGCCTCGGAGACCTCGTCGAAGCTCATCAGTTTGAAGTCTTCGCTCTCCCCATCGTTCGGCTTGGGCACGATCGTCTTCTCATCTGGTAATTCTAGATCATAGGTATATTGGATCTCAGGCTTTTACAGTAGGAGTGAGTGAAAAAAGATATGTCAATTGGATAGATGCCATCTATTCATTCAGAAATCAACTCACTTGGACCCAGCCCTCTGGACTACGATGGGTATAGCTGATCAATCCAGTGGCTCGGATATGAGTTCGAACGAGCTCTTCTTCCAGACTTGCCTCCTCAAAGGATTCCCGGATGATGGTCTCAAATCCAGTCTCGCCACTCGTGATCCCACCTGCCACCGTATTGTCTAACTTTGATGGCCAGCTTCAGATATTAAAGATGTATTCAATTAGTTAGTTTCAATTTTTTTTTCTGTTTGAGCTTGAAGGGCTAGCTTACGTGGCTTTGGTCGCAGATCTTCTAGGGATCCAGAAGAAATATTCGCCATCTTTCTTCACATAAGCTATCCGAGAGAGAGAGAAGGATCGATCAGATGATGGATCAAGATAACTGATATATATATATATATATATATATTAAACATGCCTGTGAGATGAACGCCGAAGCTCAAGAATCCAAACAGGCCGACGGCTGCACGTTCGATCCTGAAGGCGAGGTTTGAGCCAGGCAGTTGAGTTGGTTCATGGTCTGATTCCTCTGGGTCGTCATCCTTGGGACCATAGACCGAATACTCTTCGTTCCTCCAGCCTACGATATTCCAAGGTGAGATGGTAATAATGATTTGATTGAGGGGGGGGATAGAGGGAGACTGACCAGACAGTTGATCCAAGAATAACCCGTTCTCCTTCCAGCCTCTGATCAGTCGATCCAAGTGTTCCTGCCGGGTCTCGATCCGATCCTCGGCCTGGTTGATCCAGTCCTCGAAGCTAACCTTGACAGGTAATCGGTCACCCAAATCATCCTGGTCATCATCGGTCTCGATTGGGTAGAATAATTTCCAGCATGCTTGGCTGTGGATGCGGTTCATGTGTTGGTTGTCTTGGATGAGAGCTTTGATGATGGCAGGTCTTAGGAATCCGATCGGCTGGCGTGAGTCCCTGTCTGAGATTGCTTGGTCCCATGGGGGTTGGTAGATCGGTTCGTTGAATGGATGGTTGTCTAGTTGGTCTGATGAGTTAGATCGAGTGAGATAGCTGCCGAGTGGTCTGAATTTCGTTAGTTCGGCTGGGTTGCTTGTTGATGATGATGATGATGATAGGCTTCTGTTTGTGAGTCGTTTGGGTGGTGGTGGTGGTGGTGGTAGTCTAATTGGCTTGATGAGTTGTTGTTGGTCTGGTTGATGTAAGTAGAATGGGATGAGTTGTTGTTGCTGGTTGTTGTTGTTGCTGTTGGTTTGTTGTAGTAGTGGGTTGAGTGTTGGATGGTTGTGGCAGGTCTTGAGGACGGGTAGGAAGCTCATCTCGATGTAAATTCTGTTTGTTTTTTGTTTTTTTTGTTGGAGGGGGAAGTTTGTATATATGGTTCAAGAAGGAGAAACTCAGCAGAAGATAACAAGAATACACCCCCCATCAGGTTTCAGCACAATCAACCAGCCGGCCATCTTGTTGATCCACTGCTGATCATCAACCGCTCATCAGTTCTGCTCCAACCTCCAACAGCTCATTCCAAAAACCCCGAAAACTCCCGACAAGCTTGAGGATATCATTAAAGATCCAACCCTACCACGGAAAGCTAAACCACCTAGGATGAGGTTCCAGCTTGTTGGTGTTAAACTCAGATGTCTTGATTTCTTTCCACTTTAATTTTGAGCTCCTGAAAGTCCTTCCAGCTCCCAACAAAATTATGACAAAACCTATGTATGCTCAATCAACACTATCCTTAGCAGCTGCTTATGCAGTCCTCCATCTTTCCTCACCACTTTCTGTTAGCAGATAGCACCCAAGTGGGCCCCTATCCTACTCTGTCGGGGTTGATGGTCCAAGTAGTGCAGGTAATGGGCCCCCTTTTTTTACTGGGACAGACGTAGCACTAGATAATCATTGACCTCTACCAGAAAGACCTGTCTGTTGGCACACTAGAGGACCCCGAAAACCGCCCAAAATGTGGGTGATGACATGTAGACACAAATGATCAAAAACCCAGGTTGACTTTCAACCATCCATGGAATTGGGATCATTCCAACATGGGGACATGTACAGTGGGTGGACTGTTATTTTTGGCTGCTTGTTTTGGGTTCTACAGCTTCAAAGCACAAACTTCAAGTCACAAGACTTGCTGAATTGGTGCAGAATAGCATACTGATTATAAACAAAGTTTTTGGATTTTGGCTTTTTTTATTTGAAAAGTATTTGAAAACAAAAACAAAATCAAAAAGAAATGAAAAAGAAGTTCAAAAAGTTTGCATAACAGACTCAAATATTTTATGCAATTATAAAACATCACCGGCCCGCAGGCGCTGGATGCGGTGTACACAACCGATTAAATGCGCTTTCAGTCGGACTCTTGATTGGGGGGGAAACATCGGACTTGGGGGAGCTTGGGGGGTTTATTTCTCGATCAACAACGACTACGCAACTACACCACTGAAATCTACAATAATGAACTGAAGGATTTGTAGAAGGAGGCCGTCAGTGCTGAGTAGGTTACTGGATGGATGCTTGCGGGAACCCATTAAGGTCTGGCCTTGGTCTTTGGCGGCTGGGCTGGGTTGATGATTCCTTTGGATGGGGGCAGTCGGACCGGTTGGGGAGGATGTGGTGAGAATGGATTGCTATCCACTGTACATATCCACTGTGAGCATGGGCTCCTGTATGATTTGATACCATACAGTCAAATGCCAACCCGAATCCTGCATTCTTTGCGGAAATGAAGTTCTGGAGATCTCAAACCACCTCTGGAGGTGGTTTGAAAGTTTTTGAGTGAGTTTTTGAAAGAAAAAAGAAATGAAAAAGAAGTTTGAATACTTTTGGAAAACTTTCAAATAAATTTCAAAATATCGTTTATAATCAGGGCCTAGGTCTCAAAGAATGAATATGAAAAAATAAAAACAAAAAACAAAGTTTCAAAATCTGTGAAAAATAAAAGATAAAAACGTTTTTTTCCAAAAGCTTTGTTATGGATTTTGGGGGAGTGGAAGTGCTGAGAGAAAGAAAGAGTGGAACATGGCAAGAATGATTATAAATGAAAAAATTGGAACCAAAAAAGGATGAGCCAGGTTGGCTGTCCAGATTGGATCCAAAACAGTAAATTCTAGTGCTTTACTACAATGTGAGCTGGTGAATGCCCTACTCAACAGCTGTTTAAAACCAACTGGTAATCTTTTTTTTATAATTTTCATTTATAATCATTCTTCCCATTTTCCATTCTTTCTTTCTTCCAGTGCTCCCACTCCCCCAAAATGAATATCAAAGCTTTTGGAAAAAAATATTCTCATTTTTTATTTTTCACAGATTTTGAAACTTTGTTTTTTGTTTTTATTTTTTTCATCATCATTCTTTGGGACCTATTCTGCACCACTTCACCAATTCTTGTGACTTCAAGTTTGTGCTTTGAAGCTCTGGAATCCAAAACAAGCAGCCAAAAATAATGGTCCACCCAGTTACACCATTACTTATCCTTAGATATAGAATAAATCCACTTACCTTGAAGAGCATTCACTAAAGGAAAACTTCCTTTGGAAATACCTCTTGACTAGGACCTTATTATTATATCCCATAGACAGTTTCTTAGCACCTCTCAATTCATCTATCTGCTATCCGTACAAGTATTGGTAACCTGGACTGTTACTCATTGCTTGTTATCCAAACCTATATTTCCCAACTTGACTACAGGCAATGGTGGGCCAGCTACGCTAATTGTAGCGTTAGCATAGCGTAGTGTAGCAAAACATCGCTACATTTTAGTGTAGTGTTAGCACTTTTTTTATTTTCTGCGCTAACGCTACGCGCATGGGGCAAAAACTTGCACTAATGTTTAGCGTAGCGTTAGCGCAATTCCCCCCCATCTGCGCTAACGTTATGCGCTCAGGGCGCAAAAAACCACCCGCTGTAGGACTCCTGGTATGGATAGACACCGTAAAGTATATGTATATCAAAAGATCCCTTGAGGGGGAAATAAATTGCAAATAGGTTGAAAGGCTATTACAACCTATGGGTGGTTTGAAAGACCTGCCTCTCTAAATGTACTAAACAAATAACTAAGAGTCTTGTAATCAATATTTAATAATGTATGGCTGATTCCAAGATAGATCTTACTTTTGTAAAGTAATCCCTGTCAGACCTAGATCATGTATCAATCTACTAATGAATCTGTTACAACTTCAGGTTAATAATGGAAACTGTGGTGCTGATGACTTGAGCAAAAAACAGATGTGTTGATATAGAGCTTGTTAATGATCTCTTCCTTGGGCAATTTCTTGCTAAGGCACTTTAATCAAAAAAACTAGAGCTCCGGTACTAATACTACTACTATTTGTTATTGGTTAATTTGTAATGTACTACTACTTATATGATGACTACTACTACTAATAGGCTTCAAATTCCGACCTCTGTGTTGGTTTCTTACTTACTATACTGTTATACTTTGCTACGTATCACTTAATAACTCACTACTTAACTTTCTAACTAATCTCTTAACTAACTTCACTAACTAACTCACTATCACTAATTCTAAATCTTCACTTTACTGACACTCCAGAACACTTCTAGTAGCTCAGGATCAACTTACTGCTCTGTGAGACTTCTGTAGGCTGATGGGGAGAAGGGACTTTCTGGTGGGGAGAGGCCCTTCTTTGATATTGAAGAGTGAGGTATTTCTGCTGCAGGGGACTCCTTGTGGGGGAATATTGCTGCAGGGGATTTCACCTGCACAGCATTTGCACACAGCCTCCAAACAAATAGCGCAGTTTATGCTGTGCTAGGAACACTTAACTCCAGACCTTGTCACATAATACACATGCAAGGGAGCACACCAGCGCAGCATGATGTCATGCATTGCCAGGTAAACAAGCCATCTTCCAGAACAAAGTGCAGCATGATGTCATGCATTGCCAGGTAACCAAGCCATCTTCCAGAACATTCTGCATAGGCAGTCCCAGCCTGCCAGCCCTGCTGTTGTCTCCTTCCATCCAGAGTTTGGGGGTCAAAGCCTCTCCTCACTCCTGCCTTCCTCCCTCCGCCTCAATAATTTTTCCTCCCTTCACTTTCCACAATCCCTACCCTGTACCCTTACGTAAAACATAAAGTGCTCTTATTACACACCGCTCCTCTGTTCCATTCCTGGTTGAGACATGTTCTCCCATTCCTGGTCAAGACATGTTCTCCCACACCACTCCTTGTATGTATAGACACCACTCCTTTGTCCCATTCCTGGTTGAGATATGTTCTCCCACACCACTCCTTGTTAGTACTCCTGTCCGTATATGCCTCACCTCATGCATAATGATTGTTACTTCTCTTGTAATGATTGTCACGTGTATGTAACTATGCTATCCCAACACCTCTGCTGTATGCTTTTGGAATTGGAACAGGCACAGCACACCTCACTGCTACGCTGTGTTACAGCAATTTTTAGCGGTTTTTAGGCGTTTTTTGCTGCTAAAAACACTGTAGTGTAGTGTGACGCTGCGTAGCGGTGCCAGAGGCACACTAACACTACACCAAAAAGTGGATAGTGTGAGCGCCGCTACAAATTAGCGTAGCGCAGCGGCAGTAGTGGTGCGCTAACACTACAAGAAAAAAAAACTTTTGGAGCCGCTATGCTAACGCTACATGGGCCCGTAGCGTAGTGTAGCGTAGCGGCCCACCGCTGCTACAGGTCTGAGTCTTGTACTGCCCTGGCTACTGCTTCAGGAAGCTTGAGTAAGTCTCAAGAGCCATAGAACTGAGCTTCAAAAGAAAGATATTGATACTAGATCCTGTTTCTTATATAGTCTACAGCTAAAGCCCTATAATTCTCCTCTTTTGTAAGTAGTATAAGCCTGACAGCATGTCCAATCACAACTGGGTGGGACTTTGATAAGCTAGCCTAAAGAGTAGGAGAAAAGAGCCATCATCAGCATATGAATGGTAGTTTTGATGTTCATGGCTTATGACAGAGGTCTTGCAGCACAGCAGGCAGGGATTGAGCACAGATGGTAAAGACAGTGAAGTGTCAGTGATTTCTTGGGTTGGAAGTGGCATTGTGACTAGTTTAGGCGACTGAAAATCAAGCTGAGCCTGCTGCTGCTAGTCAACCCATGTGCAGTGCTTGAATGAGAAAAAAGTTCATGACAGCTAATTCAAAACAAAGCATCAAGCCCAACAGCTCAAGTAGAACTGGCCAAATGAACATAGTTTATGTTCCTTTGAATGAGAGGAACCATGCCCTAGAAATATTGGGGTGAAATTTGTTCATCATCAGGATTAGGAATTAATTACTCCAAGAGTGAAATCACGCCCACTGGAGTACTTTGAATCACAATGTGGAGTGCTTTTTAAATATTTCCAAGTCCCAAATTAACATCACAATTAGGATTACAACCAGCTCACATCAGAGCCATTTCTAGAAGGCTTCAGAAAAAATATTAGATCTAAGGGGTGTAAATTGACTTCTGGGAGGGTCCTACATTGGGATGCAAACTCATCCACTGTCTCATCTGATCTGAAACAATCAAGAAAGAACTTAACCATGAACATCAAATATGTATCAAATCTCTAATTTGAGAAGATTAGAGACTTATTAATTATGTAATAGTAGTGGTGCTCAAAGTGGATGCATAGATGTATAAACATAATTCAATTGAAACTATTGGACTATCTTTCACATGATTGATTCAATTTTCATGATAAATTATTTTCTAATTCCCCTTGTGCATCCCTTTGACTCGAATTAAATCTGCAATGTTGGTACTCAGATCTATCTCCCCAGTGCCCAAAAAGCCAGAAGGTACTTTTTCAGTCAAAATTGAAAAGCTGTCTATGTGGCAATATGGATTCCATCAATGAACCTCTGCTGCCATCAAACAATTTGCTGATTTCTGTTGCACCTTGATGTGAGGTACATTTGATCTGTATCCTTGACAAGGGACCCAACAATTGATGACACTTCTAATTTATCTCCTCAAAGAATCTCAAGCCCTCAGAGTCAAACCTGCCAACCTGCGGTCCTCATTTTGCCTACCTATCCTTAGCCAATCACAATGACAATATTTCCAACCCAAATCAGCATCATTTTGCAACAAAACAAGGAAAAAAAACATACAGTTACTTGAGGACTGTTTGGGCCTTGGCAGGGAGAAAGAATTATTTGAATCTGGGCAAAACATGATCTCTGCTGGATGAAGACTGATTTATGGGACATCCTCCCATAAATCATTCATGATTGTGTCTTGTTGTTCCTGGATGTTGACTATACCAATAATCACCTCACAATCTGGCCAGTAATACGTGGGAACAGAGTGATTTCCTGAGCTACATACATAGAGACTAAAGGCTGTTGGTAATCATTGGAAATCTTGTATCCCATTGGATCCAAAAATCATGTGGCCAAGCTAGGACGAGATAATATGATAATCTTCTTGTTTTTTGCTAAATGCATACTTGTTATATCATTATGTATAATTGCATATTTATGTGATGCATGGTCCAACTTCATCCGGGGACTTGGTGTTCGATGCATGTTGGCAGTTTGCTGGGGTTGGCCCGGATAAGTATATTGGGCCCCCTTCCGTAGTGAGCTCAGGATAGGACAAGTTAGGGTTTAGTTATCAAGCAGGGCAGTCAATCTCAGGCAGATCGACCGACGGTCAAGAGCGTCATCCACAACACCTCAACATCAAAATCAACATCAAAATCAAGCCCATCTTCAATCGAGCCACACAGCTAGATACTTCACACAGACTCATCACTGGTCGTCGACAGTCCCCAGATCGACTCAACCATCCAGAAAAGTCATTCAAGCACCAACCCAACATGGCTTCATCATCCAGAACGATCACCATCCTGCCCACACCCAACTCGCTCCAGGAGAGTTGGAACCTCCTCAGAGAAGGGACCGACCAGATGATGACTCGACCGGATGAAGGGATGTCGTATCCCAAGTATATGCAACTCTACACGTTCGTGAATTCAACCCTCCTTCTTTTGGTGCCAACCATCGATGCCCTCACTGACTCTGAATGACTCAAGACAGAATCATGTACGATTATTGTACCTCCTCTAAACTGAACTCGAGTGGGACTGAAACCCTTCAAGCGGCGAACTCACTCAACAGGAGTCAGTCATCATCAAGCCAGTAACTATCCCTATTACCCGCCGTCAAGCCAACAAAACAAAAAAAGTTGGAAAAAAGCAAACTAACGACTCTTTCCTTCACATTTACAGCTGGCGCGAATTTGATGGGTGCTGATCTCTACAAATGTTTGGAACAATACTTTGTGGAACACGTCAAAGGGATCTGTCAAGTAAGCCAAAAGCTAAAGCTAAGCATATGAGAAGAAATTCCCGATCACAGGATGCTAACAAAACCCTATGCACTTCTCCATGTACGGTTGATCAGGCGTCCGTCGAACTTGAAGGCGAAAAGTTTCTCAAGTACTACACCGAGCAATGGGATCGATTCACAACAGGGGCCAGTTTCGTCCATCGACTATTCACCTATCTCAATCGACATTGGATCAAACGAGAGAAAGACGAAGGCCGCAAAAATGTCCACGTAGTTTACACGGTTTGTTTTGACTTACACACACACACACATACATACATGCTCATCGAGTAATCTATATCCGCACTGACGCGAACCAACCAATGGGCATCTTATTCATCGCTTAGCTCGCATTGGTCAATTGGAAAGAGTATTTCTTTGTCGACCTTCAGAAACAGAACAAATTGACCCTCGCTGTACTGAGCTTGATCGAAAACCAGAGGAATAGCGAAACAATAGACCCTAATCTCGTTAAACGTGCGGTTGAATCCTTTGGTAGGTAATCTGACATCTGTATCTTTCTTGATTCACTTCCATGTTAGCTCTGTTTTTATCACATGGCCACTTCGTTCTAACTTGTCATGCGGCGGTGAAGTCTCCCTTGGACTGGACGAAAGCGACTCAAATCGCCAGAATCTGGAGGTCTACAAGGAATCATTTGAAGTACCCTTCCTACAAGAAACCGAACGCTACTACCGATTCGAATCTGAGTCCTTCATTGCCAAGACATCTATTCCTGATTATATGCGAAAGGCCGAGATGCGATTGAAAGAAGAAGAAAATCGAGTTGACATGTACCTCCATCTCAGCTCGAGGCGGATGGTTAATTTTCTTTTATCTTCTTGCCATGTTGTCCTACCAATGTCTAACCCAATCCGCATTTGTTTTAGCTTGTCACAACTTGCGAAACCGTACTAGTCAAAGAACATGCCGAACTTCTACAGGATGAATTTGTGAGGCTACTCGAAAATCAAAAAGAATCTGGTATGCTCCGTCTATTGAATCCATCCAAGAAAGAAAACAATCAAAGTGATTTGGATTAACGAGAAACATGTTTCCTATTTGTTTTCTAGATCTCAGCCGAATGCATGGTTTACTGGGACGTATTCCAGAGGGGCTTGACCCATTACGCGCTCATTTTGAAGTTGCCACTAGGGATAGTGGACTCTCGGCGATAGAAAGCATTGCCGGAGACAAGCCTGACGCAGTCGAACCTAAAGCTTATGTGGACGCGATCTTAGGAGTTTACGAAAAATACTCGGACTTGGTTAAGAAGTCCTTCAGGGGTGAAGCTGGATTTAATGCCGCACTAGATAAGGCTTGTCGAGAGTTCATTAACCAGAATGCAATCACTGGCAAATCTAGCCAGAAATCACCCGAGCTTCTGGCTAAGTACTCTGATCAACTGTTGAAGAAGACCAACAAAGTTGGCGAAGAAACCGACTTGAATATAGCTCTAGTCCAAACTGTCAGTCCTCTTCAACCTTCCATTCAAGCAATCCCTGAATTCTCAACGCGACGCCCATCAGCTGATGACTTTTGTTTTGTTATTTTTGGTCGGACAAATGATGTCTTTTTTTGTGTAGATGACTGTCTTCAAGTACATTGAAGCCAAAGATGTCTTCCAAAAGTTCTACTCAAAGATGCTTGCTAAAAGACTAGTATATTTTCAATCCGCATCAGATGACGCTGAAGCGAGTATGATTAGCCGGTTGAAAGACCAATGCGGGTTCGATTATACAGCCCGGATGCAGCGGATGTTTTCAGGTTCGCTTGTAACGATCTCTCTCTCTGCCACGATCACAAACAAGAATCGGTCTGATGGAAGCTCAAATTTTGATATTCGGTTCATGCTTTGTGCTAAACAACAGACATGGCACTTTGCAAAGATTTGAATGACCAGTTTAAGGAACGAATGGCTCAAACGCATCCTGCCTCTGATCTTCAAGGTAAGTTTTTAAGAATGGCAAGCACCGGAGAGGGTCTCCAAACAGCGGATGTTTCTGACTGTAAAATGCGATTGATTTGGAATAATTGCCAGTTGATTTCCATGCACTTGCACTGGCGACGGGATCTTGGCCACTACAAGCTCCCACCACCGGGCTGACGATCCCAATCGAGCTTGCGCCGACCTACGAACGATTTTCGCTCTATTATCAGAATAAACATTCCGGGCGAAAGCTCACCTGGTTATGGCAACTGTCGAGGATGGAGTTGAAGACAAACTACACGAAGATGAAGTACACGTTCATGGTCTCGAGTTACCAGGGTGCAATCCTTTTACAATTCAACGTCGGCGGTGACAGTCTTTCCTACTCGGACATTTCTAAGGGGACGGCCTTGGATGATGCGACCCTTAGACCCACTCTGGCTTTACTCGTTAAACAGAAAGTGCTGACCCAGGATGATGATACATATGATTTGAACTTGGGTAAGTCTCGATCAATCGATTTTGACCATAATAAGCGTCGAAACCGCTGGATTGGAGGGATAATTGATGTGCTTGATGTGGATGGACTTTGATTGAGTGATCGTTTAGAGTTCAAATCCAAAAAGATCCGAGTTAGTCTCAATGCACCCATTAAGGCTGAACAAAAGGCCGAGTCTGCTGATGTTATGAAGACCGTCGATGAGGATCGGAGGTTGCTCATTCAGGCGGTGATTGTCAGGTAAAGAAAGCTCAGATTTTTTTTTTCCGGTTGGATGATTTGATTTGGTCAGATATCGGTCATCGTTCTGTTGATCAATCATGATACGACAGGATAAAGAGATGGATGACTGACTGAAACAACCCCTTCATCAATGTTGGCTTGAATTTTTCAAGGATCATGAAGTCTCGAAAGACTTTAAAACATCAAGCCTTGATTCAAGAATCGATTGGTCAACTCGCTTCGCGCTTCAAGCCCGCGGTAGTAGATATCAAGAGGGCGATCGAGACGTTGATCGAGAAGGAGTACGTTCAACGTCAGGAAGGAACACGCGATGTGTTTGAATATTTGTATGCTTCCTCTCTTCTCGTTTGATTTCCTGGCCCGCCCATTTGCTGATCCAACTTGTTATTGTTCTGCTCTCTTCCCCTGCTTTGTGGAATGTCTCGATCTCTTGTACCGTTCTTCAAATTATTTTCATTGTGGTTGTTGTTTGTTACCCCCTTTTGTAGAGCTTGATTCTCTACTCATGCTTTTTCTTCTTCTTTTTTTTTTCTTTTGTGGAAGGTTGTTCTTAATATGATAAGTCACAATATTTTGGTCAAACCAGAAAAAAAAAAAAAGTAAGATCAATGAAGGTGATGAAGGCCAGAAAGAAGTTGTGTACATATTCCTGCTCCTACTATTACCTTTCTTTTAATAAATGCTATAAATATATTCCTGCTTCTTTTCATGATACTCTATGTTGTTCTCAGGTGAGGAATATATCCTGGAAGCCTATCCAAGCTTTTCCAGTACGCAGAAAGGGTTTCATCAAGTTGAGGAATATGCTTGAGTGGCTTCCACTAGAGTATGTAGATGTTGCTGTTGGTTTTGGTTGGTCTGGGTTGATTACATAAGCTGACGTCCACTCGATCACTGGCTTATGTGATCCAGCCAAACTGTCAGCATCCCCTCCTCCCTCTCCCCCTTTGCTGTGCAAGCAGTAGTACTGCCACCCAACAACAACAACAACAACAACACTCAACACTCAACACTCAACTCACCACTCCAAACACCCAGACAGCCTAATCAGTATGATCCACCAAGATCACAACAACCGACCACATAGACCTTCAGTCTCTCAGTCCATCACACCCGCATCTGCTCGCTCAGCCCAACCTCAACAGCCCAGTGGCACCCTGGCCGATCTCACTGCTTGTCTCCGATCAACCACAGGTGAGATACCTCCACCATTGGTCAGTCCTCCTCAATCATCTCAGAACCAAAAAAAAAAAAAAAAATCCATACCTTTTCCAAGCATGTTTTTTAATCAAAAAAAAAAAACTTCATCTCATTCAGGTCGGCGCTTCGATCACCGTGTTAGGGACGAGTATATATGTCTTCGGCGGTCGACTGGTCCCTACGCGACTCATGATCTCAGATATGTATCGGCTTGATCTCAACACCCTAGAGTGGCAGAAGATATGGCCTTCCTCATCCAACGGCTCCCCTCAGTCAAGCCATGGAACAGGCACCAGTGATACTAAGGGGAAAGCAAGAGCCACCGATTCAGACCTCAATCAACACTCAGATCCTAACAATCAATCTGCTAACCATCAACCCGACCCATCTGTCACCATCACCACCGACAACCTACCCTCGATCTCTGATCAACCTCGTGGTCCACATCCAAGATACTTTCATTCTGCCGAAGCCTGGGGTCACAAACTCGTCATCTTTGGTGGGATGGGCTATGCAGCTAGTCCTAATCCAACCAGACCAACAACCGATTCATCCACTCCCAACCATCATCCCACCGAATCCGAGTTAGGCTTATGTGTCCTAGACGATTTGGTCATCTTCGATTCAATCTCTCGTACCTGGTCCTTCCCAACTACCACCCCCGCCCCGCAAATCGCCATGCCCAGTCCTCGCTATGCACATCTCAGCTGTCTGACCAGCGAGACCGGTTACGATCTACCGATCAATGAATCAGATGAGGAGAGTAATACTAATACTCATAATAATAATAATAATAATTATATCGAAATCCCCGGTCTAAACACACCCTCGATCAAGATCCTCAAACCAAACAGGCGAAGGAGGCGCAACCTGTTGACCCTGCTGGGAGGACAAGATATCTCGAATCGATATATCGGTGAAATCAACGTCCTCGACCTGGATTCCATGCAATGGATCGAAGGTCGTAGGTGGGAGAGACATTGTGGTACCTATCGAAGCGTGGCTTGTACTGCCCAACTCACTGTCAGACAGGGTGATCGACTCGATGGAAGTGATAACCCAGATCATGATGAAGACAGTCTACGGAGGTTGAGTTGGAGTGAGAAACCGTCCGTGGAACGACCAGAGCCGGTCTATCTATACTCCAACTTTAACTTTAACGAGTGAGCCTCTCCTCGCTTTCCCTGACTCGATCCCTCACCCTTTGGATTATCCCCTCCCCCCCTTTTTTTTTATTCTTTTATACCCATCTACACATGTATATATCACCTACTTCTGCCATCCAGTTCGATAGAGCTCGCTAATTCAATCCAATCTCGTCTTCCTTGTATCTCCAACCTTCTAATAACCTTCCCAATCTATTTTCAAGCGTCCGACGAGATCTCGAACTGATCTCTTATCCGACTACTCCTCCCCCACTACCTGCTACACCCTCCTCAACCGGTCATTTCACAACGATCCATCCCCTCTCTCATACGATGACAGGAGTCTTACCAAGTGGATTAAGATTTCCAACGGGCGCAATGGTCGGTAATCATATGATCATCTCCGGTACCTCCCTCAATCAGGAAAAGCTGCGAGATCAAACCGACTGTTTTGCGATTTGGGCTCTCGACCTCTCTCAAGCAAATCATAAGCATGTGCCGATCAAAGTCCCACATGGCCAACGTCCTGATATCTCAACCTATAATAATACTCAATTCGGGGCTGGTAAAGTGGTCTGGCAAAGAATAGACCCGGGTCGGATCATGATGAGCGGAAGTTGGAACCGAGCGGTCGGATGGGGAAATTGTTTGGTGATTCTCGGTAATAAAGATCGCGATATCGTTGACGATTATCATCATCGTCAGATTAATTTTGTCGACTTGGCCTTTATCGATCTCGAACCGTTTGCGATCTATCAGCCACCATTCTCAAATCAGAGTTACGTTCCTCAAGGATTCAGTAGGGAGACAAGTTTGAAATCTGCACGTCTAGGCCTTTCCTTGCTATCCAACGTTCATCTATCGGATTTTGAAATCGTTTGTGTCGATGGAACGGTGATCCCACTCAACAAGAGGATGCTAGAGGATCGGTGGCCGTGGTTCAGAGATCGGCTGAACGAATTCAAGTTGAAAGCAACTAAAGTCAATGTGGCTTATCAAAAACAGATGCAGCAACATTGTCGATCAAAGTTGATTGAAGCTAATCATTCTAGCAAATCCACAGGGGATCGGTCCAGTGGACCGAATCCGACCAATGGAAGTAGTGTCACTGATTCTTCATCTCAAGAGGAAAGCCAAAGTCCTTCCTCACAATCTTCAACGCCTACGGAAACCTCAGGCAGTGAGCACTCAAAAGTGCGCGCAAATTCGGTTGATTCGAGCTCGTCCAACACAACTGCTCAACTGTCGATCCAGCCGGCAGTGCCGGCAAGCAAGATACCGGAGATCAGTTTGCCGGAGTCATATCAAGTGACCCCTCGAAGTTTATATCTACCTCATCCATCGGTGGTCGTCCAAGCGCTTGTCGAATATCTCTTTACCACCGATCTCGTCACCCCCTTACACCAAACCCCAGCCGTGCTCTGCTCGCTCTTGATCCTTGCTACAACTTACAAATTGGAACATCTTAGGATGCTTACCGTCCATGCCTTGCATCGCTATCTGAGTCCTTCTACCTCCAAGTCCTTATCTCAGTTCGGTGGCCCCGGTAATGTCGCCGCCTTGATCTATGAGGCAGCCACTTTGAGTGGCTGTATGGCGCTTCAAATCAGAAGTTTGAAGGCTATCATCGCTGCCGTAAGTGTTTCACATGTACTTTCCCTCCTCCGGATGAATCGATCTAATATTTTTTTTTTCCCCCTTCAGCAATCGAAACAGCAGAGTTCTAGCACTTCAGGACTAGGCGCGACATCGTCGACCAATAGCCGGACGGTGGTACCGACAGGGGCCGGGCTAGGCGGCTCATCATCTCTGTCGACGGTAACGACGGCGAGCAACACGACCGCCTCCTCGACCTCATCCTCCTCCTCCCTGCCCACCGCCGGAACGACTCGATGGACGTCCACATCTACCGGATCTGTCCCGCCTCCTAACCCCTCTAATTCGAATCCTACCTCTAACCATCCCTCTCAGTCCTCCCCCCTCGCTAACAACAACCAGCCTTATCCTTCTCCAAAAGGACGGTCTGGATGGGGACATCGATGATCTCTTCCTTCTTCTTTCTTTTTTAGACACTATAATACATCCTCATCCTCATCTCCATCATCATCATCCTCTTTCTCTTCATTTCTATCTCTCTGTAGTAGTTACATGAATCCCTCTTTCCTTTTTCCCTTTGTTTCCTTTTGGGTTATCTTGCTGATTTCTTTTTAACTTAACATACACACATATATATAAATACATGGATGGGTTTCTACACATATATGTACACAGTATATGCATACATATATGTATTTATATGTATGTTAACATACACACACACATATATATATATACATATCTACATATGTTTATATTAACTTCTACTCCCAATAGTCTAATTTATCTTATCATTATTGGGTTTATTCATATCAATTTTTTTTATAGAAAAAACCTTTGATCATCTTAGTTTGGTTAATATTAGGGTTGATTAGAACATAGGTTTCTTTAAAGAAGAGAGCAGAAGAAGAAGAAAATAAATAAATGAATAAATAAAAAGAAAGAAACAAAGGAAGTGGTGGTCATACATAACATACATCATCTTGTTCATGAATCTGTATCTGTCTTCATTTCTCTTGTTTTTTTGTTTTGTTTTGTTTTGGTGGTTGATTTGTTTGATGGTTTAGTACTAGACATAATCAGTTATAAGTAGATTTTCGATCATACTCAATACATAGTGACGTAGAAAAATCAAGAAAGAACAATTAAAGTGGTTCTTTTTTTAAAAAAAAAAATTGTTAGATTGATTGGTTGGCCTGTTACAGATTGGGTTTTCTGCTTATGAATATCATGAGATCATGAATCAAATCAATGTATCCAAGATGTTTTCATTTTAATAACACACTTTAAACAGTCCAGAAACGTTTTCATCTTTGTGTTTCAGATTGATTGGAATTTGAAGCCAAAGAAAAGCCAAGATTAAAGTGTTCAGGATGTATTGAATTTGAATCAAGGTTTAATCAATCAGCCTGGCCAAATAATTTCTTGTTCATTGGATGACTCCCCGTCAGCCTTCCTTGACAACCCTTGCAGAATTTCATTCACCCCACTAAGGTCTTGCTTTTTGGCAAACAAAATCTCTTGTCAGAAGCCTTGTAGTGAAGGCCCCCATGTGAGCTAGTCATGGTTTTAATTAAAGTGTTAATTTAGAACTGAGAGAGGTCTAAAAATTAAAAAACACTCTAAACCGCAACAGGAATTCCTTGATTACGTGGTCCAGTCCACACAATCAAGCACTACAAGAAAAACACAGGCCATGCTCCACTCAAGCCTCAATGGAAATCAAGTTCATTGTCTTGACATACTTGAGTGGGATTATGGCTTCAAAGGGGAGAACCAGAACATGCAGAATGAAAGTCTGAGTTTGACTCAAGTTCAGTGTAGAGTATGGTTTGAGCTCTTGCAAGTCAACTGCCACCAGTTGCTTAAGTTTTTCTTGCAGTGAAGACTCATTGGGATCAGACACAGCCTTGATGTCTCTACTTATATAATAGGATCTGGACAGAAGCCATGATCTATCTCCTTGAATCATATCATTTGGTCAGAATGGTCAAGTCCATTGATCACAGCCAATGATGGGCCGCTACACTTTGTCCAGAAGGTGTTAGTGTAGTGGCTCAAATTTTTTTCTGCTGATTTGGTATCATGAGCAGATGGTTAGTGAGGCTACACTGACACTGGATTAATTCTTGTTGCAATCTAGAACCCTTGCAGAATTTGATTTGCACCACTTGGATCTTAAATTTTGGCAAAAAAATAACATTCTGATAAGCCTTGTTGTGAAGGCTTTTATGTGAGCTAGTGTTAATCTAGAACTGAGAGGGGTCTGAAAAACACTCTAAATGCCAAATGGGAAGTCCTTTGTGCCAACTATGGCCCCACTTATTAGTGTTCTATATATGAAGAGTAATATCACATAAGTTATCGTGAAAGTAGAAACTTGACATGTCCATCATGATATCAGCCTCAAGACTAGTCCAAAGACAAGATTATTCTCTGTAATACTCAGTTCAACTGGGATGTGCCCAAACAAGTCAAACTTGGGTGCAATATCTTAACAGATTAAACTGGGATACCCTCATCCCAGCCCATGGTGCTGGCAGTGATGATATGTTCCATTTCCAGGGGTTCAGTTGAACAACTCCCAAAAATTAGCCAACAACTCCCAATGACCATTGTCAGACATCTGTTGGGAGTCATCTTCTAATTTGCAGGCTGGTTTTGGGAGTTGTTGGGCAAATTGTTTTCTTCCTTTTATTTATTTTTTCTATTTTTTAGGGAATTGAACAATCAAGTGTTTTTTTTTTCTTGGTCCTCAAGGGTTTGGAGATGATCAAGTGGAGGACTTCCCGCCACAATTTGTTGTGTTTTGTAGACTGCTCTCAGTTGACAAAATAAGACTCTAATCAAAACCACAACTATCTTGGACACTTGATTGCCTCCAGTTGATACACAGAAGCTCAAAGGAGGCTTGCGGTGTCACTCAAAACTTTGATTCAATGCTCTGTCAATGTGCACATCCATTCCACCATGTCTATACAAAAAATTGTTGCTGTGTCATCAGATGGAGTTACCATCTCAATCACCCCAGATTATGTTCTATGGGCGCCATTTGAGTGACTTTTTCTCATTAGCACAGGAAGCTTTGAATAGGAAGTCAACAGACCTCTTCATTGTCCAAATTAAATTCAAATATTAGGAAGAGAATAAAGAAAAGCCAAAAGATTATATATATATAGGATGGGGCTAACAGGGAACAGAATAGATTAGTTACATGAGCTGGGTAGCAAGTTTTGATGACAAGATTCAGATGAATGCTATTCTCTCCTGGATTCTATAGATACACATTTTTTTAGTGGAAAAAAAAATGAAGATAAAAAATCGATAGCTTAACAAATAGAGGGTTTGAAATAGGTAGGAGTTTTGATGCAGGGATCCGCAAGACATAAAATTTCACAGATTTTTTAATCCAAGCGAGGTTTGATGTCCAATAAAAAAAATAATGATGTCAGATATGATAAGGGGAAGGTGTGCCAGGGATTCTTCTGCTTATTCCAGCTTGGGAGGCTGTTGATCGCGAGGTTCGGTGGGAGTAGAGTAGCGAGAGACCAAGGAGATATCGTCGGTGGCTTCAGGTTTCGGAGGATGATGTTGAGGGGAGCGCAAGCTGATTGGTTTGGGATGATGAGCTTGGATCAGCTGGTTCTCAACGTCCCCACTGAATGAGCTATGTGAATGCTCTGATTGGTTTTCGTCTTCTTCCTCAGATCCAGTGAAAGCGTTGAGGGAAGGAATCCTGGGCGAATACGGCCGATGGGAGTTTTGCGACGAAAGATCTGGGTAGTAAAATCGGTAGCCAAACCACGCAGTCAGAGCTCCTAAGGCTGAGCCGATAAGCACATCCTGCCACTATACGAGCCATTTTTAAAAAAAAAAAAAAAATGTAATATATTCAGATTGGGGTGTGGTTGGTCAAGATGCCAAGTCAGGTGAAACGTACGTGATGTCTGTTGTCCATCGTCCGAGAGATTGCAATCAAAGCGGCCCCGAGTAGAGGAGCAATCGAGATCCAAACTTTGAGGGAGTGACCACGCCGGTCGAAGAGATGTAATTTGCCAGCCAAGTAGAGGGACAGGAAGCCTAATCCGGCCCAGGCGGTACTCGAATGGCCGGAAGGGAAGCTGCGGAAACCGTCCTGGAACTCGCGACTGTCGACTGGGGCGGTGCAGACGGAGGAGTTGCTGAGGCCGTAGCTCGGGAAGCCGGCGTTGGTGGCCGTCGGGCTGGGCTGGCAACGCGATAGCATGTCTGGCCGTGGACGGCCGACGGTGATTTTGACGGTGGTGGTAACGACCAGTGAGAGGGAGAGAGAGAGGGCGAGCCCGAGCAGGCCGATATGAGTGTCCCAACTTGAGCGTAAGAGGAGTTGACTACATATGATGATCAGGACTGCAGGGATGACGACGGCGAGTACCCCGAGGAATGGGACGGGGATCCTCTCGTGTACGGCATGTGAGAACTGGATCGTTGGGTCATTGAGATCGAACTAGGAGGAGATACACAAGGGGCCTGTTAGCAGTCTCCAGGCGCGAATACATCAATCTTGCTTATTTACCTCTCTGTGGTGACCATGTAGGCGATCGAGTAAGCCAAAGATGACGGCCATCAAGATGACGACGACCCAATCTGTGTACAGATCCAATCGAACCAGTTAGCTTTGAGGAGACAGGAATCGCGAGTTTTGCACACCTGCCAAGTAGGACCATAGCAGTTCGATTCTCCTCTCGTTTTCGGTCCGGCGGGAAGAGTTCAAGCTTCTGTTCTTGAAGAGCACATCAGGCAGGATGCCCAAGCGGTCCTGAGGCAGTTGTTGTTGTTGTTGGTTGTTGTTGGTCTTGGGCTGGGATGGTGGCAGCATCGGAATGGACTCGTAGGGATGAAGGTGATGAGTAAGCTGAATATTGAGCCAGGCCGTGTTGAGGTGAGGAGGATAAGAGAAAAGAAATGGGAGTTTCCGGTCCAGGTGAATTAAGAAGTTCAGTCAGTCAGTGCTCAGCAGTTAACATCTTTTTTGATGAGCGATAGAAGGGAAGGGGAAGACCGAGCTCGGCAACTGACTATATTCGGACTAGGAAGCTTCAAGTGCATAGCCGCCTTGCCAAGGGACCGATCATTAACAAGACTATACTTGGACATCGCTACCATCCCTACGTATTGCAGTGTCCAGAGATTAACAAACACATTTCTCAAGTTCAGGAAAACAACACTCACAGAGGAGTATTCACTCCGAGTAGACCGTTAACAGGGAGTATAGTCACAAGACATGGCGAAGCATTCGTTGAAGGTTACATAACATACAAACTAACATCTTCTGTCTTGATAATACTTTTCGAGCCAAGCACCGCTGAACACCTGCGCAGGCTGTTCAGTCATGCAGCAACTTCAATTCCCCAGCAAAGTTTAAGACCGTGGATTTTCCTCAAAACAACTTACAGTAGATAACCTTGATAAATTCAAAGTCATTAACATCCAACACAACTGTGTACCATCAAACAGTCCAGTTCACCCAAAGTATGTATGTATCCTTCACCCACCAGCTATGTATGTATCTGGCCATGCACCAGCAGTCAATGGAATTTGAGAAGCCTATAATGGGATCACTTGAGATCACTTTAAGGTTCACATACAATTCCACAGCAGAGCCTTGACAACTTCTCAAATTCCAGCTGATCAAAGTTGAGGGGTCAATCAAAATCAGGACTAAATTTATCAAAATTCAGTAATTACCATTGCAAGCTGGCACATCAGCTCCTACTTACATAGATTAGTTACAAATCCTGAAGGTTTCTTACTTATGCATGCTGCTGAACAAAAAAAAAAAAACCATACTGCCAGGCTGCTTGGTCAATACAGTAGCATAGATCCATGAAGCTACCCAAGAGTAGGCCAGTTCACATGCCGGCAGATCATGATGAAAAAAAACAATTCTGAACACCTTAACTGTCTACATAGTAGCTTGCCTGATTAGAATATTGTTCAGTAACCTAAATTTGATACTAAACCTCCCTCCTGTCTGATGCATCTTCATTTTATTATCTCTTCACCTCACTCATCAAGTCACAAGATTTCAGGGCATCATCATGATTTCATTGGGAGGCTCTTTGATCCTGATTGTTGATGAACTGGATTCCCAATTTCTTGTTTTAATTTAATTATTGATGGTGTAAGCCTTCTAGGCTTTTTGACACTACTAATATTGATTTTTTACTACTAGTCTACTGCTTAATGACAGGATTCATTTAAATATTACTGTAATAATTTGATTAGTTTGTACCTGGTACTGATTGTGAAAATCTAATTAATGGTTTTCTTGAATAAACAATACTCCTTCACATGTACTGCTTGTTTCCAGGCGCCACCTTCGATGCAGAGTAATTGCTCTCAGTGAACCCGCTGGTGCAATTAGAAGCTGAATTCTTTGCTTCTTTTCCATCGCCAATTATTCGAGCCTACAGCCAGGTTTCAAGAGGTTAAACGATCAGAACAATCTTTGTTGTTTGTATTACATTTGATGAGTAAAAAAAAACTGACCAGTAGAATAATCATTGCAACAAGAGTGAAAATTGAGCTAGACAAGTTTGTCACAAAAAATTTCCTTGCTAATCTGATACTGGTTACAAACAATAAAATCAGCGTAAATACTCATCGCAGGTCTCATCTCAAAGGAATTCCAATGCTTACTCTTTGAGGTTATCTTTGTTAAGATAGAAAACCATGCTGGTTGCCGCGTCCATTGAGAGCGCCATAGACATTGAGAAGTAATGTAACCACAAAAATTCTATTCCAGGTTGAATATGACGAGGTTGCTCATCAACAAATGGACGGGAAAAAAAAGAAGAAGACAAAAGAAAATGGGAGAAACGGATAGAATTCTCACTGAGGCTCCGTGAAAGTTTCCTCGAACCATCTTTGCCCAGTATGATAGGGCCATTTTCCATCTCATTACCGACTGTTTTGATCTCGTTTGGATTGAGGTTTGCTGGCTGCAATTTTTTGGGAGTCTTGATGGGCTGATAAACTGTGGTAACCAATGCAATTACACCGCCGACATAAAACTTTGGAAGTAGATGGTAAAGTTTAAGAATGTATTAAAAAATTTCTACGTGGTATAATCATATCACGAATTCATGAAGAGATCAAATGATACTTACCAGTATGGAAGGGATAGCCATGAACGCCCAAAATAAACCAATGCGGATCCTACTTCTGTTTTTCAGGAAAGTATCTAGTGAGAAGACTTCGTAAGTTGCTTGAAGCAGAAAGTTTCGAGATTCTGATAGAATTTTCTCTCCTCCATCCCATAGCTTGGCCGCATCTGTGAGTAGGTTGATTAGGACGTTGTATGAGACATCTTGTTTTTGAACAAGGCTCGCCTTGTGTACGATCAGGAATATCGAAGCGACCGCTGTAAGTGCTGGGAAGCCAATCAACAAGAAATTGAATATTCCGGGTGGGATGGAGTATCTCTTGGTTCCACCTTGGGAAGGATTAGAGGTACTAGAGACAAAGAAAGTATGAAAGAAGTCAAGGCAATTTTTAGAATTTAGCTTGGTTCGAGTGCGTCCAGTATCAAATGAATACTCTTACCTGATAAACAGCATCGTAAAGGCTTGGATAAATGTAGCACAAGAGCCAGGTAGCTGTTGACATAACCGAATGAGTTGTTGAAAGGCGACGGGCGATTATTAAGATCGTGAACACACCTTTGATATTTCGATCCTAGATGAAGAATTATATAATTGGGTAAATCGATGGTTCAGCGAATTGAAGAAGCGAAGAAAAAAAAAGAGCTTACCACGAAAATTGACTGGTTTGGCGGTTTGAATCCATAGTATTAAATTGTAGTGCGGCATAGCATTGAAATAAGATGCCTCCAAACAGGTAGCTGAGTCCGATGACTAAGCCACTATTCTCAATGAAACATGAGAGCACATAATTATGAGAATTTCAGGGCAAGCTACTTTGCTGTCAGAATTCGATGTAAGACGAAAGACTAACTTATTTAGAATAAAGTAGGGGTTTGCGCCTGATCAGGGGTTTGGCCAAAAGTGCAAAGTTAGCTTGATTGTTCTATTGCTTTGTTTTTATTCATGTGACATGATGATCAAGGAAGCTCACGTGATCCTGAATATTTTCGCTTGACAATCCAGTTATGTTGTGATCCTCCAACTTCTCCCTGGAAGAAAGGAACAACAAGAATGCCCGAGCAGCAGAACATAATCGCAGCAGAGATGCAAGCAAAGATAGTCAAGACAGAACGGAAGATCGGACCGGATGGAGGTTTCTCTAGATTTTCCAGCGCCATGATGGCAAACGAGTATGGATTGAGACCTTCCGGCGCTTTTTTGAGCATGTCAGATATGCGTGGGATCGTCATTGTGTGGTTTGCCATCGCAGTGTCTTTCGAAATTTAGGCGAAAGCCAAAAGGGAACGGAGGGGGGGGGGGGGGGCGGTCGCAAGATTGAGTTGAAGTTCAGAGGATCAAGCCGGTGCAGGTACAGACGATCGGAAGGTGTTAAGCTCAAAAGACCTTAAGAACAAGATCTGATGAGAGTGACCAGGCAGGGATATAGCTAGCTAGCCTCTGGATGAGTGTCCTGGGGGGATTTTTTTTCCAGGTTAGAAAGGTCAAGTTACCCTGATACATAACAACAGACTACAGTAACCTCAAAAATTTTACTTTAGATCAACCGCAAGAGCACACCTATTTGCGTGCTAGCTTATAGTACATGTACACACTCAAAATATCTTGACCGGTGTGCTGGGAATGGCAAGCACTGAAACAAGATTAAATGACTAGACATTCTGACTATCAGGTTAGCGCGAGTCAACGAGTATTAGTGCGAGCGAGTCAACAACGCTGGAGTATTACAGGTCAAGCTCAAGCACGTTCAGCTTGACCGACCAGTCAGGTAAAGATATTGAGAAGACGAGTCGACCGGCAAGAGATATTCAAGTCTGCCTGCTTCTACTAAGAAACTTGTCAACTTCCTCCAAGGAGGGCCCGCCATGTCGTAGGTCGCGCTCGCGCAAGCTCATTCAGACGCGATTTTCCTCGAGCGTAACAAGACTTACGAGCCCCCGACGTGAGGTGCAAGCGAGGTTTATGCCTATGTCCACGGCAGGGAAGTTTTTTTTTTTTTTACTTGCACTCCAAGGCAGTGGTGACGATACGCTACCACGACCAAACGAACCGCCCCGCCGATGGTTTGTCTATGTACCGACCGTGAGAGCACCGCAACTTGGACGAACCTGAGCCTGAGGGCGTATGTAGCATGCACCGGCCCGGTCACGCGGAGGCTCTACCCCTGTCACTTCAGGATCCCGGTTGATCAGGGTCTCATGAGGAGAGACAGCTTAGAAGGCCCTAAGACCTCGCCAATCGAACGAGCACGGTCTCAAGAAAGTCATTGATGGTCATCGCTTCACAACCGCTCAAAACCGCCCATGTCGCTCGCCAGCGATGGGGCAGAGCCCACTCGATGAGATCCGAGAAGGGTGGCGAATACTGGCGACGGCAGGCGACGGCGTATGAGACGCTGCGGCTACCCGCGCCGACCCCAGCCCCTTTCCTCGACGCGAAGCGCCTCAAGCTTCGATAAGTTAAGTCTGCAAGTTCTCCCCGAATCCCTCCCGACTCCCGAGAGGAACGGACGGTCCGGTCAAATCTGCACTCCGCAGGGGCCGGATTGTGGAGCAGCTCATCGGACACAATCTGTCCGGGTGTCGGAGCGGCTTGTCCGGCCCATAGAATCCCATCCTGGTAGTTCCAAGGAGACAATGGGAAAATCTCCAGCGCGCTTGAACACCATTAAGGAAGATGTTTGACCAACCACACATTTCCCCGGTCATCACTACAGACTACGGCAAGACTACGTTATCCTACCAGAGTACCGTCTTGAAGCTCTGAAGACTGCATTCGGTGAGTCCTCAAAGCCCTGCTTCTCCTTCATTCTGGAAATGGTCAATATTAATTAGAAGATATACAACCCTTCTTGACCACAGGAGCACTAGATTCCGTTAATTCAACCACTTGATACCCAATCGATCGATCGAACCCTTTGAGACTATAATGTCGACCCCCAGCAGCTACGAGCCCATCGACCCACGTGACTTCGAACGGAGGCCTTCAACACCAATCAACTCGAGGGCAAGTCCAGATAAGAAACCGATCTGCTCTGGCCTATTCATCAGCTCAAACTCAAGCTCAGCTATCTCGACCACCACCACCATCATCACACCCACTAAGAATACCAGCCAGACTACCAACTCATCATCCAAATTTACCCCAACCAGAAAACAACCCCTGACCAACAACAATAGCAATAACAACAACAGCAGCAGCGGTAATAGTGTCGAGATCAATCAGATCAGAAGACCTAGACCTCAATCTGCCATCATACAACCATCAGCATCTTTTAATTCCCTCAACTTAACCCCAACCACCCCAACGCGAATCAGAACAATCACTTCTTCCTCTGCCTCACTAGCAAGACCCGATCCCAATCTCAGATCACCACAATTTATACCTCATCAAACAACATCAATACTACCCCCACCTTCATCCCTCAACTCACCATTCAGAGCCAGTCTCACTGCTGAAGCGATCCCTAGAAAGAAATCAATTCTACCCGGGGCGCCAAATCCATTGCACCACAACAGGCTCAGGAGCTTAAAATCATCATCATCTCCATTCACTAGTCCACTCTCTTCCAGTCATCTCAATCAATCCCCAGCTCACATTCAATCCCCTTCTCTCCTCAAGAAATCTCAATCTCATCTCAGCCTTTCTCAATCTCCAGCCCATCTCAACCGATCCCCGACCCTCTTTCAAGCACCTATCGTCAATCAATCTCTTGTTTATGATACCCCGATCGAAGAACCTCCGATTGGCAAAGATCAACTTGAAAATGTCCTGGTTGCCATTCGATTAAAGGGGGTTGTGGATCCTCAACTGGATTCACCCAAGATCTACTGGTCAATAAGTCCAGATGGAACTCAGATTGGCGAAGTAACCCCCCAAACGTCTTGTGGCTCAAACCAATCAAGTAACAGTACTAGTAGCTGGAGTTTTGGTGAGTAATTTTCATATTTTCACCCTTTTCACAACTATCTAATTCAATTGATTCTCAACAGATAGCGTTTTTGGTCAGAATGCCACCAATGAGGATGTTTACAGGAGGTCCGGAGCCAGGGATTTGATATTGTGAGATTTTTCTCTTAATCATCGTTAATTGCTATTCTTGATGTGATTAACTGGCCACTAATTCTATGTGCTATACGTTCAGATCTGCGATGGCAGGATATGATGCAACGATCTTTGCGTACGGACAAACAGCTTCCGGCAAGACTCATACTCTCACCGGCTCTGCCCAACAACCCGGAATCATCCCACTTTCCGTCCAGGAAATCTTTACGTTCATTCGATCAGTTTGAGTTCATTCCTCACTACTACATCATTGAGCTTGAAAAACGATACAATGCTGATTGTTTTTTTTTTTTCTCGCGATACATCCAGCATCCCGAAAGGGAATTTCTACTGAGAGTATCATACTTGGAAGTCTATAATGAACAAATCCATGACTTACTCGTTCCGACTACTCAATCTACCTCACCACCAGTGAAGATTCGACAGCAAACAAACGGGATGTTTTTCGCAGATCCAGTGAGAGAAGAAGTCGTGACAAATGTGGGACAGGTGGCCACATTGATCAGCAGAGGAGAAAGGCAGCGACATGTGGCTGGAACCGACTGGAATGCGCGCTCTAGTCGATCACACACCATATTTGGAATCGTCATCGAATCGCGACTCTATGGTGTTGAGGGCGGCGTGAGGAGGAGTAAAGTTTGTTTGATCGATTTGGCTGGGAATGAACGCGCAAGCAGTGAAGTCGAAAGAAGAAGCGAAGGTTCATTCATCAACAAGAGGTATGGACTACGCCTTTGAATCGCGTGAATCAAAGATATCCTCAAATCTGAGAGCTTTTTTTCCTGCCATTTTAGTTTATTAACCCTAGAAAAAGTGATCAGCGGACTGGCAGAACCCAGTGGCCAGACTAAAAAACGAAACCAACATATCCCTTATCGCGACTCGAAACTCACCCAAATCTTGCAACCTTCTCTATCGGGAAAATCAAGAGTTTGTGTGATTTGTACGATGAACTGGACGTTTCAATCGATTGAAGATAGCCGAAGTACATTACGATTTGCCAGTCGGGTCAAAAAAATTCAAACCAGTGCTGGTGTAAATGAGATCTTGTCTGACAATGCTCTAATGATCCGATATCGACAACAGGTCAGCATCTCTCTTATAGGCTTCCTCCAGGTCTAACGTCTGCCTTCGGCTTCAGGTGAGCTGACTGTGTGTTATAATTTATCTAGATTGTTGATTTGCAGACTCAACTGAGGGATGCTGTCAACAAAGCTAACCAAACAAATGAGAATATTGACCATTATCAACAAGTTCCGCATAAGCCTGTCACCGTGGGCGACGAATCTCAGGTCAGTTCTGCCTTTTTTATTTTTCATTTCTCAAGTGTACCTTTTTTCGTTGTGCGAAGATACTAATATTTGGCTCATCCACATCAAACCGTCGATAATAATCAGATCGAAAAGGCTGAAGAAGAAAGATTGAAGATCAAGAAACAACTGAAGGAATTGCAATCTATCATTTTGAATGCGGATACCTTAGATCAAGTGGAGGGTTTATCCAAGGAAGCTAGACCTGTTAGTCCTGTCAAGAAGCATTCCAACCAAGCATGGATATCAGGATCGGATTCGGATTCAGAGGATTCAGATGTGAGGATTCATTTTCTTAATAGTCTTGTCATGAAATTGTTTATTAAACTGTGATGCTATTTTCTAGGAGAGAGAAAATGGAACCAAACCAGCGGAGGGAAAAAAAAGCAGACGAGAGAAGATGCTGGAAGAAAGAATTGAACTACAGGCGTATGAAATTGCTTGTTTGAGACTTGAATTGATTGGATTAAAATTCAAAACAAAAAGAAATAAATCAGTCCATGAAACCACGAAACAAACAGAAGCGGACAATTCAATGAAAGACAAGGACAATGAAGCAAATGGCGAAGTCCAAGATCATGAAATCGAAGAGGCTGTTAAACGCGTAGCCGAATCTCGAGAGTCTCTCGAAGATCGGTTGGCTGAACAAGTGAGTCCACGACGCTCATGATTAAACTCAAGGTTGAATCAGACTGCTAACAAGATCTGCGCCTCAACTCAAAAGGCTTTAGAAATCAAAAATCGGAAAAAATTTACTCAAGAAGTCCTGAATTTATTGGACGCTTCTCGTGCTGTAAGTTTTTCGTTGACCCCCAAAAAAATGGGAAAAAAGATGCACCGATTTCATATCGATCGGCAACCACTCTAAACATGATGTTTCGTTTTATCCGTTTTTGGGTTTGATTTGAATCAACCTGATCGATAGAAATCAAAAAAATTGGAACTTTTCGTTTTGAAAGAAATGCAGAAAGCGACACGGAGATTATCGACGATCGAACGAAACGCGTACTCCAAGAATAATCGTAATCAATCTGAAAGAGATGGTGGAAAGAAACTATCCGGTAGAAGAAGATCGAGTTCAATCAATAGCAATCCGTATGGACCTTTACTGTCGAATCCATCATCCCTTGGCCAATCAGTAACATACCACCAGAATCCTAATCAACATCAGGACCAGCTGATGGCTAAACTCCAGAGCAATCTTGACCTACATTCAAGCGTAATTAAAGATTCTTGCGGTAACCTCAGGACAACAGTCGAGAATCGCCACGCGGTCGAATCTGATACACAAGTAGAGCCCAATTCGTATGACGACGAGACAGAGACTGATGATCAAGAGATTTCAACTCTGCTATCGATTGTAAATGAGTCACCCGAATTGGAATGTATTAGAATGAGCTTCGGAGATACTGGTCATGATCGAAATCATAGCGCCAGTAGTAACGAGCCTCATCGCCTGCATCGTTAGTTTATGTATGTCATGTAAAGCGTCCAACCAACTAATTTTTATTAACTCGTCTTTCTGTTTCTTTCTCGATGATTCATCATGGCCGATTATCTCCTGTTTACCCTTTTCAAAAAAAAAAAAATCTCGACCATTTCTTGCTTGGATAAAAATGTTTTTTTTGTCGAGTCAAGCTTTCTTGGCTTGTTTGATTCTGCTCTTCTTGCTATTCTATCGCATCTGTTTCTTTTTTTGATCAAAAAGAATCCCGGCTATCTTGTGCTTTGTCTGCTTCTTCTTACTTGATACCATAGTCTGACTTCCAAAGTTGATGTATATAGTTAGTACATAGTAGTACCTTGTGCTCCTTCATGTACCCGCAATACATATATGCCTATCACATATTTCTGATAATATACATTCTTCGGTTCTTTTTCATAACTTGCATGTTCTCATGGGTTACTCGCTGCTTCCGGTAAACCCTCTAATCTCTCAGTAAGACTCTTTATCTCTCAACTCACATATTGAGGGGTTGTCCTGTCCTATTACTTTTTACTAGGCTTCTTATGTCACCTTCCAAATATTGTGACTGATTCACTGCTTTTCAACGCCAGATTGTGTTCGTCAACTAACTAACTGTAATAACTTCAATTATTTTAACAAAATTGGTCTAAGAATACATCGCACGCAGTTTTGGAAATGATGATTGTATTAATTTAATTAGTGGAGTTTTGGAAATGATGGTTGCATTTATTTAATTAGTTTGCGAAATAGAGTAATGCCTTTCCATTTTCGGATAATCTATTCTTTTCTGCCAATAAGCTTCGTGATAGAGGAAGTCCTGCTCCGAAGAAATTCGCTAGACTGATTGCCGTCTGTCTTGGACTCTTTTCCATCTCCAATTATTCGTGCCTACAGACAATTTGAGAAAATTGGCACTTAGAATGATGGCAGTTTTTGTTAAGGTAATTGTGAGGACCAACTTACCAGCAGAATAATGATACCAACCAGGGTGGAAAGTGAGGTCCCCAGATTTAACACCAGGAATATTGGCCCCAACCTGACGCTGGAACGATGCGATATTAGCAAAAAAAAATCAGTCATGTATTCCCGACTCCAGTTTATGGGAAAACTCGTAGGGCCTACTCGTTTAGATTCTCTCTGTTGACATAGAAAGTCATTCCAGCTGCGAGGTCCCAGCAAAGCGCCGATGACATTGCCAAGTAATGAAACCACAAGTATCCTGTTTAACGTTGAATAGCAGTTTTCTCTCATCAACAAAGACATAGAAAAAGAAGTAAAAAAACAAGAAAACTTGTATGAATAACGAGACACAAGTTCTTACTCAGACTCCGGGCTAGCGGGTTCGAGCTTTCAGTGTCCAATTTGATAGGGGCTGATCCAAACATCTCAGGAGGAGGTGTTTGGTCAAGGTCCATTGTATTCACTTTCCGGGCAGTCCTGTCGGGCCGATAGGCTGTGGTAACTAACGCAGACACACCGCCGATATAGATCTGCCGGAGGAGAGAGTGGGGTTCAGTGAATTCCTGTATGATTTCGTATATCACGGATAGGTTAAAAGCTACTTACCAGAATGGGGGTAATATCCGTCAAAGACCAAAGCATTCCTATGCGAATGGCGCTTTGTGATTTGAGGTACGCGTCTCTTGTGACGTTTTCAAAGGCAGTTTGGAGTAAAACCTTTTGAGAGTCTGTTGGTATTTTATGGCCTCCATCCCATTGATTGGCAGCATCGTGGAGCAGCTTGATCAGGGCCTCGAATGAAATATTGTGTTTATGAAAGAGGCTCGCTTTATGTGAGATCAGAAAAATCTCTCCGAGTGTTATGAATGCTGGGAAGCCAATAAGCAAGCAGTTAAATACAGCAGGCGACATGGAATATTTCTTATCTCCACCGCGGGTGGAGGGATTAGATGCACTGTTTACCGAGGGACACAGATCAAGTGAAAAGGAAAGAAGGGCAAATTCAACGTTTTGACTCATTTATGTAGTCTGGGTGTCCCCAAAAGAAAAAAAAACACTTACCTGATGAACAACATTGTAAACGCTTGTATATAAGTAGCGCAGGATCCAGGTAACTGGAATCATAATTGGATAAGCTTATGAAGGAACACGCGTCATTGTCAAGAGACGGTACACACCTTAAATACGTCGATCCTGGAAGATGAAACATTTGTTCAAGTACTATCAATATTGATATACTATATTACAAGAGGGAATCGAAGTCGGGAAAAGCAAAATCTTAATCACGTACCATGAAAATATAAACGTTTGGCGAGGTGAATCCATCGTGTTCAAGTATTGGGCGACAAAGCCTTGGAACATTAAACCTGAAATCAGGTAGCTGACTCCAATCATTAAGCCACTGGATTCCAAACGAAATATTTAAACACATTAGCATCTTGAACAAAATGTTTTCATTTAAGATCTCAACATTATGGTAGACTAACTTGTTTATGATCCAATAAGGTTTATCGTCTGGTCAAATTTTCGGTCAAAGGGTTTGCGTTAGTTTGAGAGTAGGAACTAGGAATCTACATTTTTCTTTTTTTCTGGGAAGCTCACGTTGAGGCAAATATTTTTTCTTGACAATCCAATTGTGTTTTGCTCCGCCAACTTCACCCTGAAAGAAAGGAATAACAAGAATCGCCAAACAACACAAACAGACTATGGCATAGATACCAGAAAAGCCTGCCAGTGCATAACGGATCAAAACGCCGGATACAGGTTTCTCTTGGTTTTGCAGGTCCAGGAGCGCAAATGTAAATGGATTGGAACCCACCGGCGCATTGCGAAAGAGGTCGAATAAGTGAGAATTGATCGCAGTTTGGTTTTCCATGCTAGCGTGATTCTAGGTGATCGAAGATTTGGGTGAAAACTAGCAAGTTTAACAAGTAGAATACTGAGTCGTTCGAAAGACCAACCTGGGTCTGGCGGAAGCAGCCGGATGGAGTTAAGCTCAATGGGTTGAGGAATCTCTCGGACTTAGGAAATCAGCAAGCATATAAATGCCATCCAGAGTATCCCCGTTCCTAATATTTCCCTTGTCTATTGCAAGTTGGGTCATGGCAGAGGAGATCGCTGATACTTGGTGATAGTAACCTTAAAACTTAACCCGCGACAGTAAAGTTGGGGTAGCCAGCTTACAGTCATGTGCTGGATGTTTAGCTAGCCAGCACAAGTATGGAAGGCAAGAGGAAAGGCAGTGTCAAGACGGAGCTGACCATGATGATGAGGATATTTAACGCACTAGTCTTAGTGCGATTTTATGACTGGTTAGGCCGGTCAAGTATAGTCAAGTGCACCGAGGTGTGCTCAGTAATGTATGGGTAAGCTAATCGACAAGGCGCGATGTCGGACTAGCTTACGTTCTCCACAGATTCGCTGGTCCTTCAGCATCTTCTGCACGGAACTACACCGGTACCAGGCCAGTCCCACGCCGACTCATGAAACGTTGGGAGGGCTGTCTACCGTGATGAGGTCACTCAGCTGATACGTGTATGATTGGTGGCCGGTGGGACCAACAAGTCGCCCACCGCGCTCCAACTTCCCTCTAAATCGCAGCTCTCCCTGCTGGTAGGCCATGTATTAGGCGCACCAATGATCCAATCGCATCCCAAGTACTTGGTTCTGCGGTTGGTCCAACCTATGATGTGCCCAGTTCGAAAAGGCCCACCGTACAAAAGTTTCTTGAATGTGTGCGGCTGTTTGGATATCAAAGCTGTGCCAGATTTCTTCGATCCTCCTTGTTTTCAATTAAGGCATTTTGATCCCGGAAGTCGGTTGAGCTGGCGATCTACACACAACTGATCACATTGCCGCAAGGCATAACTAGCACATTGGTACAAGGGAGCACTCCATGATATCCTCAAGCAAAAAAAAAAAATCAAAACTTGCGGAGGATCAACTTCAACCAACCAAAGTTGCTGGAATTCAAATCATCTGTCAAATCTGCAGTATAAAGAAACCAAGTCCAATAGATCAAGACCCAAAACCACCCAAGTTGAGTCAATGGTACAGGCCATTAGTGGGGTTCAGAGAGCTTCTCACAAGAAGCTTTCCTAAGCTTTCTTAGTCCCCCAAAAAAGCTGCAACACTGCTGTGGGCTTAACCTGGCTTAACATTGAGCTCACTAGAAAAAGTTTTGCGTCAGATTGTGCGCGTGCGCGATGACATCGCATGGTGGCAAGCGATGTTATCGCGCATAGGTAAAATGCTATCCAAAGCTTCCCCCTTTGAAGGAAACGTATTGAATCGCATTGTACATACGCATGTAGCGCGGCGATCTCAATGACTGGACTGATTGAAACGATCTTGTTTCGTGGAATTGACTGCTCGGGTCAGTACAGTGAAACAAGGAAAAACGTCGGAAGTTGGAACAAGGGACAACTTTCCAGTGATCCGTAATGTATCCTAATGTATCTCACGAGCGCCGTTGAGCGCCGTTGTTGCCAACCGACAGGAGAATTGATTGGGCCGATCCAATCTTCGAGCCCGGCATCCATGTAAGTGCGCACAGTCAAGATTCGCTTCGCACTTGAAGAAATGGTCAGCTCAATATTAAGCTTATAGTCTGGATGTCAAGTCGTTCCCCGCTGGTTGTAGACTTTCAGTGCTTGTCTTTCCCAACACACTAATTGATGCGGCTTATTTAGAGGAAAATTTACAAGTTACTGTTACCACGTATCAGGTAACTTCATCTTGTCTTGACCTTTCCGGTCTGAAAGACAAACTCCAGAAACCATCATGCTTGCTTCCCTACTGGTTGGCTAGATATCTGATATATCTTATCATGGCCTGGCGGGCTGCCCCTCAGAATCTCGTATTGTCAGCTCCGAGTTTAATTCCTCCCGCTCGTCTGCATACGCCTGACCCCAGCTTGGTCCTCCGAACTAGTTTAGTACTCCAATCGGTATCCCCCCTCCCCGACTTTTCATCCAGTAATATTAACTTAGAATTACCCCGGTATGTCATCCCAAACGAATGTAACACTCCCGGCAAGCATCTTTGATATCATGACCAACGCGACAGATGGAACCAATCCATTTTCCTATGCAGTGTTGGCGCTGGAAAAATTAGAGAAACCTCCCTCCGGCGCAAGCTTGCGCTATGGCTTGATGGCATTTTCTGGCGTGTATGCTGCGATTATGCTCTGCTGTTTGGCTATTCTTATTGTTCCCTTCTTCCAGGGTGAAGTTGGAGGAGCACAAAATAATTGGATCGTCAAACGAAAATATTCTGCCTCATGTGAGCTTCCTTCTTGAATCATATGATTGTCAATTCCCAAGAATCCTGCCCACGCTAATCAAGCACGCATGTTTCTAAAAACCTGATCAGATAAATCCCCCTATTTTATTCTAAACAAGTTAGTATAACGTCTCGCATTATCAATTCTCACAATGCGAAATTTGGTTTCCCCCAAAATTCTGATAACGTGCGCTCGTTTTTTGATGACTATAGTGGCGTGGTAATTGGAGCAAGCTACCTGCTTGGAGGTACCCTATTTCAATTGTACGTTGGACATCAATTCAATACCATGAATTCAAACCGCAGCAACAGTCCATTTTCGTGGTAAGTCATGAACTCTTTTTTTTCTTTTCGTTTTTATCTAAAATTCATTCATCCATTGATTTACACAAACATCTCTTCTGCTAGGGTCGAGATATTCAAGGTATGTATTTCAGGAATTTAAACATCCACGCGTTGTTCCTTAAAATCCTCATGTCATTTGATTTTGTGTCCAGCTGCCTTTCTCGTGTGCCACTTTTATACAAGCTTTTACGATGCTGTTTATCAGGTGAATGATCATGTATCCTGATTTTTTTTTTTTAATTTTGGAGTACTCAGGCCAAGCTAACGCGTTAGATTTTCTTTTCTTTTTCTGTTCTTTCTCTGTCTCCAGTGCATCCAATCCTTCTCAAGGTGGAAGCAAGAGATATTCCATCCCCCCCGCCGTATTCAACTTCTTTCTGATAGGTTTCCCAGCACTTATTGTAGTCGTGTCGCTGTACTTGGTCGGATACAAAGTGGTCTCATTTCAGCAACAAGATGCCTCATACAACTTCCTAATTAACCTACTCGCAGATGCTGGCAATCTATGGGATGGAGGCAATCTAATTCTAGCAGACTCGCAAAAAGCTTCGCTTCAAACTGCGTATGAAGTCTTCACCAGACACACATTGCAGAAAAACGAAAGCAGGTTTCGCATAGGTATATTTTGGTCTGTCGTGGATATTCCCGCTATCGTGGTAAGTGCCATTTGGCCTACTCATGTTACAATCAAACCACGCAAAATTGATTAGATTTTCTCAATCCCTATCACTTCCGAATCCTACCAAAGTTTTATCTTGCTGGTGTTTCTGCGTTGGTTACGACAGTTTACAAGCCCATCAAGACCCCTAAACAGTTGCAAACAATACCCTACAGTTTAGATGAAAAGATCAAATTACCTCCTGTGCAGATGTTCGGAAGTGCACCTATCGTACTCAAAAAGGAAAATCCGAACCCGTTAGCACGGAGTCTAAGTAAGCACTTGCTTCTGTTTCCGCATTTTGTTTTTCTATCTGCTGATGAGCATTCAACTCTTCTTTGATCTGGAACAGAATATTTATGGTTCCATAACTTAGCGATGTCCATAGCACTCTCCATGGACTTAGCAACCAGTATGATTTTCTATCTCAACAACGACAACCTCAGACAGTAAGTTTTGAAATTTGTTACAGGCTCGTGTTGAGTATGTATGCTGAAGTGATTTCTTGGCGTTAATCCAGGCTGCGGATGGCGGGGAAGTTCCTTATTACAAATCTGTTGAGTGCAATCTTCATTCTCCTTGCACTGGTTATTCTACTGGTCCGTTTATCTTTTTCCATTAAATATTCAACACAGCATCTTTCTGAGTGCTTAACCTCTCCGAAACTTTCTGTAGGCTCGAATAATTGGAGACGGAGAAGAAGCGAAGAAATCAGCTGCTAAATGCACTAGCGACTACGAGGGCGGTCACTCTGGATCATTGAAGTTGGTACCTGAGAAGAAGTAGTTACTAGTAAGAGTCAAAAAAAGGAAATGTAATTTTTCATTCAAAAGACATTTTAATTATTTATTATCATTTTCCCAACGTAATAAAAACATAAATGAAAAGCCTAGAAGGTTATTATAAGTTAACAAGAGATTATTACAAAGTTGGGAGCCATCATTGCACAAGCTGATAATAATGAAAATTGACGGGACCATTGATGGGATCTTTGGGGTGATCATTAGATCTGAATTATGCAGGTTTATGGAGGACGTAAGATGAAGTGCATTCATTGATTCAGAGCTGTATCTTTGAAGTGTAGTTCGACAATTCTTGAGCAAATTTGTTCATGAAAAGTACGTCTTCTGCTCCGAATACCTTCTTGGGATCATCGGTGTATCCAGATAGAATGAACCCGCCGGAGTTGTGGTAAGCTTCTGTTCCAATAGCCAGTATCATCGCGGATGCACACGGCTTAACACCAGTGCTTTGGAACCGTAAGCCAGCTTTTTCAGATTCTTCTGCAGTGGGGTTTTGGTATAAAAGGCCGCCTTGAGGTGCTCTTAATGCACGGAGACACAGATTGCCGTCAATCACTGGGACCGGTGACGGAATGTTGTACCCTGAAAGTATCATCGTTCGAGCCGATCCATTTGATACGCTAGCAGGAACTACAGCTACTAGACATACCAGAGAAAAATCTAAGGTCTGTCCAATCAAGTTAGTCGCAAGATCAAAGACTTTCCGCATCTTCGGAGTTAAAGCCGCATGAATGTCATCGAATAGACCGAAACCAGCGTTCATAGGCGATTGAAATGATGGGGCTTTGTGAGATGATGGTGCAGTGGATGCGCTCGATATTGAGCTAACACTGTTGAATCTTCGGAAAATGGATCGACTGGATGATGGTATGACGGTTTGGGTGCTTGAGATATCGGCCAGTACTTCAGATTGCAGTGAGTCGTCCTCTCGGATTGGTGATCTGGACACAAGTCTCAACTCATGGCACCAAGTTTCTTGGACGGCAGTGAGGTTCTCCATCTTTTGATCCATCTTTCTTGCGAACCATTTTTCGATTTCCCTTCTTGCGTATTCAGAAAGATAAACCAGCCTCTTTCGGTCATCCACGTTGAAATTTTCTCGAGGGGCAAAATCCATGATGCACAAGGTACCAATCGGGCACGTTTTTTCTTCAGATTTTTGACTTTTATCAAGGTTAGGTGCCATCAATGGGACCCCAGCGTAAAACCTCACTCCATAGTTCTGCACCAACGGACCGTTTTCAAATCTCCAATCCTTGTGAGAATCGAGGACAGCAAAACCCTTGCGACCACTGAGGATGGTATGTGCGCCTGCAAGTGTTAATATAAAGAATGCATTTCAGACTAAGCCATCCTGATCCTATGACGCCGATACAAGGGAATTGCTTACAAAAACTGATTTCTTTTGGAATATCTCGCATCTCTGGGAGGCCCACTTCAGTCAAACCAGAGGCTGCTAAAAATACCTGGCGATCGTCGTCAAGCACCTGATCGACCATAATAGACGTCAGCAATTATTAAAAACAGAAGAGAAAAAAATGAGAAGAGCGTACCGATAGAAGGCAAATCGATGTGCTAAAGAGCTGACGACACTCATTGACAATTTTTCTTAGAACGGGATGTTGCTCCAAAGTTACAGGCGGTGATGGAACACTCTTCATTCCACTGGCAATGACTGATTCCTCAAAAAGATCAACACCACGATCATCACTGCAACGGGAAGTGGGACGTTCCCAGGCGGAATCGAGACTTGAAGGGGCTTTTCCATCAGCCATCAGTTTTTCACCGGCCTCGACTCTTGCTTTCCACTTTGCCAAACCCTCTTCTGTTGTGTCGTACGGATTTCCCCCATAGATACCTAGTCGGTTAAGCGTCAGTTGCCGCATTTTTTCATTACCTGGTTCTGGTGCTGAATAAAATTTAGATTCGAATGCGGATGGAGATCCATCCGGTATTTCTGGTGCCATGGGTGGCAACGGCGGGTTAAAAACATCAATCTCTTCCTAATGTGTAAAAAGACACGTCAGAATTCATACATCAATGCTGAGTTCATGAAAATCAAAGGATTGCTCACGTTCGCATAGTAACGATGATATTCATCCCATGTCTTTGGGTGTTTTTCAGGAGGGCTGGAAGCACTGATTCGCACCTTCAGTACAGCAACCATTTTCTTGACTTGCGTCTTGGTGCCACTGGACTTGAATTTCAATGAATTTAAGATCGTCGTCCGTTTATTGTCCTTTGGATCACTCGAGTCATCCTGTTCGAAATCTTCAATTTTTTCTTCTCGATGAATGATCTCTGTGGTGGTCACAATATTATTCTTGTGGCTCGTACCATCAGATCTTGGGGTAAACGCTTTGAAAGCAATTCGCCTGAATCTAGTGAATCGTACGTTTTTCTTGGGTTTGGTACGTGTTTTCTTGGGTTTCATGACTGATTCATCTTCACTATCACTGATAGCAGGAGCGAAAGCGTCGAGCCAGACTTCGTTGCGTTCCGCAGATACTTCACCATTGGTGCTAGCAGTCTTGATTGTAGCGCCAGTGGCTTTCTTCCAAAAATAATCGGAGGGTCTCGATTTCGCTAGATGGTTGGATTGACCACGCATGGCGGTATTGAATAAAGAGGGGTAGGGAAGGAGAACCCCTGAAGGACTGGATATGATGCTGGCCATTATGACTGGGGGTGATGGAAGACGGATAAAAATCAAGGGTAAAGCGAGGATTCCAAAGAGGAAGAAGCGGGATATCAAGACGCAGCAGCAGCTAAATTGACAGATAACAAGCCAAGGAGAACGAGAACCGGCGATTGCTCAGCAGGCGCGGGTGGACAGAGTGGTTTATATTTCGAAGAGTGCGATACAGGGAGGGGTGGTCAAGAAGATTCGCTTGTATGCTAAGAGAGGAGGGTAAATTTGTTCGCGCTGATAGGGGATGTTTGTAACTGAGGATGCTTAGTGCTAAAAGGTTTTTGGAAGTTGTGGATTGGGTGTGGGAAGAGATCACGATACCCTCAAACCGGGGCACTCTTTATAGACATGAGTTAGCGGGCGCCCCTCACCCGACACGGCGCAGAAGTTCAGTTTTGCCTGCACCTGGTACTGGTAGGTTATCCGATGAAGGAACACCAGAAAGGGAAAGGGCCGGTTGGGCAGGCCAGACCAAGGCGGCTGCCAGCCTTCTGCAACTTCAAACTAAGGCACATCACCACTCGCGCTTGGATGCTGAACAACTCCAGGGAAAAATTGTTATATTCTTGACTGGGGGCTGCCCAGTGGAATAGTGTTTGTAATTCACAAGGCCGCCAGCCATCCCAAGCAAACTGTTCCACTTCCGGTTGTTAGCTGGTTTAGCTAATACTTATACCGGTTAGGGCTACTTGAGACTGTCAATGCTCATGGAAACAAAGCTGGCGAGAACAGGGGAAAAATATCTGGAGACTGGAACTGGGACATCTCAACAACTGGATGATGGATCCCACTGTTGGAGATTTGCTTTTTGATATCGTGAGCGCTTTAGATTCACCACGAGATGCCGCCGAGAGTGAAGCACATGTTTCCTGGTATCCAGCCAAGCCTGCGATCTACAACATGTCCATGTCATTGTTGTCTCCTTGTGGCTTAAAAAAACACGGGTCCCATGTATTGCTTGATAATATGTCGATTGAAACAGAGTGCCTCAGTAGCAAATCAAGTTCCGTGAGCTGGACTAGCTTCGGTTTGCTTGTTCCCAAATCAACACACACGAATTTCATCCCTCGCGCCTGTTCTTGACAACGGAGATCTTGGAGTTAAGGCCATCACAACAGCTGGAGGAATAATAGTTTGAGCTACAACGACACGCTGTTGAGCCTTGACGAGAGGGTACTGTTGAATCAAAATGAAGCCGTTTTCTGAAATGGAGTCCATGAATGTATTCTAGACACCAAACTCTCAACGAAACTCTTCTTGATCGAGATATTTCTTGCTTGCAGCGCTGATAATTTTGATGTGAATGCCTTATGGCATGCAACCCTCCTGATTTGGTGCGCCGGCCGGCCCGAAGGGGTTGCGGCCCGAAAGGTTGCTTACATAATCAATCCACTGTAGCTGTGAGGGAAACTTAAAAGTGGATTGAGCGAGAAAATAAGACACCACCAACCAACAGGACACGAGCTACGTCAGACTCCAGAGCTGATAGATACACACAATATCAATATTCGCAAGCCATGTCATCGATCGTCAAAGCCGTCCTCGCCTGGATCAAATCCTTGTTCTTCTCGACTGAATTAGAAATAACGATCATCGGACTTCAAAACTCTGGAAAGGTTCATTCGGTTTCACTCTTTTGTCTGCTTCTTCTTTCATCTTGTATCAAACTTCAAGTCATAGATGAGAATGCATGCGGTCAAAATATCAACATACTAATAATCTGAAGCTGACCCGTTTTCTTTTTGTATCCATATTTGTTCTATACCTCCTCCGGGCTATCGGTGGACTAACAGACTAGTTTAGTGAACGTAATAATGGTGAGTCTTGATTTCCTCCGAACTGTCATTGTGATCTGGAGAAAAATTTGGCCATAAGACTAATTCGAAATTAATGCATTTTTATTAATCAGTCCGGCCAATTTTCAGATGCCATGGTTCCAACAGTAGTATGTAGCAGTCAATAGAAGCTGTATATTTCTTCATCTTTTGATCTTACAAATAAACTCACAAATCGATGGCAGGACAGGTTGGTACTAACATCTATCTCTTATTTTCTGGGATTTACCAGGGTTTTAATATGCGCAAATATACAAAGGGCTCGGTTACAATCAAGTTATGGGGTAGGTGATAGCGTGCTGAATCATAACACTGAAGGAAGCAAGCAAAAGTGAAATATTTTCTCAAGTTAATCATGCTTTCATCTTATAATGCTCATTTTAGATATTGGAGGGTAGGTTTCAACTTTCACTCAACTTGTCCTAGACGCCAGCCGACGCTTTCTCCGTGTAAAAAAAAAGGCAACCGAGATTTCGATCAATGTGGGAGCGGTATTGTCGCGGTGTGACGGCCATCGTGTTTGTAGTTGACTCGTCGGATCTCAAGGCGATCGAATCCTCTAAGATCGAACTCCAAAGTCTTATCACCAAACCGGAGCTGAACGGGATACCATTATTAGTGCTGGGGAATAAAAACGATCTAGAGCAGTCGTTGAAGGTTGCTGATTTAATTGAAAAACTGTTCGTCATTCTCATTCAAATCTGATTGATGGCATGAGCTTCACTAGCGTTCAATAACCAACTAACCGATTTCCATCTTATAATTGAATTTTATAATACTATAAAATGCAAAAAAAAATCTAGCGAACTATCAAAAGTAACAGGTAGAGAAGTCAGCATCTATTCAATTTCGGTTAAAGAATCCACCAACATCGATGTCACGTTGAGCTGGTTAATGAAGCGTGCAAACTAATCCATGGGCAATAACTGAGGTGAAACGGTCTATGGCCCGTGACAAAAGAAATCACCAAACATCTGCACTTTTGTGTCATGAGGTGCTTAGCTTCTTTACTCCAGGTTTCTATGCTCGGTCTCCTCCCGTCCGTCCCCTCTCGTCCTGTCGTTTTTTCTCTTTACATCCATGAAGAGTTTTTTTTTGTCATCTTTTTGTTGTATTTGGATATTCATCGATCGCATAACAGCCGTCTCTTTTTCTCTCTAGATACATGTGGTCTCCGTGTCAATATTTGCCAATGTTTTTGTCTGCATACTTTCCCACTAATTGCGAATGTTGACGATTCACACGAGTTTGTATTCTAGCAGGTGCTGACAGTATCACTATCCTTTGTACTATCATACCACGGAAAACGATAAATTCAATCGAAATTATCATGACCAATTGAATTAAAGAAAGAGTGAGGCTTTCTTTCCGAATTATACATATGCACTCTGGCTTCGCACCAGTCCCCACCAGGGGGTGGGAGGAAATTGTGACGGGTCAGATCTATCGAGCTTAACTAATCCTCTCCTGACGAGAGTTGTTTGCGGGCAGGTATGCTCTGCTGGAAGGACGCTGGAATGACCAGTGCTACTGCTAGTAAGGATTGGCCAAACCTGATTTGACAAATCCAGGTAAACCTCTTTACTAGATTGGTAAAATGCTTCCAGTCCATGTGTTGGGCCTTGTATGTAGAGCCAATGATGGCTCTTTGACTGGGTAAACCAAATTCCTTGCATCTTCGGAGAGGGATGGAAGTGCCTGTTGCTTTTACCAGTGGTTGCGCTAGGTCACAACTCTGGCGCAACTTGGATGAAGCAATTTATCTAAATATGTGTTACTTCATCCGGGAATGTTTTTTGACTGACTACTGAGCCGATCTGACATATTCCAAGTGTCCGATGAGTCCGTTCTTCGTGTTCGGTCTGATGCTTTAACTATTATGGGAATGCCAGATTACGGAGCCTCCGGGGCGACAGTTCTTACCGGACCTACCTCCCGCCTCCAAAAACAAAGTGTACATAGACGTGCCTTGAGAGGAAAATGGAAGTTTTGCCAACGCTCAAGTATGTATGAGAAGAGAGCTGGAGACATTGGGCATTTGGTACTTAAGGACCAGAGGCAACGTCAGAGGACCTATCTTTTATAATCCCATCCCATCGCATCTCATCTCATCCCATCGTATCTCAATACATCCCATCAGACCTCAAAATGCTTCAACTCGCACAACTTGCCTTCATCGATCCATCTCTTGCTGCTGAAGTCAACCGAATGCCTGAGGACAGCCGAACACTGCACCTACGAAGTACATTGAATTATTCATCAATCACCCCTCCCGACCAACCTATGTATGACATAACGGTTGATGTCCGTGGTCGCAGGTTACCAAGTGAGGGTGGCTGGCTGAGTTTTCACGGGAAGCTCGGAGTCAAGGCCGGTGAGGATGTGCTGTTTATCACTGTTGATTCCCAGGGGTGGGATTTTCCTTCTCACACTGGTACCCAAGCGGCCTGGGGAGATGGATCTCTGCAGTGGTGATGGCATCCGGTACCGTGTTTTGGTTCCTTGGGGCTTGTGTTTTGGTAAGGTTCCACATTCGACTCACCTTGACATTTTCTCCTCATGACGGCTCACTGATGATCGCTCGATCAAATCAATCGACAGACGCCGTTGTTGTAGGGTTCCGCTCCATATGAAGCCAGGATGAATTATTGCCGATCTCTTCCCCACCGGCCACAGTAGTACAGTGGAGCGCGCCCTTTTCATAGTGGATATGGAGGGACTGGCCAACCCTTGAACACACCCTTAAAGTATCAATTTCTTACTCTTGCACGGCCGTAATTTGCGCGTGACTGCTACATGCGGACTTACCAGGGGGTAATTGGAACCATGCCTCTTTCAACTCCACTCTCCACCCATATTTAATTACATAAACTCGCCCTAAATAAAAATTTTGTATTGGATGTCCTCTAGCATTGATATTGACACCACCACCACATACTTACTTGCCAGGTAGTTCTGCTCCATCCACTCCCCCATCGCCTCTTTCTTCGCTTTTCATCAATTTCTGGTTCACATCCATCAATTAGTGTATTCAAATTTCGTCCCCAGAATAATAAATATTTCCCAATCCCATTGAGCGGAACTTGAGGCCACCGCGCCGCCCGGTTGCTCGCCGATCTCTGATCCGAGTAATTGTGCCTGAAAGCCACCTTTCATTGGGATCCGTGCAGCAGCTCCGTGGTTCACTTTCATCTTCAAGCCATCAGGTACTTTTGGACAAGTCCATAAATGTGTCAGGCTTGTAGCTCCCAGCCATTTTTACTAAGTGAATAGTAAATATGGGTCTTGGTTAGGGACGCAGGATAGTTAGAACAACATTGTAAGAAGGCTAAGAAGGGTTTAGAATCCTTCTGATGATGCCGATATTGAAATTTTGGATCAGTTATCCAAAAGCTTTTCGAACGGGGGTGGTGGCAATAATGCAGTAAGGTGTGTCAGCTATTCTCTCGGACAAAGAAGGTCAGTCGATGTTGTGCATAAAACTCAAAAGGCAGCTGCGATAATCTGCAGTAATAGTAAAAGATGAATAAGATAGCAGGCTTGTGTAATCCGAAGTTTGTTGAGCTCCACTAACAGATGGATATACTTCTGCAAGCATGGAACGGCATGAGTCATAATCCATGCTCGTGAATCAAGCCGATAGCTAAAAAATTACAGTTTGATTGGCTGAGAACCGAAATCCTGAGACGAAGCCAGAGGCAAGAAGCCGGTCCACCAGCAGCTAATAAAACCGGGCTTTTTTGGCGATTGGAAAGTCAAACATTTCAGTTTACAGATCATAGGATTTCCGATGAGGCTGAAAGATCAATGTTTTGATGATGATGATGGGAGGAAAATGAGGATCTGGAAAAAAATATTAGTTGATTGCAGGTATAATGTGACTAAAGTACAAGTAGGTGTGAATGCTCAGCTGGACCGGATTCATCCAGCCCCGCGAGGAATACCAGGTTTCCGCACAGAACCGATACCTTTATTGTGCTTGGGTAGGTCGGGTAGGTCATCCTCAGGCTTATCAATAATCATAGCGTATCGTCGTCGTTCTGATCGCTTTGGTGGGAGTGGAGGCAGAGGAAGGGTTTCGTAACAAACGGACGAAACCTTCATGGGTGGTAAGGAGAGGTTATGGCTTGGTTTTGGGGTCAGACTACGAGGAGCCAACGCAGCAAGGGCCCTCTCGATTAGGTCTCCGTCCAGTGCAATATCGTTTAAACTTAGAGATAAATCAAAGTTCCAAGCTCGTACGATTGCATCACTTTGGACACGAGTTGCCGGGCTTAACGCAATTCCAGCCGTTTCGTCTGTCACAATGTGATGGGCGTTAGGGGGCTTAAGGTCAGTTTCCAATGGGCTTTTTTTCTCAATCCTTTCGTCTCCAGCTTGTCTGGTTTGAGAAAACGTTAGGGAAATGTGATCAAGTAGCTTTGTTATTTTTGGAAAAGGGTTCATGACTAACGTAGGATCTTCAGACATCGAAATTTGGACGGGAGTTGAAGGGTAGACCATCTTGATGGGAAGCGACTAGCGATATATATTGTTTTGAGAAGTAGTCGCCTTTATTACGATGAAAATTATTGCCATCGATATGATCTCAGGGAAGGGCGCGAAAGTCGAAAATAGTTTAAAAGTTTTACTTACTGTTATTGAATGTTTGCAAAGCAAATTGGCGAATGTAACACGATAAGTGAGGGAACTTGCGTTGGGGTGAGGGAATTTGGGGTGGTGAGGAAAGTTGGGGTTGAGGAGGGAAGTTTTGGCAGACTGACTCAATTACTGTGGAGTGTCTGGTGCTGAATGCCAGAAGTCTAAGTTATCATTCTGCCCCCTGAGTGGAATGTCGAAATCGCTCAGTTCTATTGTTAGCACAAGTTCACTCTCCGTGTAATATGGGTCATGCTTGGGCCGATCCCCTCAATAATTGACGGACCGTTTGCGCACATAAGTTCGCTTTCTACTCTATGTATAAGGGACTTGACATTAAGTACCACCTCCCGAATCGGATTAGGGGTAAAGTTTGGGTCCGTCTTCACCTGTTTTGTAAGGGGGGGGGGGGGGGGGTCATTTTATCGTTCCTGCTTTCAAGTAGTGAGAAATTTGGTGTGGCATTTTTTTTTTCTGTTCTCCAACTCGGGCTATCGAAATTAGTTGAGTTTTGTTATATAACAGCGGAGTCAAGACATGTCTTGAGAATCTGCCCATGAATGTTAAGGTGCTAACAATGAGGCCAAGGGCGCAAGATTGTAACGAATCCTTGAGCAGAGCGTAACGATTTCCTTCAAGTACAGCTAAGCTATCTAAACCGCCCTGGTGTCCCAACGAGCGTCACACATCACGGATTCGCTTGACTGAGAACAGAGATCCATTTACTATGTAAGACGAGGGTGATCCATGATGGCTTGAGGTTGAGCATCAGTTGGAGGCGCCGGTTGAAGGTCCGCCGAGTTTTCATGTGGGCATTGCGCCAGCAACTACGCAGGTTGTGTTTCAAGGGCATGAGCACTTCAGCCGAGTCAGATGTGTTCTAGTCAGCGACTACATATTGTGCTCACTGAGAGTTAAACAGGCGCCTACACCCTCGATTTCATCGGGATATAAGCCATCCACATCTTCTCTTGTCTATCAGAGTAATCGAATCAATGTAAGATGTTAGGCCTTGATAGACTGGCAGAAATTGCATCGCATATCAGGGAAGAAAATCGCCTTAAGCTAGAAAGAAAATATGCTTTAGCAAGATTCAGAGCGTCATATACACCCCGCAAGGAAAGGAAACACTTGTTTTAACACTAAAAAGCGAGCTGTAAGCCGAACTTGGACAATTTACCAATATTTCAGATTTTGCTGAACTACAAAATTGGCCATGTAGAATCGCTCAAGGGGCGGATCAGCTGAACGCACTCCGGAAGGCATTGCTAGGATTTTTTTCTGCCTGGTCGTCTGCATACAAACGTCCTCGGTTCTGTGAGCTGGATACACCCAGCAAACCGGAGAGAATGGCTAACTTATCACAAGTCCCTACTGGGCGCGAAGCGCCCGCCTCCCGCAGGGAGGGACTTGCACATAAAATCTACATTCTGGCTGGAGCAGAACATACCCTTTTGCAGGGAGCTTTTTTAATTTTTTAATTGCCCCGCTCCCTTTTTGCCCGCATACCTGAATCACAGCTATGTGACAGAGTTCCATTTCCTCTTCAAGTTGGTGTAGGTCTCACTTTCTCAGGACAAGTGGTTCATTTTTAATGATTTTTTGAAAAGTACCAAATCCCATTTTTGCGAAAAATGGATCTGCCATGTATCTACAACGATGATGCCTTGTGGATCGATAATCTGCTAGGTATTGATGATATGCCACTGGATCCACAAGATCAGATCTGATGGTAAACACATGCTTCCTGATGCACATTTTGCAATAGATGGGTCATAAGCCTTTAATCCAGCTCGATTGCACTTTCTCAACACCATTGAAACAATGCAATCCAGCACCAACGACTTCACTCCCAAACAGTCCACCATCCCTGAGCATAAGAGAATTCTAGATATCTGTGACGTTATTCAAAAGCACGGTCTCACTCCCAAGAAGTTCCTTCTTGCATTCCTCCAAAATCCTCATGGAGATGTGGCAGATCGACGACGATTATGGCCTGTCACAGGATTAGATTCAACTGTGGAACTTCTCAAGGAGATTATTTTGGTTGTCAAAAAGAAACCGAAAGGGAGGGAGTTGTGGGAAGCCTTCCTTGAAGATGAAGTAAGTTGAACTTTCAAATTCCGCTTTCAATCTCCTTGCCGATGACCACTTTGATTTTGATTTTGAAGGCAGTGAACATGATTGCAAGCCAGAAACCTCCGCGAGGCAATCAGCCGCACGGCTTTTATCAAAGTAGCATGACAGTATCCGCACAATTCTTTTCAGAGGACGTGAAGAAGGCCGACAACGAACGTTTGGCAAATTCTACCCCATTCCTTTTCAATCTGCTTTATCGCGCACTGCAGCTGACGATCCCTGACGAAAACGAGGTTGAAATCGTCGACTCAGAAGATCACATGACGAACGAGGAGCACGAGGAAGCGGAAGGCCTTGCTTTGGAAGAGATTGGATACGCAAGGATTTCCGACGCGCAAGAGCGCAGGCAACACAGGCTACACAGTGTGAGTATTCTGAAGAATAGTCCAGCTGAGCGGCATCGTTCTGATGGCTTTCTGATTCCTTTCTTTAGATAGCAATGGTTGCGTGTCGAATGATAGCCTATGCACGGAACCGCCGAAACAACGGTTTACAACTCCGAAATGGTGTTCAATTTCTTGCGTGCGGAGTGACCGAACGAGTGAATGAATACCTCATGTATCACGGATTGAGCTGTGGCCGGAGAACGGCGGTCTCTGCGCTGAAGACACTTGCGAAAGAGGCCCAGGCGAATTTGCGCAGGTCTTTTTCAAAGACACTTTCACAGCTGGTCTCACCGTTCATTACTATTGACAACTTGGACATGGTCCAGCGAGTCCATGCTCAATCCGTAGGACATCAAACTCACACATTTCACGGCACGTGGGGATATATTCAGCTACCTTCACCTGAACTACTGCAGACACTCGATCCATGTAAAATCACTCTTGATGCTTTCAACGATGCTCTGCGCAAGGTCCCCGATTTCCAAATTGAACCGTTCATGTTCATGCCAACTGCCGAATCAGAAACTAGCTACAAAGCAGTCTGGAAAAGCCAGATAGCCCGTGTCCTGAACGAATACCTTGCCCTTCCTGAGGATCGATCGCAGGCAATTCCGATGGACCCGCCACCACTCGAGAAGATCTCCTCCACTGTTCCAAATATCCAGATGCTGAAGTTGATGGATGCCCCAGAAAACAGCTCCGAGGGCATTGGGAAGGTCCTCGCAGGCATCACCGATCAAACTGGATTAACACCTGAGGAGTTTCACTCCCGCTTGCAGATGATGGATGGTGATTTGGCTACCTGTCGCAATTTCAATAGTTTGTGTACTTCTCGTCATCCGAGTCCGTACCCTCAGCACAACCTCCACAATATCTCAATTCAACTAGGTGCTTCCCACACTTTGTGGAATATAGCGACTCAAATATTCAAGACCCACTTTGGTGATACTAAGAATTGCCTGGATACAGGCGCGTGGAGATGTTTGGAAAGTCTGGGGGTTCCAGCAGCAAAAGCATTTCCGAAGAAAGATTACACCCTCATGATTAATCATATGGAGCAGGTGCATGAGGCAACCATCCTCTATGGGTTAAAGTGAGTTTGGAATTCTTTGTGTATTAAGTTGAATTTGTGAGCTGATGGTCAACAAGTGACAGAACTATCATGAAGACTGAGGAAACACCAGTTACCAACGATCCCCTGCCAAAAATCCCAACCAAGAGGTGGAACGAGATTATCGAACAATTCTACGTTGAGTTTTGCACTGGTGAAGCGCGTGAGCAAGCAGCAAAACGAGAATCACCAAAGTTGAACAATGTGCTGCTTCGACTGCATGAATTCTCAACTGTTGTGGAAGCAAACCGAGCAATGAGGGCCGGCGATATTGGACGGCTGCTGAATGTATGGAAGATGTGGGCAGTGATGTCCCAGGGATTGCGCGGCCTGACGAACTACTCGGCTTACCTCCCCCGGTTGGTACTGTTACTCACAGAAATCCTCCCCCCAGATTTGGCCAAGCTTTTTCGCCACTCTTTGCTGTTCTCACCGAGTGGAAGAGAAGGCCACTTTGTATCCAAGGATTCTTATCTTGAAATGCAAAATTACTGGTTGAAGTTTTTGTTCAACCAAACTGGAGTTGGGACTAATATCAATCGATTGAAGAACTTGTTCTCCATGAACATCCTCTTAGTGAGTCTTTAACATGGCCCTCATGCCTCCATGTGTAGATGTACTTATTTATTTATTTGGATTTTATGGTTCAATGCATTCTACTTATGATAGCTGCGATCAATGATGAATTCTATCCGAGTTGACAGTGGTTCTTCCGTCTTCACACAGAGCCACAAGAACATCATGACCTCAAAGTCTTTGAATGTTTTTATGCAGATGGCAGTCAACTTTGACATTCTCGACAAAAATGTCAAAAAACAAGACACACGGAAAGCACCCGGAAAGAAAGAGAAAATGAAGAAGACCAACGATTCGTTTGTTCGTGGGTTCTACAAGTTGCAAGAAGAAATTGAGTCAGATCCTCAACTCAGTCGGTTTAAACTTCATATGAAAACTGATCACATCATTGAAGGAGACAGTGACCAAGAATCCGATACAGACAAAAACAACCAGGAGCCCCAAAATGAAAATCAAGAGATGACCTACGAGCTATAACTCCTATTGTCCAACCGCGAACTCAAGTTGTTTTTGAGCCTAATCTGTAACCTTCTTTCACCTCGTTCATGATCCTCTGTCGGGTAGCTCGAATCCGATCTTGGGCCTCCTTTTCCTCTTTTTCTCCTTCAGTTCCCTTTGCTCAGCCGCCTTCTCCTGTCTCTCTCTCAATACTTCAGGTGTTACTGCGTTTTTCCGAGTTTTTTTTTGCGTTGGTAAGGTCTCAACCACCAAATTTGCCTCTTCCGGTGCATTCCCTTCAGGGGCACTAACAGTTTCAGTAGTACTAGTCTTGGCCCCAGCTGTGTGCTCGTCGATAGTCTTCATCAAAACGGAAAGCTGCCCCCTAAACGCCTCTCCACGAATGAGCCTACGGATGTCGGCTTCTCCCGTAATTGAGTCCAAATTCTGAAGGATTGCATCCGCCTGGCGATCACCAAAGAACAAGTTTGGTAAAATTGTCCCCCCATCCCCAATTGTGCTGCGAATGAAGTGATCCATGGATTGTTTGAGTCTTATTTTTAAAGGCTCAAGTGCTTGAAGTTCCGATTTACTTTTCTTCTTTCCAGTTTCTTGAGGAGAGTTGGATTTTGTTGTTGTCACTGCTGGGCCCTCAGCAACCAAAGGAACTTGATTTAATACATAATTGGTGAATGTATCCTTTCTGATTTCTTTCAACCTTTGGAACAACTTCATTCCTTCGTAATTCATGCAATTTGAGCACATACAAGGAGGGAACCCCTCTAGTTGTTCTCTTCGGACCTCGTCCTTGTACAGTGGATCATCAACGGATAGAGGAATGTATCCCTTTCTATAACCAAATCTATGTGTTAGCACACACATCTGAGTTTGGTTGGATTGGATAATAGCATAGCTTACCGGTTATCAATAGAAAAAGCAATCCTTAGGCAAACCGGTGTCACAGCAAGGGCATCCATCCGGTCTTCATCAGACTGGATCTGACCAGGTGTGAACTCATCCACTTTGTTCTTCCCTTTTGGGCAGTTCTGTTCAACAAACATAATGGCCAATCCGGGGCGACCGTCTCGTCCACATCGGCCTATCATCTGACAGATGAGTGAGGGATCTCCACGACCCATGTGCACCACCTGGCGCACAAGCTTCCAGTTCTGGCCCATGCCCAGTGCAAGAGTACACGCTAGGATCGGAATTTGACCCTTAGAAAAACCGTTGATTGCATCTTGCTTGTCTAAATCACCTGTGCAGGCATGGTAGCGGCGTGCGAAAGTGCTATACGGTGCCAAGTTACTACCCAAATTTGGTGTTCCTCGAGCCTTGTCTAGCACCTCTAAAACTGTGAGGGTGAGGGCACGCGTACCAGTGTATATCAATGCTGGAACAACATCTTCATCAGGCACTAACTCTTTGAGGCCATAGATTTGTAGAATGTCGAGACAGGACTTCAGAGAGTGATTCATCAAGATCCTAATTATTCGGATTTCTGGCCTGGTAAGTTCGCTTTTCAATATGTCAATGTGATCGTCAAGCAGCTTCAAATTTTTCTTGATCGCTTCGATGGCCGGTGGTCTGCATGTTGCCGACATTAAGAGGATAGGTGCTAAGTTCTTTGTCAATAATTGAGCGGAGAGGCTGCCAAAGGATGGTCGAAACGGTGATTGGTCCTGATGGCGCACCAAGGTCTTGAGGTGTCGTTGCCCGTTTTCGACTAAGCCCCATGAGTAGATCATGTGGGCTTCATCCACAACGACCAACGCCAGTTTGGTTTGGAACTCATTCGAAAAGTATATGTCGACAAACGTAAGATTATTGAGGAACGTCTCAGGGCTAACATAGACAAAGTTGTAAAAACCATTCATCACATTCAGACCAACTTCATGCGTGAAGTTTAAATAGGTTAAATTGATCGCCGAGAATCCTGCGGCCATTTTCTCCTCAACTTGATTGTCGCCAAGGGCATCGAGTGGATTGAGAGCCACTACCACTCCCAGAATTCTCCCGTGTCGGTCTTTTGGAAGCAGGTCAAGGTACATTTCCGATATTCTTGATTTTCCAAATCCTGTGGCAGCGAGGAGGAATGTGTTGCGGCCGCGAAGTAGATTCATTACCGTCTCCACTTGAATCTTCTTTGGTTCTTGTTGATAACGTGCGATTGATTGGGTGCTGATCATCTGCTTGAGAGTGTCGTCGCCGGCTGACCGAATCGCTGAGGAGACTCGGATCCCCTTCATCTTGCCAGTGAATCAGGTGTTCCAAGCGGGGTACAAACATCCCACGGCACATGTTGCCCTCAGAAAGAGGATGGCATATTATTATTAGTTATGTAGTTAGCTTGACCCGCTATCACTAGAGTTCAAAATAGCTGTTTATCCGTGTCAAGTGTTGCAGATACAGAGATGGATTTGCTGAAGTATTTTCCTTTTTTTCTTTCTTTTTTTGACAGCTCGAATTATTTCCTTAATTTCTTGTTGAGGCTACAGCAGCCAAATATTGACCTATGAGCTCAGCAAAGGACTCAAAATGAGCGCAAGAAGTAGAGGAACAAGTCTGTATGATCTTCTCCTCTCTGGGTGCTACAAGCCTTCTCGAACAGTGGGTTTTGTGCCTTTTTGGCTGAAAAACCACTGAATATCCTTCCTGCTCCTGCCAACGATTCTCACTTTATGTGTAAGCCTCTCCTACGGAGAGCGCTCCGCGCGGGGTCCCCCGGACCCTCCGTTCGAGTGGCTTTGTTAAGCTAGAGAATGGTGTCTGATCGATTGCAGTTTGGCTCGAGGCCCGAGGGTATTGTGCACCCAAAAAGTTGGGCGCTGCACCTGGGGCTGAGCCTGAAGCCCTCGGGTATTTCGGGTGGATGATCTCCCCCCTATCTCCCCCGGGGCCCGCACAGGACGGCACATATCCTTACCAATTTGGTGAGCTGGGAAAATTGTGCATAACCCATTGTAAATCTCTCTTTCCTCTAACTCATACCTCTATTGCGAAAAACATCTTAGCTTCGAACGTTGAATGAGAATATTCCTTTTTTGCTACTTTTTTTTGGCTGTTCAGGGGGGCAAGGCTTCACTCCCTGAAGGTTTCATCAGCTTGAACATGCTCAAAAAAAGAATTTGATTTTTCTTCAAGATGCAATTTGAACAATCAAGGGATTTAATCTAGGATGTTGATTATAGGTATGGGTTGTGTGGACACAAGGGGTACATGGGTAATTTTCATTTCACCAATAACGGGGAAAGAAAACCGAAACGTTTTTCGATTATTGTCGACCTTGGACGAATTTGACACCTAAGAGGCAAGTGAAAATGAGAGCATTAGCCAAATTTGTTGAAAGGATAACAAGGTAAAGAGAACCAAGTACCCTTCTCGATGTTCTTTTTTAATTCGGGTAAACAGGCATTGATCAACTCTTGTTCTTCGTTGGAGACCGATCCAATTGGCAAGATCTTTCCGACACCCTCGGGTCCAAGTTCTACATTAGAAGCAAAGTACTCGACACCTTCTTTCTCATACAGGTGACTCTTGACAAAGGTAGGCTCGATGATTCCCCTGGCTCCTCCAAGAGCCTTCAATAGCGACTCGGTGAAGATGGCCGCGGCGTAAGCCATCGATAAGGTGGCCGAACCGGCGCCACTCTTGGCCTCTACCACTTCATCCCCACCAAATTGGATGCGCTTGACAAGTGCCTTATAGGCTTCTCCGGTGATCGACTTTCCCTGAGCGACTTGAGAAAGCAAGGGTACAATGGTTACACCTGAGTGACCACCGATCACTTGGACGTTGGTGTCCTTGGGGTGCGATTTCGCGAGGCTCGACAAGAACGCGGAGGCTCTAACAACATCAAGTGTGGTAACACCAAATAATCTGCCGATGTATCAAATCGATTAGTTCATGCCCACATTGCCAGTGCGATCATTTCTATTTTCAAACGATAAGCGAACATTGCTTACCGTTTGGGATCGAATACGTTGTGTTTTTTGAACACTTCACCAACGATCGGGACGGTGGAGTTGACGGGATTGGCGATGATCAACATGTGAGCTTTGGGGCAGACCTTTGCCGCTGCAGTTGCCAAGTCGGCAGCAATCGATGCATTCTTCTGCAAATGTCAAATTAGCCAACACAACGTATCAGTTACTGATTTGATTGGCCCAACCGAATACCCCATATACATGACGAAGAGAGCCTCACGTTGAACAAATCATCACGGGTCATTCCAGGCTTTCGAGGAACACCGGCGGGTACCAAAACGATCTGGGCACCATCTAAAGCCTTTTCAAGTCCTTCACCATCAGGCAAGTAACCTTTGCACGTGGAAGCTGTGTTAACATGAGACACATCCTAAAGAGGTAAGGTTACATCAGTGAATTGTCATGAGATGACTGAGATTCATTTTGAAGCTTACTGCTGCGACACCAGGGGATCCTTGGACGTCGTATAAAGCTAGCTCGGATACCAGAGAGCTCTAAAGACCAGAAAGCAAGGTGAAAATCGTCCAGTCAGCCACCACCAACACCAATAGTAACTTATTGCTCAATCATCCCGTACAAACCTGTTTCATCAACAAACTCAGGGGCTGTCCGATTCCTCCTAAAATAGGCATCAAAAGAGGAAAAAAGTAGGTCAGCAAAATCAAGTACACTTGTATTTCTTTGTCCTCGAGGGAGGGGGAAAGAAATTCCAATGTAGGAAAGCGAAGAGACGAGTTCCAATCAGATAAACTGCTAACCGGCTGCACCCAAAATGGCAACCTTAGTGAAGTTCTGCGATGACGAAGAGAATTGACGGGCGACCGAGTGAGATTTGAATATGGTAGGGGTGACATTGTGGCGGATGATTGATGAGATGGGTGCGATGGCCATGGTGCTGATGAGGTGATAGTGATGGATGGATGATATCTTTCAAGTCTTGAATGGAGATTATGTATGGATGCAGATGATGGTGGTCAACAGCAGAAGAGGAGGACGGAGAACACGGCAAGGATGGGACTCGGGAGGGAGGGTGCTTATATAAGCTGGTCATCGCTCGACGTCGGATCGAGTCGGAGGCCGGCGATTACGTCAGCCGGGCGATCACATTCAAGCTCACAGAGCACCGGATTCCGGCGGATGATCGGATACAGATCAAACATCCATTCATACATATGTACCGGAATCTGCCGAGCCTCATCACCCGGCCGGCCACCTTGGGCATTACATATCCACTTCGAATCTCCCAGCTTATTGAGCGAAACATCTTGAGGACGCTCCCTCAACGGAATGGGGTCAATTCCGCATGTGGGGTGCATAATCCTGACTTAGTCATGATCAACGAGTCAGCTTATCTATGGACTGGATAAAAAGTCTTGTTGTTCAGGAAGAGGAGTGGATCCCCAAGGACTGAATAGACCCAAAAGGTTTGATTTTTTTGGACCTCCTTTGTAGGTGCTGTCACCCATTTGATGAATGGATATCAGTGAGATTGTCAACCCCCATGGGTTTGAACTTGGCACCATTAATCAAATCATAACACATAAAGCAGTCCATTGTTCATCAGGTCTGACAAAGTTGGAACGACGGTCAAGAACAGATAACGATTACAGAAATTTGCGAGTCATACAACAGGATGAAGATGTAAGAATTGGCCGATTTATTAGAATGGAAAAGCATTTGTTCCCATGAAGAACGAAGGTGCGATACAGTGGTGCCAAATGTTTTGGTCATTCTTTCGGGGTTGACGAGCATGGAGCGATGTTTCTTACTGTTCAACGGGGGGCATGTCAGGTGAGAGCAGTACCAAGAACAAGCGTGCAGGAAACCGGGCAACTCACATGAGACAAATCCTTAATGGGAGGATCACAGTCGATCAGGTCACACAGAAGAAGGCGGGGTTTCGGAATACAGTGATGGATCAATCGAAGGAGTTTCGAGTATCGCCATACCTCCTCTTCAACTCGCGATAACGACTCAAGAAGATCAGGGCCTCGACCTCTTTCCGAATGAAGATAGCCTTGGCGATTGACTTTGCCATCTCTTCTTCCCGAACCGCGCCCTCCTCGATCCGCTCCAGCCGACCGGTCGTTGCCCTAAAACATTCACGAGTCCGACCGGCCAAATCGTAATTGGGGTCTGGGTAGTCAGCCGATAACCTGATGAGTTGCTTGTATACTTTGACCGCCTGATGTCGTAAGATCCGAGGCGTGCCCATTGCTGTCGGCCACTCGACACGGGTCAGTTAAACAATCAGTTCCAAGTATAGGGCTGACGAGAATGCCAATGGGTGATTACTTACCTGTTCAAGATGTAAAAGATATTTTTGTTGTTGATAGGTCAAGCTAGTTTACTGGATTGCAAGGCTTCAAAGACATTTGTGGCCCCCCCGGGGGCTTTTGAAAATTAGGGTTAGTGAAGTGAGTGCCACCCCCAATTGTCAAGAAAAGGTGGACAGAGAGTAGGATCCAACAACCAAATTCTGATCGCATACATACATACAAACTGGGCTTCATTTGCAAGATCAGGGGGCCTTTGGCCTATACATGTTCTCCTGGAGTTAATAGGAGATGAGTCTCCATTATTCTTGCAACACACGATTCCAATAAAGAAAGCTCAAATATGCTCATCATTTCACAATAATAAAGAATGCCAACGAAAGAAAAGATACACCTGACCAGATACATACATACATAGAGTGTAGTAGTACAACTGATGATTTATTTACACATTTCAATTACAAATTCTGATGGTTGCTCAATAAATCTTGGACCCAAAGAGCCAATTCAGTCTTCTTGATCTTCCCGCTACCGGTCATCGGAAAGTCGACTTGACCAATCGAATCCAAGAACCTATGAATATTTTAACCCCCAGATCCACACAAAAAAAAAAAAAAAAAAAAAAAATCAACCCAAGTGATGAGTTTTTTACATAGAATGTGGCCATCATTTAGGGGAAGAGTCTTGGGTCAGATTGTCAAGAGTCAGGATTGCTTTATACGAATGAATATATATATACTGACCATACAAATTTTGGAATATTTGCCCCAGCCATGTTAGTTTTGACAATCGATCGAATATCTTCTTCAGTCACTGATTGATCAGCGGTCCTTCTTTCCGATCCTGAGGGGGAAGAGTGGCTCTTGGAACTGGCGGGCTTTCTTTTCACAAAGGCGCCGACCACCTACATAAAATTTTCGGAATCAATTGATCATCAACAGGAAAAAAAAATAAGATCGTTGGAAAGAGGATCAATTGAACGAAATGCTTAATGCTACAAAACCATGAAATACTACTCACTTCTCCATAGAATTCATCTTTTGCTCCGACTACTGCTACACTTACCACGCCATCCAACTTGATCTAATAGGATGTGAGGGAATTTTTAACAATTCTTTGGCTTGGTGTTTTGCACAATTGATGAGTCCTAAAAAGCTCTGGAAAGGAACCCACAATGCAATTCTCAATTACCACAGGATACAGGTTTTCTCCACCTCGAATGATAACCTCCTTTGCACGACCTACGATTTTTAAATAACCTATGCAGAAGTTTCGCACAGAATATCAAGAGATCATGAAGCTTAATACAAGGAGAGTCATAGGTAAAAAGAAGAGGGTTTTACCATCCTCGTCAATGCTTGCGATGTCCCCCGATTGCATCCAAACACGGCCCTCCTGATCAGTGATCATAGCCTTTGCAGTCTCGAGTGGGTCGTTCCAATATCCCTTTTGGACCGAGTATCCAGAGACCAAAAGCTCCCCCCGCTGGCCTCTTTTGACAACCTCTCGGGTCGCCAAGTCGACCACTTTCGCCTGGGTGTGTGGATAGATAGTCCCTACAGTCGCCTGAGGACGAAGAGATTTGAAAATTTCCACATTTTTTAGTCAGCCCGCCCCAGACAAATGAAAAAGAAAATTTGATGTTTATTTTTTGTATGGACTGAACTGTTCGTTTGGATCGCTCATCCGTGGGGCGTGTTTGAAAGGTACCAGGTGAAGTTTCCGTCATCCCTAATTGTCAAACAAGCACATATAGCAGAGCAAGACCACCGTATCTACTATGAGTGTGGAGGTGATCTTGTTTGTTTGTTACAATGCCAATATACTTACCATAGAGGATTGTCAGCTCTTTAATGCCTAATCGATCTTCGATTCGATTCATCAACTCTGCGGATACTGGAGAGCCCGCCACAACACCGGTCCTGTGGAGTTGTTTTATCACAACGCGAATGAAGGCTTAGAGTGAGACTGGTGAAAATTCCAAAACTCGAGAGCGGTAGTAGTGCTGAAGAGTAGGATGGTAGTATTCTAGTTATCAATCAAAACAGACAGGATCGCGTGGGGATTGACCTTAGACAAGACATATCCACATCTTTCATTCGATCCAGAACATTGAGCTCAGCCAAGAACATTGTGCCAACACCATTTCTAGCCGACATTAAACGAACAAAAGAATTCTGGGTCAGCAAGTGCGATCCCCTCTCTCAACTTGGCACCTATGATCATGCTACATACTCTCCCTAAGAAAACATGAAATGAAAAGCTAGACTGACAAGACCGTGCAACGTTCTTCGGAGACAGTCCGAATGACTGCATCAGGATCGAATGTTTCGCTGGGAAAGACTACCGTAGCACCTTTGACGAAGCTTGCCAAGTTCCCGATGACCGAGCCTGGTAGACCCAAGAGGAGCTCGATCAGATACGACATTCAAACGATTCCCAGATCATATCGAGCGGGGTGAGATTCTGCCCGAGCTAACTTTGAACGACATACCAAAGCAGTGAAACAGTGGCGGCACATTACACAGTGAATCTTTCGAGGTAAGAGTGGTCCGATCGGCGATATGGTGGGCGTTGTTCAACAGATTCCGATGGGTTAAGGAGACTGTGTGGTTTGATGCAATTCACGGCTTATCAAGTCAGCTTCATAGGATTATTCCAGTAGAAATACGCGGTGGGATCGCTGTGCAGTAAGGGCAGCTGTTGTGTATTCATACTTAGAAGGACAGCTTACCAGCTTTCGAGAGTCCAGTTGTTCCACTAGCTTTTTATACGAGGAATCGTTGCAAGCTTATTGAGCAGATTAAATCACCCAGAGAATCTACTTGAGGTTAAAGAGTGACAATATAAGGGACTCAACTAAATTGGAGGTTGATGACGTCGTCAGCTTGAAGTTCCGGGATGGGAAATTGTTGAGAAGAACTAGACTGCTGGATGACTTGTTCCAAATCGATCACTGATGACGCTGACGAGGAGGACTTGGTGGAATGAAATTTCTCAAGGATTTCGGATTTTGATCTTTTGCCCGGTTGGTGTGATTCGTTGTCGACGAGGACGAGGTGTGTGAGTGAGGGGATCTCCTGGATTAGGCTCGAAAGGACTGGGATCATGTCCTTGGACTTGAATGACGGCGTGCTGAACAAGACCTTGCAGTCAACTTTCTAGGGAAGTTAGCACATACAGAACCACAAGGAACGTCAGTGTAATTTTATGCCTCTCCCAGTAATTAGGAGTCTTGATTCATAATCAAGCAGCTTCAAAATGTGTATAATCAGTTGGTTCTCGATGCTCACTTTGAGGACATTGGCCAGTTCAGATGGCGCATAGGCTGGATTGATTGTGGCGAGGATAGCACCAATCCTGGAGGTGGCCCATTGAAGAATTGGAAAGATTGAATGGGTGGGGGTATTGATGCCCACTCTATCACCCTTGCTGGAGTTGATGGATGTGGAGAAATAAGGATTTGAAGGAGCCAATTAGCTAAATATCAGTCCCATTTACAAAATCTGTTTCCGAAAAAGAAAGAACTCGGGGGGTTTTTGGGAATACATGGCCAGCCGATTAGAAAAAGACGCACCGAATCCCAAGGTGGTGGAGCCCAAAAGCCACTGCGTTGATACTCTGATCGAGTTGCGAATAGCTCAGTCGAAGGCAGCCAGTCTTACGTCCGGGCTGATGGGTTGGAGATGGAGGCTCAGCTCTTGAGATCAGGGCAGGCTGGTCATGGTAGTTTGGTAGGATGTGTTTATCCTAATGGAAAGCTAAGCTATGTTCGAAAAGCGGTGGCTCGTTGGGGCCTATAAGGTGAGACTCTGATGGCTGAGGGCTTCTTGGGCCTTGCACGCTACCGAACCAACGCGAGACTGGACGATGACGAAGGATAGTTGGAATCCGAGGCTGAGGAGATGCCGATGGCCGGCTGATCAACAGCGGGGTCAAGGAACACGCCAAGCGACGTTGGATCCGACCAGGGGAGCTCATCTTAGCTGTCATTCGTCGTCGTATGTATCGCGCTTGATGGCAGAGATATTCTTGACCAGACTAGTAAGAGTCAAGCTCAAAGGAAGACATTCCCTTATTATAAAGGGCTTCCGCGGAAGGCTCTGTCCCAGCAGGAAATAGCAAGAAATCCATGTTTTATGTATGCTTGGGTTGATGTACAAGATGCCATGCTTTGAAGGCATACCCCATGAAAATCCCTGCTGCAAGCTCGGTTCTTCAAAATTTGACTCAACTTTCCTCCGAGCTGGCTACTGCTGTGACCATTCCTCCTCCAGTCTCGTGGTTACAGTATACTGGCAATGCGTGAGTGACTCACAGAGGATGTGAACAAGAGACACCAAGAATCACTGGAAAAGATATCTTTTGTTTGTTTACCCCCAAAAAAACCATCCAGACACCCACATGCCACCCCACTTAATGGAGCTTCATGAGTTGTGGGTGTAGATGCTTGTCAAAAGGGAAAGGAAGCACTCAACTCTTTCGATCAACAGGAAAGTGCTTCATTCCATGTTTGTTACTGGGGTCATGTTCATAAAGGAGAGAAAACCTCCCATAACGTCTCTATGAGCTACTCATAAGATTCATTTGGAGTATAAGCGCATTGGGAACACACTCAAACTGTAAACCCTTCTTCTCGCCTATTGATGTGGGCCAAGCGTACTTGTGCAAGTGAGGCGTGGGCTGTGAGGGGTAAGGCGACTTCAAGCTTCAGTCCAAAGATCCAAATGGTCCCAGCACTAACATCAAATCAAGGAAACGCAGAGCTCAAGTGACTTGCAGATTCGCCTGACACACACACGAAATCCAACTTGATCATATGAACATGTATACAAAGTATTTACTCATCACATTGACCCACATATGTATATATATGTGGGATTACGAAAAGAAACCTCCCGGTCGAACAATCTCTTACAAGCAATATGATTTCCTCATCACAAAGGAGCATCAAGATCAGTTCAGCTTGTCAACAACACAAAGTCTGGTCAAGGACAACAACACCTAGTGTAAATTACTTTGTCTACCGTGGGGCGAGTTCCCTATGAAGAATAAATAAAAGATGAAATAAAATAAAACTAATACCAGACCATCTGTTGAATCGGGGGCTGGCCCTGGAGAGAAGATGATTTGGCATTGGCATTTGCCGTCGGTGATCCGTTGACAGACGGATTCTTTCGGGTTCGAGTGGAAGCTTGGGTAGAGGTAGGAGTCCTATTAACGGCCGGGCCGGTACCGTTGGGCGTAGCTCTCTTCCCCGTAGGATTCAGCCTGAGATTAGGGACCTGTGCAGAAGCATGTGCAGCTAAGAGTTGCTCAGGCATCGTCACCGCCGGCCCAGAGGAAGGGAAGGTCGGACAACCTAGACCGGCCCCGTATAGATTGGGAACCACTTTACTAGGCAGTTTGCCGACCTTGACAATCGTTGGCTCCGGCTGGGGCGCTCGATCATAATATTCAGCGACTTTGGCCAAGTAGACTTCACCGGGTGGATCTAGATACTGTAGATCATCTTGATCTAGTAGTTGACTACGCCTCGCCGAGTAGGTCACGTTATAATCGTCAATGATATGCGGATAATCGGTCGACGGGAAGTCTTGACGGAGATCGTCATCATACCGCCAGCGATCAGTCAATCTCCGATCCCGAGCACTCTCCTCGGAATCACCCGCCAACTCAGCGTCCAACCAAGCTCTCGTACATCTCCTTTGGCGGGGAGCAACGATACGATCGAGGAAAAGACGTCCACCTCTTCCTACTCGTTTCCTAAATTGGTTATGTTCCATAACCGATGGAGCAGTAGAAAGGCCTTGCTCAAAATTGACTGTAGCCTCCCGGTTTGATTTGGAGGAAAGATGGGGGTCCGAAGAAACTGCGCCACGCCACCTCAGAGCAGCTGCTGACAGCGGCATAGGCAGATGGGCCGAATCAGTCAGATCTTCCCAGCCGTTCTGCTCTTCTCGACACCTGTTGTAATCTCGCTCCATGAGCTTGGTCGAAGCTCTGGCTTGGTCTCGATAGAATTGTACATCTTCCAGTACGCTTGCACCAGCCGAGCCGGTGCCAGATAGGCTAGGCCCAGCCGCGTTTCGCAGCGGACTCTTGAGTGTGCTAGGTGTTGAAGGAATTGTCAGTATTGACTAGATCACGTCGAGAAACATGAACTGGGACAGAAATAGATTTTTTTCACTCACCCGTTCCCGGATTGTTCTCGCTTACGCCTCTTCTCCTTCTTACTGACCAGAAGCTCCTCATCACCATCCGCTTCATTCAAGCTGCGTTTCATTTCACGAATCAGGCAACGGCCCTCAAAGATAGCTTTCTCGAGCTCAACAGCTTCTCTCTTCGTCCGTTCCCGAGCAAGTACCGTATTTAAAAGCTCTTGAGCTTTGTACAAATCGTTCCGAAGACGTACGAGACGATCCATGTTTTGGGTATCTGTTCGCCGCGTCTTCCGAACCATCTTTATCTCCCGTCGACGGAAACAGACGTATGGATTACTCTCATTTGTCTCGTCAAACTACAGAACGAGAGCGCACACGGCCAATAAGTGACAATTCAAAAACAAGACAAAACGCATGTACACCCAAGACAACATACGTCAACAGCTGGCATGATTGGTTTGCCACCGCGCTTCAGCCGGCGCTCCTTCCAATGTGAATATACAAATTTGGCGAATATCTTGACAGAAGATAATCGCTGTGAAATCAGCGGAGATTCTAGCGAAGGCTCCAAGTCCGCGAGGGACGGTAAGCGGTTGGTGTCCTGTGCCAGGTTTTTCGAGTCAAAAAGATCTCTCAATGAAAGTCAGGGATGGATGTAGAGAGGAGTGTGTTAGTGACTATGATGAAATGTCGGACTTACCAGATGCAAGCCCGGGACAGTTTCTTCAGTAGTTTTTTCAAAATGATCCATTATGGCTTCAAAATCATCCTCGGCAAGATGACCCGGGCCGTCGGTTTCCGTCACGGAGCGTTCTTTCTCTTTGCCCTTCCGCGAGTTGGTCCTTCGATTTTTACCATTCTCGTCCGGAGTCGAGCCACCCTTGTGATTGTGATCACTGTGAGGCGCGTTGTTTTCCGAGTTGAAACGATTCAGCCAGGCCTCATCTTCCTCGTCCATGGTGTACACGACACCGCCGAGAGTGTCTTCGACCGTATCACTGAATCTGATGTAGGAACTAGGCAAGAAGATTTTGGAGTGTGCGTAGAGTGCCTCATAGGTGGCTGGGTCGACGAGTCCAGCAGCATCAGGGATAGGGATGTGGGGGACGTTTGAGTCGTTGGGTGCGGTATTGTTGTTAGAGTTGATGGTTGTGGAGGATTGAGTGGCAAGGGTTGAGTGGGCAGCGGTATCAGCCAGTTCGGCAATCAGGCCGGGGCTAGCCGGTTTACGTTGGTTGACTGCCGAGCGCATGAGTGCGGCGGTGGAGGCATTGATGACTTTTTGAAGATGGAGTTCGGACTCCTCCTCCTTGTCAACCCCGGTTTCGACGATGTGACTGCGATCTGTAGCAGGCCCGCCGATAGATTGCCGACGATCGTCCTCAAAGGGATAATCATCTTCTTCGTGGTCAGAGGGAGTATCAAGAGGGCCGGTATGGATGGTGATCCGAGTCCTAAAGTTTATCTTCCGATTCCGGAATCGGGCAGAAACCTTAGGCATGCTGCCCGTAGGATGCTACAGGCCCGACCTGCCCGCAGCCGATCGGGTGAGGGGAACAGATGAAGAGGCCGAAGAAGAAGAAGGAGGAGGGGAAGAAGGGGGAGCAGCAGAGTCGGAGATGAGTCGGAAGGGTGGTTACCAAACAAGTACTCTACGACTGTTTCGCTACTCGAGAGCGGGGCCAAAGACAGGTCTAATGGGAGAGATGGGGGAGGGGAGCGATACTCGATGGGTGGGCTATGATGAATCGATGATGTAGTAAAGAGCAGCTCTTGTAAGTAAATAGTAGTGTATGTAGTACAGCCAATTCCAATTCGCTTGATCTTTACGACCAGATTGGATTATTGGGACTGGGGAGGGAGCGAAAGGAGAAAGAGAGAGAGGGAGAGAGAGAGAGAGAGGGAGTCGGGGGAGGTGGGGGTGGGGGATGGGGAGGCTGTTGTGACCACACAAGCCGTCGATTGTACTGCAAAGGAAAGGGAGAACCGAACTGAGTACAAACGAACTTGGAGAGAGGGATGCTCGTCGCTCTTTGCTCGCTGAGAGTCGCTACAAAATAATTGCCAAGTTCATTCAATCAAAACGATCAAGTTGGGACCAGCACAGAGTATACAGAGTTCGGTATATATACAGAGCGTGGAAGTTCGAAGTTACTGAAAACTGTACATATGGAAGGCTGAGAAAATCAAAAAACCCGACTCGGACAAAACCTGTTTCCGGATAAAACCAGTTTCTGACCGGGTGACGTCATCCAATACCCTACAAATTTGGAGCTTCAACTTGAGTTGATGGTCAACAGAAAACTCGCAACCTCAACAACAACATGCTCTTCCGACCAAGACCATTGAGAATTAGAAACTTCCGAGTGACCATCCAACCAAACTTCCAGCTGATAACCAGTTCACCATTCTCCTCCACCTCCAGTAAACATGAACCATCGACCGCACAAGTCAAACATCTTACCGTCATCGGTGCTGGGCTGATGGGAAGTGGGATCGCTCAAGTGGCTGCCCAAGCGGGCATATCAGTAACAGTACATGGGATGAACCAAGAGATCTGTAAGGAATCCAAGTCGATCATCAATCAATCCTTAAAACGAATCGCAAAGAAGAAATTCTCTGAAGATAATCAAGCCACCCAATTCATCGAATCCGTCAACAACAACTTGAAATTCGCAACCGAGCTCAAGAGCGCAGTCGATACTCAAAGGACTGACCTGATCATCGAAGCCATCGTCGAAAAGATTGAAATCAAACAGGAATTGTTTAAGACCTTGGATGGTCTGATCGAGAACCCTGAGACGATCTTCACCAGTAACACCTCCTCACTCAAGATTGGTGATATCAGCCAGGCAGTCTCAGCCCAAAGAAAGAAACAATTTGCTGGTTTACATTTCTTCAAGTTGGGTTTTTACAAACTTACCCAGTAATGTTTATATTGATCAATCTTCTGATCGGCTGGTGTTTTTTTTTTTTTTTTTCATCACAAAACAGTCCAGTTCCTCAAATGAAATTGGTCGAAGTGATCAAAACCGATCAGACTTCTGAAGAGACTGCTCAACGACTGATCAACTTCTCTAAACAGTTGGGTAAAAGCCCAGTCAGCTGCACTGATACACCAGGGTGAGTTCAATTGAATTCTCATTCTCGTTTTTTTTCAGGCCAGCATTTTTAGTTTTATTTTTCAAGGAATGGCCGCTGAGATGTGAGGAAATCCCAGCTTCATCGTCAATAGGTTATTGGTGCCCTACCTGTTGGAAGCGATGAGAATGCTCGAGCGAGGAGAAGCAACCAAGGAAGATATCGATACGGCGATGAAGTTAGGAGCGGGTCATCCAATGGGACCGATAGAGCTCTCGGACTACGTCGGCCTGGATACGATGAAATTCATCTCCGATGGCTGGAGAGAGAGTAAAGTCCAATCGGGTGAGATCGATCAGGCCTTGGTCAAACCCCTCAAAACCCTTGATCAACTCGTCAAAGATGGAAAACTCGGTCGTAAAACTAAGGAAGGCTTCCTCAAATACTGAAGACTCATTTACTCTGTATCCTGTGCCGCTCCATAACCTCCACTTTTCCTTTTCTGCAGTTTGTTTTACATAAGTGTTCAAGCGCTGTACTAAAACTATTATGTTTAAACAGACAATAGATGAATCAAAACTTCCTCGTAAGTTATGTATTTTTGTAATTGCTGTCCTCGAGTTGATCAAGAAGCATTTCATTCTTGCAAGTTTATCAGAGAAACTAGTTACATTACTCCACCTCTCCCCTGAATTGAAACTTGTAAAGAATAGCACCGCAATCAACGGTGGGCCAGTTACACTAACCGTAGTGTTAGTGCAGCTTAGTGTTAGCTTTTTAAGCTGCGCTACACAAAAGTTACCGTTACCGGGAATTTTTGGCCCACTAACACTACAGGATTTTTGAAAAAACAAAAAAAACTTTAGTGTAGTGTTAGCTACCTTTAAAAAGGCACAACTAACACTACCCAAAATCCTGTTAGTGAAATTTTAGTGGTGTTAGTGGGTGAACCCACTACACTACATGTTAGTGTAACTTTTTGCAAAGTTACACTAACGGTTAGTGTAGTGGTACCCTCAGTTACACTAACTGTTAGCGTAACTGGTGAAAAAGTTACACTAACTGTTAGCATAAATGATTAAAAGTTACATGACCACATGACTAGCATTAGTATACCCTGAAGACAGTGCCTGATTGGGGGGCCTACATCCAGATCCCCTCAATTGATCATCATTTTTTTTCAGTTGGTAATGGGGGCCACTCAATTTTAGCCCCCTGCCAATTTTTAACACTTACTTGTAGGACCACATTCCCCTGTCAGACTACCTTGAGATTATGGGTTCAATTCCCCCTCAGATCATACTTTACTGGGTTCCATTCCCACACTTGTTCAATTTCCACTTTCACATCATGTAGCAAGGGGGGGGGGGTTGAGGTGTAACCATGATGTATCACCAGATTGTGGTGGAGCTGTTGGCAAGAACCATGGCAACTACCACCCAAATAACCTTACAACCACAAGGGCCTGTAGCCTAGTTGGTAAAGGAAGCACTCTGGTATGTGACTCAGCATTGCTGAGGTTGTGAGTTCAAATCTCACCAGGCACATCCTCTGTTTGTTTGTCTCTGCATCTTGTGCTGTTGATTTTCTGCGGGATTGTGTGTGATCATAGGACATTGAAAATTGTCACTATGGACCTCGGCCGTATCAGTTATATGGACAGTTCACCATAAATTCTCACTTGACATGTCAATTTCTCTAATTGATGATTTACACTACACTACATGTGAGGTGTAACTTCTACTGTAGCGTAGCGTAACTAGACATGTAGTGTAGTGCAGCGTAGCTTAATTTGGTATAAGTTACACTAAATGTTAGCTTCAAATCAGTTACACTATCTGACAGCCAAAATTTTGTTAGCACAAAAAAAGTTAGAGATTATTTGAAGCTAACACTACCAAAAAATTTGAGAGAAAAATTTACACTACACTAACAGTTAGCGTAGTGGGGTTTAGCGTCAGCTAACACTACAGAATTTCCAGGAAATAAAAAGGCCACTACACTAACAGTTAGTGGTCAAATAGCGTAGTGTAGCGTAGCGGCCCACTGTTGCCGCAATCCCAATTTGACCTTTGTAAACTTGATCAAACAAACTCCCTAATTTCACCAAGGTGATTGAATCAAGCTGATCAATTTGGTCCAAGCTGTTATACTTGCTCAGCAACTTCAGTCAATTGGCTTGCTGCGGAGACTTACTCCAATGAACAGATTTTGAAAGTAAGTGGGTGAACCGTTATTTTTGGCTGCTTGTTTTGGATTCCAGAGCTTCAAAGCACAAATGTGAAGTCACAAGAATTGATGAAGTGGTGTAGAATAGGTCCCAAAGAATGAATATGAAAAAATAAAAACAAAAAACAAAGTTTCAAAATCTGTGAAAAATAAAAAATAAAAATGTTTTTTGTCCCAAAAGCTTTGATATTCATTTTGGGTGAGTGAGAGTGCTGAGAGAAAGGAAGATTGGGATATCAGAAGAATGATTATGAATGAAAATTTTGGAAAAATTGCTTTCCAGATGGCTTCAAACAGCGGTGGGCCGCTACGCTTTTGGCCCAAAAAGCGTAGCTTAGCGGCACTTTTTTTTCATCCAAAAACTGTAGTGTTAGCAGTTTTTTAGCGGTTTTTCGCTATGCTACACTGCACTACAGCGCTTTTAGCGGAAAAAGCGGCCAAAAATCGCTAAAAACTGGGGTAGTGTTAGCGGTGTCGTGGTGGAATTCCGCTACGCTATGCTCATTGCTAACAGCGATTCCGCTGCGTTATGCTACACTAACCGCTACGGTTAGTGTAGCGGCCCACCGTTGCTTCAAAGAGCTGCTGATTGGGGCATTCACCAGCCCACATTGTAGTGAAGCACTAAAATTTACTGTTTTGGATCCAATCTGGACAACCAACCTGGCTCACCCTTTTTTGGTTCCAATTTTTTCATTTATAATCATTCTTCCCATGTTCCACTCTTTCTTTCTCTCAGCACACCCACTCCCCCAAAATGAATATCAAAGCTTTTGAAAAAAATCAGTTTTATTTTTTATTTTTTACAAATTTTGAAACTTTATTTTTTGGTTTTATTTTTTCATATTCATTTTCTGGGACCTATTATGCACCACCTGAACAAGTCTCATAACTTCAAGTCTGTGTTTGGGAGCTCTGGAATCCAAAATAAGCAGCCACTTTTCACTGTCTACCCACTGTACAACTGATTTTCAGCCTCCTTTTTTTGTCTACCCAATCTCTAATTCTCAAGGTTTCAAGAATTTCTTGCACATGCTTTCATGTTCTTTGTTGGGATCCATGCACGTACAGGATCATGATTTTTAGTGAAAAAGGTTTAGGCCCTCTGAGTCTGAGCATATAACTGAGGGTGGAAGTGGTCACTGGATGGAAGTTGAACTGGAGGTGTGGTAATAAATACAGCAAGCACAGGAAAGCTTGCGGTTTCGCGAGCTAGAAAATCTGGACCAAACATTTTTCCTACCTCACGCAACCGCCTGTATATCTTCCATTTCTTCCATTCCTTCCGCATACTTCCCACCCATTCCCTCTCTACTCCTCACCAGCCATGGCCCCCGATCCCGGCCCCCTCCCCTCCAGCCCCAACCACAACCAGCCGCCGGTTGCCCCAACCCCCCAACAAGCCCAGCCAGCCACCCACCACCGTAATCGGATCGCTACGATTTTTTCAATCCATTTCTTGTCGTCGAATCAATCGCTTCTTGATCAGACGACTTCAGACTTTGGTTGGTCTCCTTATCTCCTCCCCTGCGTCTGACAGGTCCGTCTCACTGATTCAGTTTATTTTCAGCCAGGATGGTTTTTGTCAAGTATGCCCGCGACGTCAAGGCCATTGTTGTGAAAATGAGCCTGGGTGGAAAATCCCTCAACTATATAAACGACACGATTGGATACACCGTATCTCCGGACTCGCTGGCCAGATGGGTTCAGCTCTACCGACAAACAGCCGATGTGGTGCGCGATCCGAGCCTCTATCTGGACCGAGGACGCCCGTTGGCCTTCTCCCGCGAGGAGGCTGAATTTGTCATGAACGCACTCGAAGCCGAACCCACCTTGTACGTGGATGAGATCCAGAGCCACATTCAGGCGATGACAGGCACCCTCCACCCCTCGAGCACCATTTTGGCCGAGTTGCATTGCCGTCTGAACATGACCAAGAAGGTCGCAAGGACTGTTAACCCAAATCAGAGCGAGCTGGCTCGGGCCGGCTATGCTGACGAGATCGGGGCGTTTGCTGCAAACTACCTCGTGTTCTTAGGTATGTTGGACAGCTCACACTTACCCCGAGGTTATCTCCCTGCTGACTTGGTTTCCCCGCAGACGAGTGTGGCGTATCCCTTGGGACGCACTCACGAGACCGAGCTTGGGCTCCCCGCGGCCGTCGCACTCAAAGGTTGCCTAAGCCTTTGCGAGCAAGTCGAATCTCCGTATTGCCGGCTGTCTCTTGCGACGGTCTTCTGGCTAGTATTGCACAAGAAGGCACAATGTGCCGTCTTGACATGGAATACTTTATCGAAGAGGTGTTGGTGAGTTTTTGCGGCATGTTTGATTCTCTCTTTGTCTCGACAAAAGCAGGCTCACACTCTTTGGGATGACGGTAGATACCGGTCATGAATCCGTTCCCAGGTCCAAACAGTATCCTTGTCATGGACAACGCGCCTATTCATCACGGGGGCCGAATCGCGGAGATCTGTGACGCCGCCGACGTCCTCCTCTTCTATCTTCCCGCATACTCGCCCGACCTCAATCCGATTGAGAAAGTATTCTCGGTGCTCAAGTCGAAATTAAAACGAGCCGAGATATTGACTGGCACGTCAGAGGATGCAGAGATTATCAAGGACTTCTTACCATCGTTTGTCACCCCAGATTTAATGCGAGCGCTGTTCCGAGGGTGCGGTTATAGGGCTTGATGGCGAAACCGGATATCTTCACGTTCTCGGGGGCTCATTTGCCCATTGGTCCTGGGGGTTGTTTGTGGTTTGTTCCGCCTGGTAGCCTCCGACCCGACTCAATGGCCCTTGGTGCCTTCCCTCTTGCTTGGTTCATCTGTCCCGCCTCTCGGGTATGGGCTTATTAGACCAATTCCTTGTTTCATCTGTCCTTCCATATGACCCCATTATTCTGAACACACTGTTAGTTAGTCCCACCTGACCCACTGAGTTCAATACCATGTGACATTGCAATGTGATCCATCTACTTGAGCATAATCAATGGGCTGAAGAGCTCCTGACCGGACAAATTGGGCCGAGCAAGTTGTTCCCGAACGAGTACGAGTAACAGCTCGCAGTTCCCGAACAAGAACCAGCTGGGCATTCTGCGCCAAGCATTCTGTTGCCGAATGCTTGGCGCGGCAGTCTAAGCGAGATCTCTATCATGCAGACTCGCGGTGGCTTTGAGCTTCCATTCGGCCCACCGACCTCACCAGTGGCAGTTTATTTGACACCCACAGTGGTTCATTGCTGAGAAAAAAAAAGGTAGATAGACAGGACGTACAAGCTGGGGGCATGCAAGTACAAACCAAAAAAAAAAACAGCATGTCCAGAATGGGGTCATCGGAAGAGGGAGGAAAAGGCCATGAGGAAAACATGGGGGATATGAGGGAAACAAGTGATCGGGATGAGGAAAACAAAACAAGTGATCGGGATGAGGAAAACAAAAGGGGCATGAGAAACAAGTAATCCTGAGTTCACATCAATATTCGGGGGACGGTTGGTAATCAGCATCCGAGGTTGCCCCTCCTCCTCCAAGGCTTGGGGTATTGTCGTCGGCCTCGTTGGAATCAGGGATAGATTCCGGACACTCGGAATTGCTCGCACGGGAGGCCACACGGGCGCCTGATGGCCCCGCAACCGGCGGAGCGCCCGCATCGTCGGCAGATGAAGAAGCGTGGGCAGGATCAGGGACGGAATTGGGTCCTCGTCCGTCCACAGACGCGTGTGCCGCGGAAGCTTCAGCAGGGCGTATTCCCGCGGTGTCGAGTTGAACGTGTGTGGCCTCAAGCCACTTGGCCCCCTTCAATAGTTGTGTGGCTATGGGGTAAGGGAATCCCATCTTTTGGAGTACGTAGAAATTAGTGTCGAGGAAAAAATCCCATCTGCGAATGTGGTTGAGGGAGATCAACACCCTAGGAACGTGGTCGTCGTCGGTGAAATTGCAGAGTCGCAAGAAATCGTCAATAGTGAGCGCTCGACCCAGCTCATTCAAAGGGGCCTTATCAGTCATGTCCACCGAAGGGTACGACGACGAGGCCTGGGAACCAGGCCGCTTGCGAGTTGGAGACACCGACAGATATCTTGACGGGGACCGAGGCCGCTCGAATTCAAGCCTGCTGAAATTGTGAACGATGCCCTCGCCTACTGGACTACGAGCCAACTTGCGCGAGGGGGACCGAAGGATAGTGCCGGACGGGAGTACCTCGATGTCCGTACCCTGGGTGCTGACGTCCCTGGGGACATCGTCTTCGACTGGGGTCGACGTTTGCCAGCTGACCTCGTGCTCATCGCCAGGCCCAGTGAGGTCTTCATAGCCCATGGAGGCGCCCAGGTCGACGCGGACAGCGGGCGTATCGCTGCGGACTGAGATGGAGGTGCTGTTCGAGAGGTTGGATGACCGGCGGGGAGCGGCGGCCGTGCTGTCATGTGATTGGCCCGGATCCCCGGTCATCAGTCGAGGAGCAAGGATGCGACCAGAGGCGGAACGGCGGGGCGGCGTGAAGAACAATCCACTAGGTTTGTCACCCAAAAAAAGGGCCGACGCCGGCACACCGACGGCTGGAGACTTCACCGGCGACGTGCCGGCCGACGACCTCGGCTTCGCTGGGGATGATGTCCTCTTGTGCCGTGACAGTCGAGCTTCCTGTTTTGCGGCCATTTCATCCAGAGTGAGCACGGCCACATCCTCAGGTGTACACTCTTTACACTTTGGCGGGTTATCCAAGTCCACCCCAGGCGCCCCGTGGAGCATCGCCCGACTCCAGGCCCGGAGGGCTTCGGTGGTCACGCGGATCGATCTCTTTGGGTCCTCAGGATCACGCACGCGCATTGACTCCGCGTCACATCCGTATTTGCCCTTGATGTGACGCGTGATCTCGGCCACTAGTCGGCCTCGTTCCTGTGCACTGACATCTGACTTGGGCTAATCGGGAGAGCCGGCATGGTCAGCTGGGCATCGCAAAACGGAGAGGGAACCGAATACTTACATTTACAGCCAGGCGGGTATGCACCCGCTGCAAGGCCAGGCGGGTGTCCTCGTCTGCATAATTCAACGCCAGACTGTCGTTGACCTTTTTAGCCTGAGTACAACAGAGGACCAATTGAGTCAGCCAAGTGACCAACAAACAACACACAGTGTGACCCCACATGTACCTCTTCGGAGTCCTTGGCGGACCTATTCGGATCTTCCATGATGATCTTAATCATCGCCTTGTTCGTTGAATTATTGCCGAAAGCCTGGACAAACGGGGCGAAATCCTCGTCATTCGTCGCAAAGTAGTTTTTGTTCTGCGCAAACATTCCGTCCCTATGGAGGATGCATTGCCATTTGAGCAACCCCTCCGCCTTGAGCCGCCGGAGGTGTTTATCGATATGTTCGCGAGTCGGGCCGCACAAGCGAATGATCTCCTGCTTACAAAGGTCCCACGAATAGTAAGACAGATCGACCTTCCAAACGGTCTCGGACTTTTTCGGAGGGATCACACTACGCCATTCATTTGCCCCGGACGTTTGCCCGAGCTGACTGGCCACGGATCGATGGTAAACCTGGTAGTCCAGATATAAGGGCCGTAGTTGAGGCCTCGTTGGTGCCGACTCCAAGCCTGTCGCCCGGCCATCCGACGCATTGTAAGCATTCCTGAATTGGCTTTCGGTGCACGGGTTGTCATGGAACACGCGGAAGGACTCGGCATTGCGGCTGGCTGCTTGGGAAGGGCCTAACCACGACTCCTGCGAGCCATCGGGGGCGTTTTCAAACGGAAGGGGGGGGACTCGGCCGCTGAGATCGGAGGAACCAGCCATAGAAATGACCTTTGCAATCCATGTTGGGGTCAGTCTCATTGCCAAAACATGTCCAGTGACCATGGAAGACCGTAACTTACGATTTTGATCCTGACGGGTTGGAAAGGGCCTGGTATTTGGGAATGTTGGGATAGGATGGCTTGGCAGAAGCGATGGTATGGGTTTTTGACCAATGGCTGGTTGTGGTTGGGGCTGGAGGGGAGGGGGCCGGGATCGGGGGCCATGGCTGGTGAGGAGTAGAGAGGGAATGGGTGGGAAGTATGCGGAAGGAATGGAAGAAATGGAAGATATACAGGCGGTTGCGTGAGGTAGGAAAAATGTTTGGTCCAGATTTTCTAGCTCGCGAAACCGCAAGCTTTCCTGTGCTTGCTGTACCACAAAACAAAAATAGTATTTTGGAAAATTATAAACAAATCATGAGCATCTTGTGATTGAACATATGACCTTCAAAAGGTTTAAGATTTGAGGACCAAATGGATGACTTCCCGTCGCAATCTACGACCCTCCCAGAAGTTGTTTTACACCCCCTAGATCTAATTTTTTTATCAAAAAAAACCTTTTTCTGAAGCCTTCCAGAAACAGCTCTCACATGAGCTGGTTGGAATGTCAATTGCTTTCTTAATTTAAGACTGAGAGAGGTCTAAAAAGCGCTCTAAATCGCAACGGGAAGTCCTCCAATGTCTATTAGGAAATAAAATGTGACATGTGAAAGAGGAGAACAGGTCTGAGTCTGACTAGGTTGACCGGTGGTGCTAGAATCAACAAACGTCGGTCCACATTTGTTTGTTTTAAGGATTCTTTAAGCAAAGTTTGTTGGAGGAACCAGTGCCCCTCATCCCTGGCGAAGAAAGAGTTCCAAGAAAAAACAGTACTAAGGAACATGTGCATGTGTGATGCAATGGTCTCTGTCTCCCTTCAGAAAATGATCATCCCGAGAGATAAATCAAGAGCCAGATTTGTTTTTGATTGGATTGAATTTATGAGGTGATTGAGTGAGACTTGGTTAATATTGATCCGGTGTGCGAGCAAAAACCCAAAAATAAGGGAAGAAACAACATATAGTATATATCCATTGTAAACTATATCAGGAATGGCAGGGTGGAGGGTGGGTGGGGGAAGGGATCGTGTCCAGGCGAGTACGCTCTAGCTATGGTTAAAAATATTCATGAGCTTGATCACACACCGAAATGAATTTCAAAAAAGAAAAAAAAAAGATGAAAAAAGGATATAGAAATAAATAAGCATGGACTGTGTGGGCAAGAGTAAATTCTAAGACAGTTGAGGCAGCTTGTGTGGTTGGGGGGTTGGTAAGTTTTTGGGGAGAAACGACGACAATCACAGGAAAGGTCAAACCAAACAAGATAAATAAATAAACAAATGAAAGGACGATTAAACTCGGCAAGGTGGATAAAAGTTGAACGATAATTAATCATAATCGATATTGGCTTCAAAATCCTTGGCAAGTCTCTTGTGTTCTTATCTACCACTACCAAGAATTCTAGTTCGATACGTCATCTCTTACCGTCTTTCTTTCAATCATCTTCGACCATCAGTGGATTGAGTGAATTACCTTGATTCTGATTCAAGGGGACATCAGTGTCAGCTGTGGAGTAGTCGTTGCTGCTGTGAGTGTGATTGATGTTGTTGTGATTGTGGTTGGGGTTGTTCTTGGGGTTCTGGTGATGTTTTTGGTTATTGTTGCGGAAGTGCTCAGGGTAGTTGTTGACGATTTTACCGTGATGATTGTTTGTATTTCTGTGGTTGTTGTGATTAAGGTTAGGGAATTGGTTATACTTCGAGTCTTGCTCAAGAGGATCTCGTTGGGGAGCAGCAGAATGCCTGGACGACTTCTTTTTCCGACCATGAGACCCACGGGATCTCTGAGCGGGAGGGATATCTACTTGGAAGCGTTGGGGATACGGGTGTAAACCGATCGCATGATTCTCTGCGGGGCTGCTTCCTCTAGATTCAGAGACTGGCTGGGGGGAAGTAGATTGGACGGACGAATCCAACTCAGTCAAAGACGTGCTGGGTGGTGGGAGCGGCGAGCTTGCCGGTTCCGGAGGAATCGCTTCTCCATCGTGATCCGGGGTGATCTCTGGAGGCGTGATCGGCTCGGGGCTTTGGGCATTCACCAAGACTTTCTCCTCTATTCCAGCTGTGGGCTCGTCATGGTCAACGTCGATCCTGGAAACACTCAGGTTATGGTCGAGTGAGGGCGAGTCTTCTGGCGTGTGTGGACTGGGTGGTGAAATCCCGTTGAGGATTAAATCTTCGTCCGGGGTGATCGAGCGGTTGTCGACCATCTTTTCCTTGTTAGCAGCAATAGGCTCAGGTGAAAGATCCAGAATGATTTGCGCTTGGTCAGCGACGGTGTCCATCAGTTGATCGCCAGCGGGAGAGGGCGAGGTACTCTTGGTTGTTTTCGGCCTAGTGATGTGTTCCTCATACAGCTCATCTTCTGGTGGTGAGCGAAAGCGAAGAAGGTCAGGTTCGAAACTTTCTTCTCATGAAAGCAAATAGTAATTCATGTCACCAACTTTCCGCCTGGGAGTTCGAACTCTCCTCAAGAAAGCGTCTGTTAGACGTGGATCGTGCTGGAGGTTCGGGGCAGGAAGCCCCACTGCGTGCGGAGATAGAGGTGACTTGAAAATTTTGCCCAGAATTATTAAAACGCTGTTTTTTGGCCGAGTCGTGGTTCGTAACCTGAGGCCCATCGGTGCAGGAAAGCTTGCGGATCCGAGCTTGCTCCTTCTTTTCTGCCGCAGCTTTATTTCGCTGTTGGATTATTGCTTGGTACTGGGGGATAAGTTCATTGATTTGAGCCTTGAGTGCGGCACGAGCTTGAGCAGCGCCCGCGGCGTCCCAAATCCTACAAATTTCGCTTTGCCGTTGCTCCTTTTGACCTTTCTTAGAGTTGTAATCCTAATTAAAAAAAAAAGAATTGTCGACTTAATATGAAGCTGTTGTTTCTACCGGTGATGCAGCCGACTAACCAGTATCCATCTCAGCATTGGTAAGGGTTGGCTAAAAAACGTCTTGAAGGCATGGATCAAGTACAGTCCACAATCACAAAAATTGGGTTGCTCAGGCACTGGGACTTTCTTGGTGGTCACAGCTTTCGTCACGCTTTCAGGGAGGGTTTTCTCGAGTTTATCCTTGGCTTCGTTGATTAGGTACCTCACAATTGTTCCAGCTTGAGGTCGGTGAGCAGTACCCAGCGAATCTAGTGTCAAAACGTAAGGTCTGAGAAAGAAGAAAATAGTTAATTTTGGGTTTATGGATTGGGCAAGATGTCCTTTCACCCACAATTTCATGTCCTCATTGGGAGCAGTAGTGGAAGGCTGATGATTTTTCACATCATCTTGAGCCGAGCCTTTTTGATCGTCGAGGTCCATGTCCTGGAGGGCTTGAGCCGAATTATCAACGGTGGGATCATCCACCACCATTTCCTCTGCCGGAGTCCCCTGCTGCGCTGGGACCAAGTTCGTCTTGGATGTATCAGCAGGTAATTGAAAATAGCGGGATGTTTTCTGATTAACCGGGGGTTCTGGTGTAGTGGGGTATGATTGCTTGATGAAAGAATCTTCAGCCTTGTGTGACAAACGAGTTTTCATGGGTGAAGAAAACGTAGCAGGATTGGGTTCGGGTAAAAGGATCTGGGGATCTAGCATCTTTCCAGGATTGGAAACAATCATGAAATACCAATGCATACTGTGGAATGATATGAAATGCAGTGCCTTGCTGGGTGAATCAAGCTGTTTGAAGAAGAAGGGAGGTAATTATCTAGTTGAATCGACTCACTGCTCATTGATCGGTATCACAAGAAACTCCTTCTTAAAGATGTCAATTCCTTTGGTCCATTTTCGTACCCCGGGGTAGGCTTCCGCTGCTTCAACAGCTGCGCTTCTGTGTGCATTCCATGAGTCAATTATAACAGCAGTAGTGATTGCGTAGGAAGTTGTACAACCGTGACTGACTTTTCCTTAGACTTACAGCCACTAAGCTTCTGGAAGAAAAACGAGTTGAATAGATGGATCGAGGCAACGAGCTCTGGGTTGCGTTTGCGGATTTGACTCAGTTCCCATCTGTCAAGAGAAAGCTCAGATCAGGCCCGCCAGAATGAAATCCAAGACTTGGAAATAAACAGTAAAGCTTACATGAGCCCGAATTCTATCAGTGTATCATTCAAAAACTCGCCCTCGTTGAGACGGTTCATGTCACCTTTGGTAATTGCAACGGATTGGCAGTTTCGTTCACCCTCGAAAGGCCACACTAGGACACTGGATAAAATGTGGAGTGTAAGCCGGAGGATGGAGTAAAATACAAGTAAACAGCCTGCCGACGACTGACATATCTGAATCAGCACCATTAATAGATGACCCCGGGGGAGGTTCGGCTCGAGGATCAACTGGCAATGGGATTGATGATTGCGATTGTTTATTTCTAGTGTTGTATCGAGTAGTTGCCTTCCCATCCTGTAGTTCCTGCCTGACGTCGGTGTTCTTTTGGGTAGCTTTGCTAGCTTGACACTCCAGATCATCAGACTGCTTGTGAATTGAATTCAAAGCCTTGAAATCTTCTTTTCGATTCACCGTCAACTTGGATTTGAAGTCCGAGGTCTGCTTCGCAGTCTCATTCTGGGATGTTGGAACATGAATTTGATTCACTTTGTTTGATTTGTATACCGATGGTGAACTGGTAATAGAATACGAAAGATGTTAATTCTAGGGATAAGTTATGACTAATGAATGATCGACATGCAGTCAGCGCGTACACACTAGGCAAAGTACTGATGACGTCGTCGAGGGCCTTGCCATTGAGAGGCTTGGGGGACGAATGCGGATTAGGTGAGGGTTCGTGGGAAGAGTGTGCAGCAGGCCGCCGAGCGGAAGCTGATTCAGATTTGAGGCTAGGCTGAGACTTCTCATAGTCTGAGCAGGGATCCTGAGGAAAGCGAAATGTACATATTCTAATAACAGATGATCAGTCTGAGGACACACAGCATGAATGTGGAACTGCTTACTTGTCAATGCGACCAGTTTTAACTGCACAAGGTTTAAGATGATTCGTGAGTGCGGTGACAAGTTCTTCCATAGTGACGTTAAATGATTCATCAAGGACTTCCAGCAAACAAGCATTAAAAGATTGATCCGCTCCTATGGTTTGTCGGAACATGGAGTCAGCAATGCTATATACATCCATGACCTCAATACCTTTAGCGCTTACTCGATTCAGCACTATGGAGTCGTATGTATTTGTTGAACAGATCCTGGCCATCGAGGTCCTCGAAGAGCTCTACAACCAGCTGAGAAGGTTGCTGTTCACCATGATGGTGGTATAATTGTTTGATTTTAGCCAGAGGTATGTTTACGAAGGCCTCCGGCCCGGGTCGTTGATCATCCAGACTGAAGTGCAATGAGAACCGACCACTCCAACGTTCTATAATCGACATGTCCAGTGAAGCTCCGGAGTGAGCAAAAGCGACTTGAGCCTTCGAAAATTTCACTGTCTTCAATTTTACGACTGGTGGCCCACAGGTGATCTTTACCTTCTTGCTCTGTCCGTTCATATGTGGTTGCCGATTAATTGACTTGTTAGAGTTCTGAATTAAGTAGCAATAAATCACAGGTCTCAATTGGCAATCACGTGATGATTAGAGCATGTTAAATCAAGAACAAACTTTAGAATCCTTTCCCTTCATGGATTCAATCCTCTTAGCAGTGGGCATCAGCAGTGGGTCGTCAGATTCTTCTCCGGTATCGATCGCACTGAAGAGATGATCGATGACGTTTTGATTCGAGCAGGTATTCTGAGTTTCCTCTTGGCATGAGATTTCAATTTCTTCTTCTTCTTCTTCGCATTCTTCGGTCAAATCGATGTGAGGTGGTGGATGTGATAGCATAGCTTTACCCTTCCCTTTGCCTTCATCTGGTTTTCGTCCAGCTTTTGCGGCGGCACCTTTGATGTTGTGTGATTGTTTGGAAGTAGAAGGTTGTGTGTTGTTGTGACGGGCATCGGGCATGATCTTGATCAAAGCGTGGTCCAAGATTCGCTGACTGCCAAAGGATGGCTTTGTGGACTGATGTTTTGTATCAAAAAAGCATTGAGAGCCGGCGACAGGATTGCGGCCAGAGAGTGACTTTAGATCGCGACGATCGATCTGAGCGATAGAAGGCTTGTGGGCGAGCTTGTGGATCGGGGGACCGATAGCTTGGAAGTTACTGGATGAAGAAGGGCCCGATGTTGGAGGGCGTTCGTCATCAAATCCATTATTCCAGCCTGGGCCAGGTCGAGTTGTGCGTTTGTAACGTTCAGATTCGGGAGCCCGACTCGGAGGTGAGATTGGATTTCCAGATCTGTGACTGGAGTTGCGTGTGCGATTCATATCCCTTTTGTGTAAGGCACAATCCGAAAGAGCAAAGAGATCACGAGGTTGGCCAGAATCTTGGAAGTGGCGAGATGGTATGAAACTGAAAGATGTTAATATGTGGAGAGCTGCTGACCTTGATTTTGAAGTGAGATCGAGGAATGGGGCTATAGTTTCGAGTTGAGTCCTAATAAGCAGATGCAGGAGAAATCGGATGGAGGGTGTGTTGAAGGTATAAATGATGAGCTGATAGATAATTTCCGGTTCAAATTATGAGTTTTTGAGATTGATAGGAGGCTAACTTGCTAGATGATTTCAAATGGGCCGATTCTTCTTCGCTCAAGACTTCGACGATACCGATATCCTGAAAGAATAAGGGAAACAGTGGTTAGCTGATGCCTAAACCAAGCAGACTGAGTGAGTTCCGATCAGATTTTGATCAGTGTGTGCTGTGAGCTCGGTTGACTGACCAGATTACCAGAGGAACAGATGTTGGTCAATGTGCTGGCGGACATCAAACGGGCAATCGTTGAGACTCCGGTTCCTTCGCTCGCTGTTGACCAATCCGATCGCTGGCTGAGTCCGGAGGTTTCTTTGACGGTCAAGAGAAGGGGGGAAGGAGGGACAACCGCTGGTCTGCTGACTGTCAGGTTTTTAAAAAGTCATCAGAAAAAAAAATACAAACAGACGCGGGTACCTAAAAAAAACTCGGACAAAACCAGACAAAACTACCCGGACTCACTCCGGATTGGGAGAACGTTAGACCCTGCTTCCATCACGTTCGTGAAGGGTGTGTGTATATATTTATGTACCATCAAATAAATCTATGTACTCATCAAGGACATGGCAACATGGGAACAAAAAATAATAGTTTTTGATTCAAGAAGAACTTGAAGGGGAACAGGGCTTCTTTGCACTTCAGTTCAAATTTATCCACTTTCTGTCAGTGGACTGGGAGGGACTTGACAGAAACTGGGGTTCAAAGCTAAGTTCTATATTCAAGACAATCTCTCTTCTACTCATCTCTAAAACCTATTTCATTTATTTTCTTGAAAACCATCACATGTGAATCATTTGTTTGTTCTTCTTCAGTAGCAAGTTAGTAGGCATCCAAGCTTAACAAAGTCCCTCATGGTGACAGTGCCTGCAGGCAGGTCTGGGCAGCAACCCAGTCTCACCAGAGAGATTTATGCATAAAAACACAAAGTTGGCATGAGCAAGATGTGATTTTGAGGCCTGTTTTTGTGCTTTCACATCTGGCTTGCCTGTCATTCTTCTCAAAATTTCATTGCCCTGTTTTTCTTGTTCTCTGGCATCTTGTATGGAGGCACTGACGTGCCACAATGGCCAAAAAAATGGAAATATGGTGATATACCACCAATTTGACCAAGTAACCACCAAATACTGCTCTTGTACCACCAGAGTGGCCAAATAGAAAAATGATTCCAACTGCCACTTTGGCCACTCATGCCCCTAGAGATTGTTCGTTCATACTTGGGTTCCTGTTGGTACCTAGGTACCTGTTCAATTTTTCAAGAAAATAGATACCATGTACCACACCTGGCACCTCCCGGTGGGTACTGGCAGTACTTTTGGCAGGTACCGCGGGTACCTCCCCCCTCTTTCTCACCTAGTTTCACTCCCAGAGTCCCAAGTCACTTTTTTCATATGTTCATATTTATTGTAAAATATCTACATTACAGGTCAAGTAATTTAAAGATGTTCATGTGAGGTCTAACAGAGGGAAGCTTGAATGTTCCAGTAATTCATGAGCAAATCTTGTTTGTACGTAGTTGCACTTGGGGATCAGCACCAGTTAAGTCACACAGGCCCACAGGGTACAATGGCTGCTACTAATACTATTTCACAAATGCCAAAATGACATGTGTAATGATAGCATCCACAAATTTTTATAAGCATGAATTTATGATCATATAGATTAGTATGTTTCATGGATTTAAATTCAATGATTGCTTCAAATAAATATCTGTTTGTGTAGAATGAGTGAAGTGGCACTAAGGTGAGGGAAATGGGTATTGTTCAGTGAGTATGTATACAAACAAGAAAATTAAGGATCCATATTACCAATCCTCTCTAGTATCATAACTTGAACTCTGGAGAAACTCAAAAATTACAATCCTTCTTAATTTTCTTCTGGCTGGTAACACAAGCCCTGTGGGGGAATGCATGTTTTGACTAGGTTATGTAGGACTCCCAAAAAGAGGATTGAGGACTCTCTAGAGGATGGTGTAAGTTTCAGTGAAGGAAGTGCCACTTCTTTTGATGTTGTAAAATTTACTACCCAAAAAATCTGCCCCTACACGTTTTTTGAAGGTTGCATAGATTAGCATACATCAAGTCAAAAGCATTGCTGTTTTGTCAATTCACTCATCACGTGGAGCCACCTTATCCTTGTTTAGTTGCAGCTTAAGCTGTTTAAACCTGACGGCTTGACTATTTCAAAAGGCACCATTGATACCACATTTCCAATCAGAATCTGCTTTTTCCCAAGCAAAATATCAGCACACCCGTGGTCATGGAGGATTTGACTCCTCCATGACTGAGAATACACCCTCGGTCATGGAGGTTTTGACTCCTCCATGACCAAGGGTGTATCTTCGGTCAAGGAGGAGTCAAAACCTCCATGACCAAGGGTGTATCCTTGGTCACGGAGGAGTCAAATCAATCCTCCATGACCAACAATATATCCTCAGTCATGGAGGTTTCACTCCTCCATGACCAAGGAGAGGTTGTGACTCCTCCATGACCATGGACCTTTCGTCATGGAGGTTCTCCCCCCTCCATGACCAAGGAAACCACCAGAAGGACATGGAGGTGAGTGAAACCTCCATGACTGAGGATGTATCCTCAGTCATAGAGGTTGTGACTCCTTGATGACCAATGTAAAGCTCAAAAGTGTTTGTGAAAACCTTTTGCTGAGTGTGGAAAGGGATGAATGAGGATACCTCTGCCTTTCCTGGATCACTAGACACTAGACAAGCCCACCAATCTCAGATTGGAAGGTTTAATAAAGTGATAGTGGAGTGTATCAAAAGATAACTGTGGCTTAACAGGTGGACAAAGGGTTTAACCCACTTTTGTAAGGGTCTAAAGGTTGATTTGAGAGTGAGAGAGTGAGTCTAGCATGATATTTAAATGGTAAGGGGATGGTATGTAAGGGTTGTAGGGGTTTGTTTAGGGTAGGGGGTATGAAATAGGTGGATACTAAAATGAGGGGAAAACAACTGAGAGGAGAGCCTCTTAAATACACAAAGGTGAGGGATTTTAGCTTCAGGGGAACAAGAGAATGAGAGATTTTAGCTGGCCAGAGCTTTACAATGAGGGGATTTAGCTAGTTATAACATGTACATGAGGTATTTTGGCTGGTTGAGCAACCTACATGATGTCATAAGAGTTATTTTAGCTTGAAATAGAAGTCTACATGAGGGTTTTATGCTGGTGTAGAATTTTACATGAGGTGATGTACTAGTCTGCAAGCTAAGGTGAGGTGATGAGTATTACATGAGTGGTGTGAGATAGTGTGACAGCTGCAAGGAAGATTAACAAATGAGATGACAACCTGCATGATGTCACTTGTAAATCCAGAGTGGTTCCACCACGGGTGCAACTTTTGGTTTTTGGGACGTTTCCAAAACCATCGCAGCTTTCAAGCCGTCTTTAGAACCATTTTGGGTTTTGAAGACGACTTGAAGACCATTTTAAGGTTGGGACCCAAAAGACTTTCCCAGACATGGTCTTCCAGCCGACTTGAAAAACAAAGCTGGTTTTCAAGTTGACTTGAGAACCAAAGCTGGTTTTCATGTCGACTTGAGAACCAGCATCAGTTTTCAAGCTGACTTGAGAACCAGCATTGGTTTTCAAGCCGACTTGGAAACCAACACCAGTTTTCAAGTCGACTTGAAAACTGTCATTGGTTTTCAAGTCAACCTGAGGACAACAATGGTGCATGGGGCTCTCATGAGTCATGAGACAGTGATGTGCTCCTGATGAGACCCCATTGGGGGCACAAGTCTAGACCAAGAAACTTCTGGAAACTCGGCTTCAAGTCCTCTCACCAGACAGAGATGTTCAAGTCCTTCCACCAGACAGACATGATCCACCTCCTCGTCTTCTTTTCCACCACCCCCCAACCATTCGATCTCTTTGAAATTTCTTGCCCACATTCTCTAATCCACATTCTCTAATAGTTGTACATGTTGTTCAAGTTCTCTGATTACTCATACACAACCCCATCCCCATCCGAAACAGAATCTGAATAGATGGAATTCAAGAGAATTGGGAAGTACTGCAATCTTTTTATTTCTTTCTTACTGTTGCCTTGGTTTGTCCCAACATCGACCACTGACGTTGAACATGTTTGATTTGATCTTTCAAACTAATCGGTGTATAGTGACTCAGGACTTTGAACCCCCTCATTGCTCAACTGTGCCAATCATTGTACTCTTTTTTCTTATCACTTGGAGTTAGACAACTTGTTAAACAACTTTTTATACATATTTTTGATGCAATCTTACTATGTTATGCTGCCTGCTAGTCTCAACAAAGTACTGGGATTCCACCGAGTGTACGATCAAGTGAGCAAAAGTTCAGAGTTGTCTGGAGAGCAACCTCAGCATGGTCTGATCAATTTCAAAAACGATTTGAAAATTTTTGGCATAGCTGGATGTTTCTAAGCTGTTCCCAAGTCGTTTTGAAGACGACTTTGAAGTCGGTCGCAAAGCGTCTTAGGTGGTTTTTTGAAGTCGCCTCCAAAACGACTTGCACCTGATGAAGTTTCCAAGTCAGTTTTGAGGCGACTTCGAATCGTTTTGAAGCCGTTTGGCTACCTGCATCCAAGTCGCCTTGCAGGCGCAACGTCTGGGCGCCTTGAAGGCGTCTCCCATTCAATTGGTTTGAGACGCCTTCAAGGCGGTCAACCCAGGCGTTCTCAAGACGCCTGGGTGCACCCGTGGTGTCCAGACCAACACTGCATGTGTCAATATGTCAGAAGATAGTGGAGTGGAGTGTATACTTGTGTACTACTCTGGTGTGAGAGTGTAGTTGTCCTGCAATGTGCACATGTATAGTGTGAGATACGTAATTGTTGATGGGTTGGTGGTGGTTGAGTGTTGCCATGTTGTGTAATTGAGTGTAGTGATGGTCCAGAGAGTGTAGCTTCCAATCCAGTTGAGTTCCAGTGGCGCCTCCAGAGGTGACCAAGGGTGAAATTGACCTATAGAATCCAGTTCTTGAGCCATATTGTGTGATTTGTGGGTGTGTATATGAGAAAAAAGGTGTAATTGTGTAATAAAAGAAAGAACAGTATAAAATTATTAAATGGGCCAGATGGATACCCTGAAAGTATACCACACCAAGAACTCCATTTCCAACTTTGGCACGCCAACCCGGCCATGGAGGCTGTACAAACTCCACAGCCAAGTTGGAACCCATGCGACCCCCCCCCCCTATGTTTGTTAGGGATATAAGGCGGTACCTGCAGTGGTACCCGGGTACCCCCTGTGTTATTGCCCAAAAATAGACACCTGGCACCACCTGGCGGGTGCGGGGCGGGTGCAGGCGGTGCTAGGTACCTAGCAGCCAAACAATCTCTACATGCCCCTGAACCAACATTATTGCTCCTGGACCGACAAACATGGCACTGGCACTCCAATTGTGCCATGTATCCAAGGGGTTTGTGACCTCCTCTCAACCACTTGGACTCTACACCCCCCTGAATACACCCAGTCATCCATGGTAGTGGGAGTACACCTCCCATGGATGATAAACACTCCCATCAAGGACTGGTTTCAACCATTCCTTGATGGAGTAAGCCTCCCATTGATGTCCAGTCATCAATAGGAGATGTAGATGTACTCCCATTGAGGACACACGCCCAAGTCCCATCAAGGACCGGTTTTGACCATTCCTTGATGGGATTAAAACCCCCGTTGTGGAACTACTCAACCAGGGAGATAGATCTTGGAGGGGATATAGACAACTACACTAGTACTAATGTAAGTTGATACTACAGGTGCTGATGAGGCTGCCCTCCTGTACAATGCTGATGGGAAGAGTTTAACACTAAGAAAAAGAAGAATAAAGGTGTGGCTGATTTCTACTTTATCTTAGACTACTATTACTGATGAGCCTGTGTATGTAGTACCTACTGAGGTGTGATGGGATAATACCAGCGGTGGGCCGCTACGCTACACTACGCTACGGGCAACACTGGGTCACTACTTTACGCTGCGTTATCTAGTGTATCTGAGTAGTGTAGTGCACCCAGCTGCTTGGCTGCTACTTTACCGCTACACTAACTGCAATTTTTTTTCCTGGTCTGTAGTGTAGTGGGACCCTTTTCTGAAACCCAAAAAAAACAGATAGTGTAATGGTTTCACCCTTGGATAGTGCGCTGCTGCACTATCCTGTAGTGTAACTGGGCCCCTCTTTTTGAGAGCACCAAAATCTGATTTTTTAACAGTTTCACCCCTGGATAATGTGTTACTGCACCATCCAGGGGTGAAACAGCCCTAATCTGATGAGGAAACGGTCCAGCCTTGTCATTTAAGGGTCCCAACCTGCTAGCAGCCATCCGTCATCTTGATTTTTCACAAAAATCATCTTCAAGATTATTTAATATCATCCAATATTAATTATTATTCATCTTACTTGCTCATATTAATGTTTCTTTCTCCTACGTTTGTCTTCCTAATGGTAATTTTTCTCTTGTCATCTCCTCTCTACCGTAAAGCAATAAAAAATACAAAAAACAGCCGCTGCGATAGTGTAGTGGCCAAAAAAAACAGCAAAAAAAGAAAATGATAATGTAGTGCGTTTTCACTACAGGAAAAGTAGTGCTAGTGACAAAAAAAACACTACTTTACCGCTACACTACCGTTACTGGTAGTGTAGTGACCCAGTGTTGCTACGGGCCCATGTAGCGTTAGCGTAGCGGCGCCAATTTTTTTTTCGTGTAGTGTTAGCGCGCCGCTACGGCCTCTGCGCTACGCTAACTTGTAGCGGCGCTAACACTAGCCATTTTTTGGTGTAGTGTTAGCGCCCCGCTGCGTTACGCTACGCTACAGCGTTTTTAGCGGCAAAAAACGCCAAAAAACCGCTAAAAACTGCTGTAGCGCAGCGTAGCGGGCGGTTTTTTGCGCCCTGTGCGCGTAGCGTTAGCGCAGATGGGGAGAATTGCGCTAACGCTATGCCAAACGTTAGCGCATTGTTTTGCCCCGTGCGCGTAGCGTTAGCGCTGAAAATGAAAAAAGAGCTAACGCTACACTACATTGTAGTGATTTTTCGCTACACTACGCTACGCTAACGCTACAGTTAGCGTAGCTGGCCCACCATTGATAATACTGACAAGGGTGTAACACTGGCAATGGGGAATGACACTGGAAAAGGGGAATAATCTGGAAAATGAGGATTTATAACTGGCAACTGAGGATTTATAATTAGAGATGTTCGCTTTGCATCCGGATATCCGCTCATAATTTGAGTGGAATTTGGCAATTCCGCTGAAATTAAGAGCAGATATCTGGATGCAAAGCGACCATCTCTATTTATAACTGGCAAGGGGGGATGTATAACTGGAAAATATAACTGGCAATGATATCTGGTAAAGATATAAGGGTGCTACTAGTATTCTGATTTCTATGACTATGGTTAGAATATAATTCAGGCAAGGTACATAGCATACATAGCATAAGGGGGGAAATACATGTGGAGGAAGAAAGAGTATATCTGTGTACAACATGTACATACAACAGCAAAGCACCATGGCTGGGGAATTCCTAGCTATGGATAATGTAAATCTTAAACAGTAATGAGTGATGAGAAATAATGTAACCTTATAAGAGATAGATGTTCTGTGTACACAAGTGCTAATCAGAGATGGAAAGTCAAAGCTGTGTGGAGAGAAATATGTATATGATGTAGTGTAGTGAAGATGATTTACTATGATGAAGGAGTGAGGCATATAGATACTGTAACTAGATAATGTGTAATGTATATGTACTTCATGTATAAAGTAATGTACTGTTCTGTAGCTATGAATATACTGAAGAGGTGATAACTAGAGAACTATAAGAGCTACTGAAAAGATGTGAGAGATGACTAGGGGTGAAATGATGTGTAGAATATGAATATGAAATAATACTGAGAAGAATATATGTAAAATGATGTGAAAAATGAGGATACATGGAAAGGTATGAACACACCACACCGTTGATGACCGGTTTTGACCATTCCTTGATGGGAGTAAACACCCCCGTTGATGACCGGTTTTGGATGGGAGTAAATAATCCCATCAATGACCAGTCAAAGGGTCTTAGATGGGACAAAACACTCCCATCAATGACCATTGATTTGTCATCAAGGGGGGTGTTTACCTCCATTGATGACCAGTTTTGACTGGTCATCAATGGGGGTGTTGAGTGTTGACCCCCATCAATGACCGGTGTGGTAAGCCACTCTTGAATAAGAGGCCCACAAAATCAAAGCTTCAAGCATAATATCAAGCTCTCTGAAAGACAAGACCCTCAAGGACCAAGGCAAGCCCCTTCTGGAATACTCAGCCAGCCTGCAACACCATGGATGTCACAAGACCAAGCCCCCTGGACAGAAGACAATCTGGATTCTCATCTCATTTCATTATTACATAACCATCTCATGCAGACTTACATCATCAATCCCCATTCAGCCTTCCACACTTGGCCTCTGCATGTGTTTAGAGATGTCACTTGGCACCTGCCAGCAGGTACCCGCCACAACTTCAAGCAATTACCTGGACACCTACAGCCACCAGCTGTGAATTGGAGGGATGTATTACTGTCCAAGAAACAGTTCTGTATGCTCCACCTTCAAAGCTGGTGTATGGAAGTGCCCAGGGCACCTTCTGAAAGTGTGGCAGGTACCTGATGGCGGGTGCCAAGTGACATCTCTACATGTGTTTCATTCTATTCCACTTTCACTCTAGCCCCATTTCCACTTTTGGACACATTCTATTGTTTCACACTATTCCTATTGAGTTATTTTCATCTCTCACACTAGTATATATTTGGCTAGTTCATTTATACTTTTGGTATATTCTTCCTCCCTCATAGATTGTGGCACATTTGATCCCTGCATGTCTCTGATGTTATTTCCTCCATTTATCTTAGTGCCTACCAATTAGGCCACATTGTTTCAGTTTGATAATTTTCTCTTGTTCCATTTTTTTCTATGGTTTTTCCGACCACAAGCTGGCCACTCCCCATATTTTTTTATATAAGGAACCTTGTTTCCCCTCTTCATTTGTTCCCTATCAGAGCCTGACCCAGCAATCCAAATAACTGATCACCCTTCATCAGCCTAGTAGTTTCCCATCAACATTTGGGGTACTAGTATTATTCAGACAGAAGACATACCCATCTCAAGAATACTCCAAAGCCACAACTTTTCGTAAGAGTCCACACTCTTATCTTTTCTTGTTATCTTACTCAACCCAGTTTCCAGAGAGGCATCCCATTAAAGCATATTTCCCTCTCCAGCTCTATTCATCCCAAGGGTAGTTCCACACCAGTTTTGACCGGTCATCAATGGGGGTGTTTACTACCATTGATGACAGGTGTCATAAATGGTAATCAACGGGAGGACTGTATGGCCAAATTGACTGATGGATTTTTTTTGGCCTCAATAAAAAATGCGGGTTTTCCACATTTTGATGTGGTTTTTGCTGCACGCAGCGCACACGGTTTCCGCATTTGGACAAGTTTTTTGTATTTAATTTTTCAGCACTTATTTTTTGGGTATTAGTTAAACAACTCCCAGAAATTGGATTTCCGACTCCCATATTTCTGGAACGTCAAGAGGACCATCTGTGGACACTCCTCAGGACGTCCATGGGAGTCAGACCTCCAAAACCTTCAAAGGGTTTGGGAGTTGTTCCCCTTATAAAAAAATGGAAAAAATACCCCCCAGGGGTTTTTGGGAGTTGATCCACCACAAACCCCAGGGGGGTTGGGAGTTGGCGCCGGGAAGATCCCCTCAATGGCCGAGAGGGATTCCTCTTGGCCGCTGAGTGTACAACTCTTGCCGGCCAAGAGGGATTCCTCTTGGCCGCTGAGTGTACAACTCTTGCCGGCCAAGAGGGATTCCTCTTGGCTGCTGAGAGTGTACGACTCTGGGTGTCAGACACTGAGACACTAGCCCAGGTGTCTACAATAGAATGTAACCCCCTTGGGTTACATAACAATTATTATTATATGTAATCTTT